ATTTAGATCTGGTGAACGAGGTGGCCAGTTAACAGGACAACCTCTGCCAATTACTCTACCCTCAAATCTTTCGTTAAGGTGCTGTCTAGCTTCAAGGCTGTAATGTGGTGGAGCTCCATCATGCATAAACCACATGTTATGTCTGATTTGAATCGGAATATTATCAAGAAGCTCATGTAAGTTATTTTCCAAAAAAAGCCTGTATGCTGCTCCATTTAACCTATTCGGCAAAACAAATGGTCCAATAAGGTAATTATCAATAACTCCAGCCCAGACGTTTATTGAAAATTTATCCTGGTGGTGACGTTCAACAACCGCGTGAGGGTTATCTTCAGCCCATTCATGCATATTTCGAAAATTTATTATACCATCTCTAGTGAAACCAGCTTCATCGGTAAATAGCACTTTATTAAGAAACATTGCATCTTGATTACATCTTCCAAGAAACCATTCAGAAAAGATAACTCGCGGCTCATAATCAGTAGCTTTAAGTGCCTGAACTTTTTGAATGTGGTAAGGGTACAATTGTTGTTCACGCAAAACTTTCCATACCGTGTTACGTCCGACTCCCACTTCTGAAATTAAATGAGAGAATCTGTGTAGTGAATAGTTAAGAAAGAGAATCCATTGATTTGGGAAATCAGATTTTTTCTGCATAACGCAACTCTTTTCGATACGAAAAGTCGTGAAATGTAAGAGAAGCAATAACAAGTAAAAAAACTAGTTTTATACGATAAGGTACGGGGTAGCTAAAATAATAAATAAGTAATTACTTACCATTTGCTATTTTTCTGGTACTTGTCGATGGGGTTTCAGCTACCCTATCCAAAATTGCTTCTTCCAAAGCAGGAGTTCTCACATAATTTTGTCTTCCACTGTTACTAGAGTTTTTCTTAAACGTACCAGTTTCCCGAAGTCTATCGTCAATTCTAGAAAACGTCTTAGCGCATGGAAGATGCCTATTTGGAAAGCGCTCCTGATAAAGTCTGCGAGCTTCATTGGCATTTCCAGAAGCGAGTCCAAAACATAAGTGCATGTCCGTCATTTCGCCGAATGTGTAATCATTATTGTAGTTATTGTGAGCCATTTTAAACAAAATAATAACAATACAACGAATCGCACCAGAACACTTTTAGAAATAATGTTTAACTGAAGAAACATTTTTATCAGTGAGCGAAAAAAATTATCCATGAAACACAAAAACGCCAAAAAAATACATATTTTTACTTTTTTATTCTAAACAGCTAAATACAAACCTTATGGTCTTCATAATAAATAAATGGGAACTAAATTTTTAAATTTTATTTAGAGAGCTAAAAATAGTATACAGGGTGATTGATTAGTGTGAGGAAGCTCTGTAGATCTGTTATAATAAAAGTAGGCAGCTTTAAGCTTCACATTTTAAAATTAGTTACGATGTGACAGGGTGTTTCATAAGGCCGTGCCAAATCAAAGTTATGTTTTTTAAATGGAACACCCTGTATATTTTTATATTTTTAGAATCTGCTCGATAATCTGATTTCAATGATATATCACACTTGTTATCTAATATGAATAGTAAAGGATCTACAGCTACTCAAAAATCACATTTTTTCAAATTCAGGTGGCTGTTGTAGCCAAACAGTTGGAAATCGAGGAAAACGGCTTACAGTCCCTATCCTAACTTTTTAAGGTCTATTCAGTGACATAAAATACATATTATTTGATACAGGGTGATCAAAAATCCAAAATCACATCCGATTTTTGATCACCCTGTATCAACTAATATTTTTTGCCACTGAATAGACCTTCAAAAGTAAGGATAGGGACATGTAAGCCGTGTTCCTCGATTTCCAACTTTTTGGCTACAACAGCCAAAATTGAAAATTAAGCTAAAGTGGACGAATATCTTTGGATGATGTTTTCTCGGAAACGGCTGCTCCAATCGAGATCAAACAAGTATTCCTTTTTGACGTAGTTTTCAATGTAAAATGTAAAAAAAAATATGGATAAGTCATTACCAAAAACACAAAAAAGTTATGAATAATCAAAATTTTCAAAAAATTCCCAAGTACACCCCTGACGAAATAATTTCTTTTTGAAGGTGTCAAAAGGTCACTATTATTGATCATATTTAACAGCCAAAATTTGGTTCTTTTATTTGTTTCCATTTTTAAGAAAATTCAAAAAATCAAAATAAAAAAAATGATTTCGAGAGGCTGTTGCTCGCTTAGGGGGCACTTTAGGACATAGGTCTATAGGAACTTTTTTTCCATTTTTTGGTTAAGGAATCTGCCTGAGAATTTTGGGACACATTTTAAAGGACACCCTGTATAATAGGGAAGAACTGAATTAATATTTAAATGGCCGGGCTGCGCGGTGGAGACTTGCAAAATCCATAATGCGAAATTCAAAAATAGTGTAATGTAAGATATTTTCGAATGTCACAAAATGTGGATAAATTCTTATCATAGAAAGGACAAACTTAATTTAAACAATAATGGTTAGTAAAATGCACAAGTGTAATAGGTTTAGAGACAGTGAAAAGTTGCTAAAATATTATTTTAGCATGAAGTTGCCCTATCTACTTTGAGGAAAGTAGTAAACATAAACGCAAGAGAAGAAAACTGAATTCCACCAGGTGCATGGGGCTTTATTAAGCAAAGAAAATTTTAGCAGATAAAGCAGTAGTTTCCTGTCCCAATACAACGGTCCCTTTTCAAGAAATACTATGCAAGAGCAGGACAGGAACATATATAAGAATAAGATACATGAATAGAAAAATTGGTTTTGAATATTTTCAAAGTAAACTTGGCAAAAAAATGTTTAAATTTACCAAATAAAAAATTATTTTTTGTGTACTTGCTTTTCATAAAAAAATAATTTGTTTCTGCATACTAAGAAAATAAATTTAAAAGGAACTACCACTCCCAGAAAGTACAAATTTCAGTCAAACTTATATTTTTAGTCCATATTTTTTATTTATCTTATCCAGGTTATGGATTTTGTCACAAAATACGTAGAATTTATGAAAAAAATTAATATTTTTATTAGTATTATTTACCTTAAACCTTCATATTTGTAAACGAATATATTACAAAATAACCAATAAAGCTTAAGTAACTGCATAAAATCTAAAACCGGCGATATATCGAATTTCAAACACTATTTCCCATTTAATACTAACAATTCTGTTCCACGTGACGTCACCGTCAGTCAGCTGCATGCGCAGGAACACACCGTTATTCTGTGTATCGTGTTGTTTGCAATTTTATACATCGATCGGAAAGTAACTCTGTAATATTTATTGGTTTAGGCAACTGAACATACTTTTCGCGACTGGTGCGCCATCTGGCATAGAAAATATTGATTATCATGGTATCCAAACGTAAAAGAGGACCGTTGGGGGCAGCACCTCCCGGTGCCCTCTGAAATTTTTATGCAATGTTCAATTTTAGAAAAAACTACTTACTGTTTTCAAAAATGGTAAATACACAAGTTGTTCAGTGGCAAATGAAGAATGGCGGATGATAACATTTATACGTATATGACTTGTTTTATATTTTTTTCATTTTATTTTTTTTCTGTTTATAAAAAAAAGTTATCATGCGCCAATCTACGATGCATAAGAAGCACGGATACAAAAAAGATATTTTTTTTGGTGAGTATTAAACCCGCAATTTGAACATTAACATTTCCAATATGGCGGACGGGTATAGAACCCTCTTAACCTGATGGGGTGTAAAATAAGGATACAATAAGCCTAGAACTTCAATACAAGTGGGCCTTGAACCACATCCTAATTCAACTAGTTAGATGTTACATTCATATGATCACTCCATATGTTTAGTAATCCTAGTATAGTTCTTAAATAATTCCAACAAAGAAGCAAAACAGCAAAATTTGAAGAAAGAAAATTGAAAACCTCGTTTTGGATATTTAAATAATGATCTTTAAATATAGCTCTTTCTTTAACAATATCTGACTAAACAAGAACAAAAAGTATATGTTATATTTGTCAAATTACGTATACATTTAAAAATCTTATTCATAAAACAGGAACACTTCATTTTATTTAAAAACTTCATTCTAAATATTTATTGTGTAAGATTCGTTTAAAACATGTAAAACCTTTAATTTCAGAATATAATTCATTATTACAAAATAACTTAAATTAAAATAAGATAATAAAAATTATTTATTAACTTCCACTACTTGATTAGTACAACGTTTATTTAAATAAAAGCATATCAATAAATAATAATTGATGTTTACACAAAAATCAAATGTCCTGTTCCTCTAGAAAATTACCAGTTAAAATATTTAATTGTACTAACAAAAATGTTATTTCTAATATAATTTGAAATGTTGTTTTCTGCTTGGGTAATACTAAAGTGTTATTAAATAGACAATTAGTGACCTATTACAGAATTATTATATTGGCCACACTTTGACCATGTTGATTCATAGTTTGAATAACACAGCTTCGATAGGGCCTGTTTAAAAATGGAAATAAGGAGCCTAATTAATTGCATATTAAAAACATTTGTTTCATTAATATTTGCATTAATTTCATTTTCATCATCTCTTAGATATTTACAAAAATTTTATTAAGCTTAATTATACTCAATATAATGCGTCTATGACTAACTCAATAAAATCTAGTTATTTTAATATTTTGTTTTATTTATCTACAGCTAGAATTAAATAATCACAATCACGTTTCTTAAAATTTACAAACCCTTGACAGATATTTAAATTCTAAGTAATCTAAGTCCATATCATTCAGACAGATCTAATTTTCAAAATTAGCTGTCAAAGTTTAGCAGTCCATTAAAAGTTTTAAAGATGAAAATCTTTAAATCAGAAACATGTCTAATCATTTAAATAATAAGTATTTAAATTATCACTATTATAAAAATCAGTCTGGTTCCTTTAGAATATGAATGAAATATTTTAACAAAACAGATATGGCTTGAGACAAAATAAAAAAAAAAAACAAAAAAAAACATTAAACATACCATACTCACCATAAGAGCCATATCCTTGTTGTTGTGGTGGACCACCATAATTGTTACCCCACTGAGGAGGAGGACCTTGAGGTGCGGGTGGAGCACCCCAGCCCTGATAAGAACCAGGCCCAGAGGGTGTACCATAGCCAGCATAGCTCTGTTGCTGAGGTGATGTACCCCAACCCTGATAGCTTTGCATCATATTGGGACCCATGGGCGCACCCAAGTTCATTGGAGGTCCACCCATCTGTCCATTTGGGCCTTGCATCATGCCCATGGGTGCCTGAGGTGGGCCCCATGCAGAAGCTGGATCGCCTCCCATTTTATTTCCCCCAGATCCATCGCGAGGTTCTGCTTTCTTTATTTCCACCTATAAATATATTAAAAATTATAGTTTTGAATGACAGGTAAAGTAATAATTATAATTAACCATGTTAGGGTAAAAAGTATTTAAACTACTTTAGCAAATAAGTTTATTATTATCTTAATGTTGCTAGATCAGGAAATGAAATCGATAAAAGCTCTTAATAATTAAAATACAATTAAAATAAAGCTGATTAGAATAATTATCACGAAAATTTGACCTAATAAAGTTATGTTTAAATAGTATGAGTTACAATTTCAATTTTTTGGTAATAGTAATTAAAAAATTAGAATTATTTTGGGATGTAGAAATAAAATATATTTTAATACAAAATATCACCCAATAAACGATTTTACCTATAAATTAACAAACAAATAACTATTTATATAATTTTTATAATGTAACTTTTACACTTCAGCAATTGTGATGATTATCAATTTTACAGATTCACTAGTATTGTTATTAATATCTCTCAAATATTTTATTAAATACTTAATTGTTGACCTACCTGTTTTCCATTTAAATTAACAAAATGTTCAGAAACACATCTGTCGACTGCTTCATCATCCTCAAAAGATAAGAAACCAAATCCTAAAATTATTAATTTAGGTTAAAAAAATGAATTATTTGTGAGTTTGTATGTTTGTTTAGAACACTTAATTTTGGTGGCCCAATTGTCTTCCAATTAACACCTGAGGACAATCTGACACATGTATTGAAAGAATGTATTTAACTTTTAAACAATCTTTGAAAAAGTATAAGCATTAACAAAATATAATACCAAATTTTCATTTTTTTTGTATATGTAGCTTTATTTAATTTAATACCTCAAAAACTATATTTTTAGTAGGTACCTAGGCATTAAGCTTAAATTAGTGTTGTACTCTTTTTGCTATAAAATAGATGTTTGTTGTATATAAGTTCTAGATTAAATATGTAACTACCTCTTGATTTTTTCTTTTCTTGGTCATACATAATAACAACCTCCATAACTTTTCCAAATCTTGTAAAAAAACTTCTAAGATCCGTTTCTGTTACATTAGATGGTAAACCTCCCAAAAAGACTTTGGGGTATCCTCCACCCTTCTTAGGTTTTTGCAATGTTCTTGGATTACAAGGTTTAGGGTCAATTGTTCTAAAGCAAAAATTCACACCTCAGATATTATCAAATTAATAAACTGGCACCTACCTTCCATCAAGGGTATGAGGGCCATTTTGCAAAACCACATTTACATTTGCTGGATCAGCAAATGTGACAAATCCAAATCCTCTTGACCTTCCAGATTCAGCGTTCTTCATTACAACACAGTCAATAACTTCTCCATATCTTGAAAAGTACCTTTGCAAATTATCCTGGGTTGTCTCCCAGGATAAACCTCCAACAAAGAGCTTGCTAAAATTGGAAAAAAAATCATGCAACAGAAATCTAAGCAATATTTAAAAACAAAAATAGACCTTTTCCTTGCTAGTCTTAAACATTTTCCAGGTTGTAATAAAACAGAAGAAAGTTGAAACCAAGGTTTATTACCAATATTATTTTTAATTTCCAATTAGTAAAAATATTGATTTTACAAAAAGCATAAGAATTTTCTTGATTTATAAAACCATAAATGAAAATTGATACAATTCTCAATTTTATATTCCATGACTTCTTTTAGATAAGATTAGGTATGTTTTCCAAGTTTGTAGTATAATATTTAATTTTAAGAATAATAAGAAACAATTATATTTTTCCTGTATAAAACCTGAACAAAAAACAGTTAAAACTACTAGACAAAAATTCTGATAATTAAATGAATTACTCAAGTAAATTACTTTTATAAAAACTTCTATTTCATGAACTGACAAAGCATATTTTGATTTGATTGTAAAATTATTGTATATTGAATTAAATTTAGATTAACAAAAATGGTGACAAATTTAAATCAGAATGTCAAATTTGGCCACCCATTGTATTATAATACTTTTTTATTCAGTTCACTAAATCAATATCTTTAATTTTGTTTTTATTGTTCAACCTCACTATAATATTCTGAAGAAGACAATAAACATTAATAAAAATAATGATCTTTTTTATTATAAGGCCATTCTCAGTTAAAATCTGACTGCATCCTCAACTAAATCATCTAATTGTGTACCAGATAGGTAATTACAAACAATTAAGCAAAATTGAGTATATTAAATGGTCCAACTATAAAATGAATTTTGGTAGATAATAGTAAAAAATCAATTTTATCCAATGGAACAACTGATATGAAATAATTAAAAATAAAGCTTAAATACAAGATTTTGTTTAAATATGTGACAGGACACTCCAACTGCAGAACAAACTTAAGGGACACCACTAGTGTGAAATTTTGATTTTTTTTTGCATATTTTGATAGTCTATAACTTTAAAAATACTGTATGAAAATTTCAAGTGTATATCTCAAATAATTTTTGAGTTACAGCCATCTGAAGAGCAGCTGTTCATCCGTTCAAAAGTTGCGTTAGCTTGGAAAGAGTGTTTCTCTACATTTTTTAAACTTGCTGCAGTTTTAACTCTAAAACAAATCATCTGATCGATTTGATTCTTGTTGCAGCTTCTTTTATGTATGTTTCTCCATACCATGAACCTCCACTTTTCCAAGTGGATAAAAAATTCAAATTTACCCACTAAATTTGAAACTTTTTAAAAAAACTCCGCCATTTTGTTTAATTTCATTTTTTTTTTCAGTAGAGGGTCATGGTATGGGCAATACCTTCTAGTTTAATAAACTTGTTTTTTTTTATTTCAGGCACTGTGAAGGTCGCTATCACTGCAGCAGTGGAGGGACTTTTTTTAAGTCTTGGGAGATTACGAATAATGCACTGAATTTTAAATTTTTCTGTTCGAAAATTTTATCATATGTATTATATATTGACAAATATATCCTGAAAAAATTAAAACATTCCTTGCAGTAGTTGTCTTTAAAAAAATTCCCGAAAAACATCTTAAAAAAAGGAAATGAATACATAACTATGGCTTTATATTTTTAGTGATTCATTGTGAAAAAATATTAAAAAGTAAAAGTTGAAATCATCTGTAGAATTGACCAGTGAACCCTAAATGAGAGCTACAATTGCCAACATTGCAGTGATACTGACTCAGAAAAAAATTATTTTGTTGAGGAATACACAACAAAAGATCTTTTTTTAGCTCTTCACATTTCAAATCATCAACCTGTCTAGTTAGTATCACCCTCAGCTGCATTATTTCAATTTCGTGGCCCCAGACAATTTTAATTTAAATCTGGAGGCTCCAGGTCAAAATGACACTGTTGGCAATCCTAATGAAAGCTGTTACCAATTCTGGAAATATATTTTTAATACTAACACTGACCAGACTGATTTCTAGTGGGGAATACTTTTTAAATTTAAAATATTTTTGGGTTATAGACATAGTGAAGTGGATTCCAAATCAGTGAAGAAATTAAAATAGCTTTACATCAAAACAACTGCATTACTTCAAAGTATTTGAGCATTAATATAGTTAAATGTATTAGGTACAATACAATGAGGTTATTAAGCTAATAAGACCATATTTTTGTTATCTTGCATATTTTAAAATATATTTTTGTGTGATAGAATTAATTTCAAAACGAATGAATGTTTAGTGAAAATACGGGGCTAACTACCTACCTACATATGTAGCTGCAATAAAATAAAATTAGCATAAGGTTAAAAATATTAATTTCAATCATAACCTTTACCAAGACTTCCTAAAATATTGTAAAGCTGTCTAATAAACAAACTAAACCTCATAGAATAGACAGAAATAGGTTTAATGAATAAAATAATAATAGGAAACAATCTTGCTTTTTTTGTATAAATTCCCAATTTTAGGTAAGTATTTTGTATCTATTGTAATCTTCTTGTGAAAAATATACAAAAAATATGGATTCACTAAATTGATCATTTAGTATAATTTTGATATCAAAAACATAGGTAGATACCTATACTTAAAAATGGTAAATTGGATGTTTAGCTGTTTCACATTCCAAATTTTCTAATGTAAACAAAATAAGATTAGTCTTTCCTAGTAAATAAACCTGAAATTTAATTATAATAGGGTATTATAGGAGCCATTCAAAATGAAAGAAAATGACAATGTATAACCTATATTTTTTGATTTTCAAAAATTTCCGACTCATGCATATATTTTAGTACTGGCAAAATAATTTTATAGTACACAAATATACTTAAATGTACTTTTACCAAAGTATAATGTATATTTGAGCATTTTTTGATAAACGGTTATTTACTATTCACAACGATATAGGCATTTGATTGGGGTCGGTGAACGCTACCAGCATTCTGATAGAATGGGCAAAACTACTTAACAATTTTCGAAAAAATATAATATGCGAGTACTGAAAGCATTTTCATTATGTTTAATATGTAATGAGTAACTGCATCCTATCACAATATTCTTTAGAAAACGAAAAAAACGTATGGCAAATCTAGAATCGCACGCTGTGACCTAATAAGCAGATTATTTATAAAAACTTGGCACAAATTTGTAAATACCCCTTCTCGTCATCATCCATAATCTCTTGTTTGAGTCGCAACATTCGCATGCTATTTATTAACACAGTTTTTGAACACTTTTACTAATTTTATTTCAACCCAGCCGGTAACACTCGCCACTCATCAACTACAAGCTACCATACTACAATGGCAGCTTCGGAACTTCCGTCAAATTTACGTAAACGTGATTTTAAGCGCCACCGCTATGCTTGTTATTTAAAAAAATATTTTGGAAAATACATACCCGTACTCGTACTCTTCCATTATAATTAAGACTTCTTACACTAAACTTAAAATTAATTTAAATCTAACGTTAAGAACTATCCTAATTAACAACTACGATAGGAATACAAATACACCACAAGCATGATGACATACCAAGTGGGGAGGGGAATAGGGGAAGGAACCACCATTTTAGAAGTTGACAGCCGCGTTGCCACGTTCAGCTTCCTATAAATTTGTTTTCTCTTTTTAATACACTCTCACATCGATATGTTTCTCTTTGTCACTCAATGGAAAAGTTAATCGTAAAGCCGGATTCACACTTTGGTAATAATAAAAAAATAGGAATATTTGTTTTTTTTATCGGGAACTGCCATTCTGTAAAGGAATGCTTGATTTTGATTCATCTTTAGTTTTAAAAAATTAAACCATAAAAATATAAAATATTTAGCATGTTTGATGAGGATTCTCGCAAATTATATACTTGCTTTTAAAAATCAATGCACATACAGGGTGTCCCATTAATCAGAGTAATTTTCCCACTCTGAACTGTAACAGAGTTCAGTGCGGTAATTGTTCGATATTTTAATTTGTTTTATAGACAGGGCCGACGAGAGGGGGTAGCCGGAACAAATCTGGTTATAGACACGCAAACAGAGAGGTTTCAAATGGATTTGAAAATGGGATACTTTAAAAATATATTTGGATATTCCTATAGGTATATACCCAGTAAACCACAAATAGTCGGCATTCGCATGTAACGGAAGCCGAGTACTCGGATTGCCGTTGTCGGGGTTGTTTCATCTGAGCCGGGAAGACCGTACCATTTGACGTAATTTAGAAGTAGAAACCGCATGTGGTCCACATATTTGGCTTTCCAGACATGGGAGGCATTCTTACGGACCGAATGCGGTAAATATTTGGCTAGCCGGGCATGGGAGGCATCCTTACGGGCTGAACTATGTATAGATATATAAACGCGGCTACAATGTAGTGGGCTGCCGACATTCGACTGGGCAGACATGCCTAGGGGATATATTGTGGACATGCCCTATCTATATGCGGAAGCTGCACCCGTATATCGGGCCGAGTCCGGCATCTGTCAAGCCTCCTTCGGCCCAGTTACGGTGCCGATCTACTGTGCTTATTGGGTAAAGTGTTACTTTTTTGTCTGGAAAATAAAAATATATTTTTTAAATGGAATGCCGTACCTATAATAATTTAAGTATTTCAGTGAATGATCTAGTAATACCTACTGTGTATTTAACCCTAGAATGTTTTTGAAAATTATTACACTGTTGCCAAGGAATAATTTTTTGTGAAATTATAGCGAATAATATATGCGCAGCCCCCAAATAAAATTATGATAATTTTTAGGTAGGTTTATTTAGCAATGATTTTGAAATTGCTTAAAATACAGTATGATGAGATATACCATATCAATACAACGCGTTTTATTCAGATAGTGTGTTGAAACTAAAGAAATTAATATATAAATTGGTGGCACAAATAGTTTAAAATGTTTTAAAATAACTGTTTGTAATCGTCCCCTTATGTTTTTTAAAATTTTTTTAAATCTTGACTGCACCTGAAGATGGAAAAAAATTAATTTCCGAAACATATGTAGTGCTGTGCTGTGAAAATAAAAACAATGACCGATTAAACCAAGGAAATTTTTTTTTATATAAAATTCTGGTACGGTCAGGAAATTATCCTTATTCAAAAAAATATAAGTTTGATTCGCCCCTCATTATATGGACTACCATTGGCGTTCAAAAATTTTCCAGGAGGGGGCAATATAAGCAGAGTCAAGTATATGGCGATAAAAATGCAAAATCTCAAATCCAGGGGGGCGGACGCACCCCCGTTGACCTTGTACTTTAATTTGTATTAAAAAATCTTCGTTTCTCCAATAGTAAATACGTATCGATCAATTACGCATTGGGGCACCCTAGGTTAACATGGTTGTATCGTTGGATAACAATAGGTACAAATTAATTATAAATTTAATGCTAAAATAATAATATACATGCATCAGGGTGTTTCGTTTAAGAAAATTGAGTAAATGGAACTTTTAAAATGATAAAATATTTATGACATGTTTCAAAACACTATAATATGTAATAAAAAAAATGAACCAGTTCTATCATCATTATTTGTTAACTTGGTATGTAAGTCTTTATTTTAAAAAAATTTTGATAGCATAGCTAAATCTATTTCATTTGGGATCTGTACCATTTTCCAATTTCACAAAAAAAATTAATTGCTTGGCAAACCTGTAATATTAGTTTCCCTCACCTGTAAGTTATCAAATGGCACCATCAATCATCTTTAAGTTGCCCCGAAATATCACGGCAAATAATCCGTCCCTTTCCCACACAATAGAAGCTCAGTCGGCTTCAGATATTGAAATTCACTCGTAAGGGGGTGAATTAGGAAAAGTATTATTAATATTAATATTATTAAAAAATATTTTAGGATTAAATACGGCATTACCAGATCATTCTAGAATTGATATAAAATACAGGGTATATTCTATTTAAAAAATACCTATACATTTTTGTGTGCCAGGCAAAAGCGTAATACCCTGTATATCCACAAATAATTTTAGAGTATGCCTTTTTCAAATCCATGTAACTTTTATTTAAATCGTGTTTGCGTGTTTATACTTAATAAAAAATTATACGCACTAATGGAACACCCTGTGTAGGTAGGTATTAATTTAAGAATATATATAGTTCCAAGATAATTATTGAATATTTTTCTATGAATGGTCAGAACAGGAATATTAGTATTGAAAAAATAAATATCTGCTCTCTATTTGGTACTTTTTTACCAGTCTCGGATTAACACAAACAATTTTACCTAATTCTTCCATCATTAGGTGTTTGGATTCTTATAACTTTAACCTACTTGAATCAGCAATAGATATTTGTTGCTGACATCCAAACAATTTTTAGTATAAATACCTATAAATTATTTACAGGCTGTATCAACGAAAACTTCACATAGGGTTTTGGGTATAGTAATTAGTAATATCGTAGAGAGTTCGATTTTAATTTGGACATCTTTTATACTAACCGACTATCCTCAACTGTTATACGTCATTCTCCCACAATTCGCCACTCTATAACTAATTTGATTAGTCATTTAATGCGTGGCATAAAATTTGTTATTTTGGCTGATTCCCATTAAAGTTTGAATTTCTTAACATTAGAGTTCTGCAAGTTCAATTATGTTTGTCATGTTGTGCGCAATAATAAACTTCTAATAAAATTAGCTTTCAAATAAAGTGTTGCACTATATAATATGTAACAGTTTTTTATCCCGTTAGAGGGCGCTAAAATTAAAAAATAGGGGCGGGCATAGACCATGCTCCAGGGGGGTTAGATTTCTGGGTATGCATTTTATATGACAATAATTCGTCCCCATGACAATAAAACTTAAACATGTTTTTTTTATTTTAAAAAACTCATTTGTTTCATCACACCCTGTAAAGAGTATATAGGTACTCTAGTTTTTTTGTACTACTAATCTCAATTATCTTTCGTAGTATATAAAGGGGGATTTTGTTTACATTATTACTTTGTATTTAAGTTGAACATAGTATAATCAATTATTATTAGAACATATTATTTGTTTATACTATAATGGCTATATCTCATAAAGATATCAGAAAATACTTAAAATCATTTCTAGGATACGAAAGGGAGAATTTAAAACTCTAAATACTTACAAAACTCATCCCTATCAACCCCCTATATGCGCCACCTTTTCTCAAAAAAAAAAGCAGCTAAATTTTATTTTTTTTAGTTCAGGTGTACAATATAGTTTTTATTAGGTTTCATTTTTCTGATATCTTGTTTAGTTTATCTAACTTCTTTTGCCGCGTTTGAGAATCCACATCGGATGCATTTTGTACATTTCGAGCGTTTTTTATCCACATCGGACACATCTGTCCCATTACATTTACGTATACTGAATCACGTGATCAAAGATTTACTACATCTCAGATGCATCCGATGTGGATTCTCAAACGCGGCATCTATATATATAAAATTCTTTGTCCTGACTGACCTATCAACGTATAGCCAAAACTACTGAGCCTAGAAAGCTGAAATTTGGAACATAGGTTTATTTTATAACGTAAGCATCCGCTACGAAAGTATTTTTGGAAATTTTAACTTTGAAGGGGGGAAATGGGGAGAGGGAGCTTTTAATGAAACTCTAATTGTTCTTTAAAGTTAGAAACATGAAAATTTAAATTACAGCTACTAAGCATAAATAAATAATGACGGGTTTTTGGAATTTCACATTTTAAGGGGGGACACGGGTGGTGCAAGTTTGTATGGGACTATCGATTTTTTATGTTCTCTTTGAAGTTAGAAACATTAAAATTGGAATTGCAGCTACCGACTACAAATTATTAATGAAGTGTTTCAGGGTTTTTGGATTTTCACATTTTAAGGGGGGGAAATGGGTGGTAAAAATGTATTTGAGAGTATCCATGTTTTTGGTTCTCTTTAAAGTTAGAAACATGAAATTTGGAATTGCAGCTACTGAGTACAAATGAATAATAATGTGTTTTAGGGTTTTTATATTTTTACATCTTAAGGGGGGCAAACCGGGGGTGAAAGTTTGTATGGTAGTATATATTTTTTTGTTCTCTTTGAAGTTAGGAACATGAAAATTGGAATTGCAGCTAATGAGTACAAAATAATAATGACGTGTTTTACGGTTTTTGATTTTCACATTTTAAGGGGGGAAACGGGGCGTGAAAGTTTATTTGGAAATATCGATATTTTTAAAGGTAATAACTTGAAAATTGGAATTGTAGGTTCTCATCATAAATAAATAATGAAGTGTTTCAGGGTTTTTGCATTTTAGCATGTTAAGGGGGGAAATGAGGGGTGAAAAACTGTTTAATAGTATGTATATATATTTTTGTTATTTAAAGTGTGAAACAAAAATTTTAATTACAGCTACTGATTAAAAATCAATAATGATGTTTCATGGTTTTTGGATTTTCACATTCTAAGGGAGGGGGGGGGGAACGGAGGTGAAAATTTGTATAGAAGTATAATTTTTTGAACGTTGGAACTTGAAAATTATAATTGTAGCATAAATAAATAATGACGTGCTCTGTGGTTTTTAGATTTTTGTATGGTATAGTATCATAAAAATAAACTAAAATTCATGAATTTTTTATACATAAAACACGACTTCACGCGTGCGACGCCGCGGGCAACAGCTAGTTATGAGATATAGCCATTGTGAGTTTTGGTTAGGTAGGTATATATCTCTCTCAAAACTAGAATGAAATTTAATAGCTATTTATGAAACCAGTTGCGAAATACCTTATTTTATAAAACGAGTAAATATTTGCGGGAGGAGCAGAGCGAGGTCCCGCATGAACGGGTTAGATAAAACGGCATTTCGTAGTGTTACATGCAACATTTTTTCTAATTTTGACTAAAATTGTATTTTGGTTCACTGACATTTCGGCAACAAATATTACTTTCTTGTATTGTTAGTTGCATATGCATCATTTTATTGACATTTAAAACATCATTATTAATTATTTATTCTCAACGACTTGCAGTGTGTGTTTACATATATTGTTTATTAGTTACTTTGTTTTCAAAAAAGTGAGTTATTTTGTCGTGTATTGTGTTTTATTTTATGCTGATTTGGTCTGGAAAATAAGGACCAAAACAACAATATTAATAGGTTGTAAGTTTAACCAAATTCTATTTTTATAAATAAATCTGCCCTTCTTTGGTATACATTTTTAATAATGTATATTATGATTTTAAAACCAAAGGAAGGTTTATTTTTTAGTTTTTTTTTTCGCAACTGGTGACGTAATTTTTCAAAACCAGTGTCACAATTTTCAACATAATGCAACTGGTTGCGTAAAGTAGATCATTTTGACATTTGCTGCGATTAAAAAAATGTCCCTTTTTATATCAAAATATGTTTTGCAGCTTTTATGGAATATTATTTGTAACTGTAGGTCACAAATAAAGTGCAATTTTACTGGAAATATTAAAAAGGGTTTACATTTGAATAACTGGCGATGATGTCATATCTTGGACAGTGATGTCATAAAAAATATACGTATATAAAAAAACTGCGAGTTTAAAAAACAAAATCGACCTGTCCGAGCCCCGAGCATTTTCTATTACGGCAAATATTGCCATACAAATCTGATGTCGGTCGCTTCTACCGAAACGTGTTTCATATAATTACATGTGTTCAGATGTGAAGAGACCGTTTAGTGTCGAGGCGCGTTTTGAAGTCGGTCTCTGCCTCGGCTTGCGAAATGGTAGCTTTACTGTCTAATAAAGACAGAAAGAACCCCGACATTTTTTACATTGCATATTGTATCTATAGAACAAGATGCGACTCTATGGGGGCAGCCATTTTTATTGCTCATCTCCTTCAGGAGTATTTATAACCATTTTGTTTTACATTATTATCCAGTCAACAAGCTAGTGGATCAGACAATAACAATGTGAAATAGAAAATGGTTATTATAAATACTCCCGAGCAAGATGAAAAATAACTTGTAACATAGAGTCGCATCTCAAGCCTATTGACAAGCATTGTAACCCATTCCAGTTCATTGAGCTTGACTGAACGACCGCACCTACAATATGTTCAAAGCCACTAAAGTTAAAAGTATGAGGTATAATATGAGGCTAGACTACCTCAGTCATTTTGAAATTACGACCTTAATATATCTAATAATAAATAAAATTCTTATTCTAAATTTTAAAAAAATTAAAAACCTAAAGCCGGATCTAGATCAATAAATATTTACGTTGTGCGTTGTATTTGACACAAATTTGCTCGTGTTCGTCAAAATATTTCTAGATGTGGACTGTGCGCCGCAAAAAAAAACACGCAAATATTTGCGCCAGATTCAACACACGCTATTCACCTGTCTGTGGGTTTTCTGCCAACTTCAAAGAGATTTGCGTCGAACGACCCTCGAGTTCTTGTTTTAAGGTGGACTTAAATATTTTTTAGTTTGTACTATTATTTCAGTCACAAATTATTGCTACGCACGAAAATGGATCGCAATAGATACACCAACACAACGCATATATTTGCAAGACAAAATCACAATAAAAAAATATTTGCGCCGCAAATATTTTTGTCGAATTCAACACACAACATTCAACACAAAAATTTATTGATCTGGACCCGGATTAAGAATTTATTATATTTTTTAAATAAAATCATTAGCTAGAGAGTAAAAAAATACCTTTTCTCTAATAAATTATATACATATAATAACAATAAGATTTTTCCTTAATTATACTCTTATTCGAGAAAAAATACGGCATTTCTAAATATAAATTTTTTTCAAGGTTCTCTAAGAACAATTATTTATTGGTTCATCGGCAAGCAAAGCTGTGGAAAAAAGTAGCAACTTTTACAGGTGTCTGGGTTCATAAAAAACAATTTATTTTCGACATATTTTAATTAAAATGATACAACAAAAATCACAAGCCACTTAGTATCTAGAATAAATAAGAATATTTACTAAATTTTCACATGAATGAAATATGCTTAAAGATGAAATTAATTTTCAACTATTTGTTTTAAATCCAGCATCCAAATAATAATTGTATCAATTTTGTTTAAAATTTTACAAAGATTACTCATCTGTCAAACGAGAGTATCAAATTTTAGATAATTAAATTTGAATTTCAGATTCAAAACAAAACAGTTGCAGACCTTGTGGTGTCCGTAGAAAAAAAAATGGAATTTAAAAAAAAATTAATCTTAAATAGAGAATGCAAAATAATCCTGGAAAAACGTTATATATATATATATATATATATATATATATAACTCTAAATATATCTAGTCTTCCAAATTTTTATTTACAGCAAAAGGTAAATCACTAATTTAAGTTTCTTTTTGAATAAATTTGATGACAATGTTTGAAAACTATGTTAAATTAAGTAATTTATAAATAAAACATTTCCACAAATTAAATTTTCCATTTGGCAGGATATTTTTTAGACATCTTATAGAGACGTCAAAACAGTGATCACTAGTAAATTTAGAGTGTAATAACAGCTGATTCTGATGACATCGAGTAAAAAAAAAAGAAAGTTTGACAGGATTGTTACTATGCTATATTAGTCTTCCACTGACACTTAACTTATTTTGTCATTGAATTTGACATACGTTTGAAGATCTAATAAAGTAATTTAAAGGTATGTAACCAAATTATTGTTAATATTTAAATGAATATAATCTTGAAAATAAAATAAAACATGTTTTATGAATAACAATAACCTTTATTTTTGTTATTGTCAGTGGAACCAAATGATGTCATCACAAATATAATGTACTGTTAAAATAAAAAAATATTTCTTTTTTCTCCAAATCCACAAAAGTTGAAAGTTTTTATTTTTCGAAAAACGTCAAATGAAAATAATTTAATTCAAATATTATGTACAGATCGGCAGGAATAGTAAAACATGCGAGATGCGCCAACGTTAGACCCGACGCAGAGAACGATCGCCTCAAACAAACTGAATGAAATGAAATCTCAGCACTTCTATTAACTGCACACAAGACATTGACGACTTCAGCTATTTCTGTCGATCTGTACCTATTAAAGTTGTTTACACTTCAATTATGAAATTGTATGCAGCAACAAAGTTGCAATATATATGCAACATCTACTTCGTTCATTTGAATTATGCCAATTAAAGGTTTATAATACTATTAATATAGTTCCTCGAGTCAGTCATCAAACGTGTATTATAAATAACAACATGAAATAAGCTAAAAACAATGACGTCAAAGAAGGAGAAAAGAGTAGTTTTACACTAGCAGTACCAATATCGTTTTTCTCCCAACATTGACGTCACTGTTTTCGAATTATTTCATAAGCTTTTATATTCAATGATAAATAAAAGAACTGTATTAACTCAAGATTATTTATGTCAACAGTAAATTACAATACTTGAATTTTATGAAGTACTATGATAGTTTTTTATACTTTCCAATTATATATGTGTAAATTATTTTACATCTGACAATAAAGCTCAATTTTCTTTCAACCTCTACCACCTAACCTCGTAAAATATAACTTATATGACACATGGTATTCTTGTCATTACTGCAAACTGTTTCATAATTGAACTATATATATGTAAATCACACTAAAGTAGGTCTCATATCGAGTGCTGAGTTGCCAGTTAAAACCTTAATTTCATCTAATCTAAATAAACTACGTGGCAACAAATTGGACTGACTCATTAGCGTAATTTTCAATATGACAATCCAACTCAGGCTAGTCGAATATTACCTTTATCTAAGTTTAATTTTAGGTAAAGATAAAGAAAATTTTATGTTCTATAACAGACATTTTAGCGACTTTTCGTCACTATAAAGATATTTGTGTATCACATTTATTATTTGTTGGATCAGAATTTTACTCGTTAAAGGTGATTAATTCAAAGTTTGTTTTCCATACCTCACTACAGACATTTTTTTTAAATTACTATAACAGCATATTTCTTCTTTTATAATAAAAACGCATGTATTTGAAAATTTGTTTCAAATTTAGGATAAAAATAATTGCGAAAACAAAATAATTATCAATTAAACAAAATAAAATATATACCTATTAAAAAAATAGTGTCAATAAAATTTATTTATTAAAAGTCTGATCATCCTATTGATATAAATATTATTGTGGCTAACATTGTACTTTCCCGCCCTTATGTCAAAAGAACGTCTTTATGAACAGGTTCATAGAAACGCATCAATTAGTAATAAAATCATTGAGGGCTTGTTAACCCATTATACAAAACAATAGAATTTAAAATATTTTTATCAATCAATGTTTCATAAAATCTATCTTAATTAGATTATACAGGGTGTTTCATCATCAAACAGTTGATTCTAAATATTCAGTACTTTATGGGTTTTACATCCTTCATAACCGAAAATAGATCGTTATAGAAATATAAATTCTACAAAACAATGGATATTATTATAATTATTATTATACAACGTGTCCACTTCTTACTTCACAATTAACGAATAACCTTTAATACTTTTCTAACATTTGGCACACATTTTTTTCCTAAAAAAGTTCAAAGGAATAATGTGATGCGAAAGGCAAGTCTTTAATCAATTCTTGTACCCAAAACAACACTTGGTATATCCGAATTTATAAATTTTTTTTACATATTTTAAAATGGCACAAAACACTGATTTAAAGAGCATACTTTGTTTTTCACGTATGCAATTTTACTAATCAAATTTTAGACTCGTAATAAATGCAACTGCAATAAAAAACAGTGGTATTTTTTTTTAATAAAATTTTAGTAATTTGTTGTGTATATGGACTGATATGCTGTGTCTTGTTTTTCTTTTACATTTCTATTGTTAAACACTTTCTGTACTCTCGACTATGTACTGTGTATGTAATATATTTTCATCTTTCATCTATAATATTATCAAAAAACTATTTCGAAGTTTCAGAAAAGATTCGAGTTCGGAAAAAACATAACCGTTATTGGGAGAATGTCCCAAAACAAGCACGTAAGAAAACTTTCATAAAGACCATGTTAAAAAAAAGAACTACTCTCTATGAATAGGAACCAATTGAAAACCATAACAGGACTCGTGATGACTAGGTATGTCCCAGTACAAGTACACCTGATTCAAATACAATGAAGAACAATAAATCAGGAACAGTCAAACACATGCTATCTAACTGAGAAACATTGGAACACAAGACAGGTTGGTCCAAGAACTTGCAATCTTTTAGTACCTATTGTGCAATTCATTCTTCTTATAAATTTTAATTTTGGATTTTGAATAACTTTAGATTGAACATTTTTTATAATTCAGCAATAATTAGTCTTATTTCATTTTCTACCACCTAAAATGGCCCAAAATTAATTTTAAAATTTAAGTAAAAAAATTGTAAGTGCAAAAAAACAGACACATGTTGTTTAGATCAGATTTTTTTTTTATTTATGAAGAGATTTTAAAAATTATCATATACAAGGTGGTGTTTTGAGTACCCAAGTATTTCCTTAATTACTTGAACCGTTTAGAGGAAAAATATGTGTCATATATGTTAAAGGCCGTGTCTATTCATCAGAGCGCTCCGTCAGATAGAAAAATATACTAGCGCATGCTCATTATCCGCCTCGAAGAATAGAATTCTGTTCAAAACATCAGTACTTTTATTAGTTGCAAATTATTAACCTTAAAACAATATCTACCTACAGTTTACTATTTAAATTCGTCATAAATATTGATGTTAGATAACCATAAGGGAAAACTTGGTAAAAACTACGTTCCAATCGTATGAAAAGTATTGTATTCGTGTCAACGAAAAAATTTATTCAGCTTAATCGTGTCTCGCAAAAAACTTTAGGCAAAATTAATTACAAGGTACAAAAATAGAATGGAACCAATACGTTTTTTTTTCTACGCCCACATGGATATTAGTTAATCTACGCACAGACTACAAAACAAAAAAGTATGTTATTGCGTTCAACTGAACGAATATATTTCATATCCATTCTAGGTAGTGAAATCCACCAATCACAGTTCATATTTTGGACACTCAACTACTATTATTTTTAAAATTTTAAATGAGTGACAATTCTGTCAAACTAATTATCAGTATATTTTTTAGTTATTGAGATTAAATATACTTTTAAAATGAGTTATTTTTGTGTAGAATCGATAAATAATAGCATTTTTATTTGGTCCATATTTTGAAAAAAAAAAAAAAAAATTTTAATGAAACTATATGAAACTAATCTAATTACGAGTATTAAAACTGAAATCCTAAAACTGGCGGTGGAGGTGAGGACAGAGCTTCTGCCTTCCACGCAAAAAGCACAGGATCGAATCTGCGCTGGAGACTAAATAAATTAAATCTTTTTTTTTTTCATTTTTATTTTATTTTATAAATTAGTAAAATTCTTTTAAAATTAGTTATTTTGTCTTAAAAACCAAAAATATTTTTTTAAATTTGTAGATTTCGTTAGTGGTTCGTAGAATAAATATGTTGTACAACTCGAGTCGTGCTCAAACTTCGTCTTCATGCAATGTGGCCATTATATCCACTCTTGTTGCACAAACTACTATTGTTTACTACAATATTACGTATGTGTTCATGGAGGAAAATATAAATAATCAAGTGCTCAGAAGCATAAAATATGATTTGTTAAATATACAGGGTGGCCCATTAATGTGTAGAAATCCAATATCTCGGTTGTTTTGAAAATTACGAGAAAATTTCAAATACAAAATATAAACGTCTCGAAGAGGCACATATTGTAAAATTATTTTCCAATATACAGGGTGCTCCCAAAAAGCAAGGTAGAATATTTTTTTTTAAATTGATTGTATTTTAATTCATCTTTGAATTCTACTAAAACAATTGAGTATTTTTGTCTGAAACACAATATGTCTAAACTCAATTGAAAATTAACTTTATCACTCTTTGACAAGCTTTAGCATCCAAACGGTTGAAGTTAGGGTAAAACGATTCACAGATCTCCGTCTTAGTTTTTTATACTTTATCGTAATAATATGCAATAAAATAATCCACTTCCTGTTTAACCGGAAGTTAGATTATTTTTTAGATTAACTTAAACCAAAAGTTAGCATGTACATGTAAACAGTTTTACCCTTACTTCAGGCGTCTGGGTGCTACATTTTGTCAAAGTGTGAAAAAGAAAATTTTCGAATGTCAAAAGCTTGAAAACAATTGAATTTAGAGATATGGTGTTTTAAACAAAAGTACTTTTTTTAGTAGAATTCAGAAATAAAATACAGGGTGCACCATTTAAAAGAAAATGTTTTTATGTTGTCTTGCTTTTTGGAAAATATTTTTACAATAGACACCTCTGTAGACCAAAAAACTTTTATATTTGACATTCTCTCTTTAACGAGATATTCTTTGAGTCAAAATGTTAATGTTCATTAAAATTTTTAGTTTCTTAATAATTTTAGACATATTAGAGTTGTTGATCTAGAAATTGAAGAAGCGTGCCCACGGTCAAATCAATTGGAATTTTACACAATAATAACAATACCCACACCTAATAGTATATTTCTGCAATTTCCATAATTATTTTAACTAAAGCAACTAAAAATACATTTTTTTACCTCTTAATTTTTCCCTTCGTTTGCATAATATCACTAAGATGACTAATGTTTAGAACATTCTATTCTTCAGGAGGGAAAATAAGTATGCGCAAGCACGCTACCGATGAATAGTTTATTTTTCTATATGACAGAGAGCCCATATGAATAGACACGTTAAAAAAAGTCTATTTAGAACAAAGTAGATGTTCTCTGGATATCAATTCATGAACCTGAGGGTAGAAATACAAATTTTGTACGCTGTAGGTAAAAAGAAGAAAAACCTTTTTTCTACCCCCTCGAATTCAAGAATATTTCTACGAATAGCTTTAGTTTTCCAATGAATCGCCCTGTATACTAGCATCCAAACAATTTTTGATCAAAAAAAGTAAAAACCCTGAAAAATTCATTTGAATATAAAATGTTTAACATTGCTGTTTAATTATTCAATTACGTCTAAAAACAGATGATAAAATTAAAAAAAATAGAAGAATTCTGTTTTGCTTACCAACCTTTTAACAAATTTAGAAAAACGGTGGTTAATATCATATCCCGTCTAAATAATATACATGCTCAACTAAATTAATAATTTGTATATTAGATTAAAGGAGTTCAAAGCAACATACCAATAAAAGTAATGTACTAAAAGTAATGAGAAAGTAATTTTGGTGGATTTTAGATTGAAGCATTTCACTTATAGAAAAATAATTTATAAAACAACATGTATGTGTAAGAGGCACAGTTTTCAAACAGAGTGTCATATTTAAAAATAAGTAATGGTCTCATTTTTTTTTTTAAATATATATTCGTTTAATTTGAATTTAAACGGTTTTACTTTTCGCTGTAGTATCCTCTTGAATCAAAGGCCGTTAAAAAATCATTCGATTTTGATTCTTGTACTATTTAAATTGAAAAAATATTTATTGGAATTCAATTGTTCGTTTTGGATATTTGTATTACTTAATCTCTTTCGAATAAACAATTCGTAAAATATCTATAAAAATGTAAATAAAATGATTTCACTAGCTTCTACTTAATCATATCATTTTGTACTTTTCTAAGTATGACACTCTATGTAAACCTGAATGTGTGATCTATAAATATAATAAAGATAATTCTATGTTCAACACAGATATTTATTTACATTGAAATCATTCAAACAATTGTCAAAGTGTAAAATTAGTTGAAAACCAACTATTTGCATTAAAAAAAATCGATTTTTAAACATTTCCAGTATTTTTCAATAGTACAAAATGTTTGCTTCAATTTATTTCTACATTTATATTTAAACCAAATGTTTGGTTATTCTACGTCCAAACACCGCTCTACTCCTAATAATATTACAAAATTATATATAATCTTAGAACAGTCAATTTATGAGGTCCTCATCTTTTGAATCTGTTTTTGAGGAATGATAAAGTCTTTGCCATCAGTGGTGCCTTTTTGGGTTTCATTGCTGCAGAACCTAAAATATAATGAAAAATATGGAGATAATATTCTACTTTGTTCCCGACTGACTATCTTATAATTCACCCATTATAATTGTGTTTCTTTAATTATAATGGTATATTATTCACTAGGCTTTATTTGATATTGGCAGTAAATAACCAACATATCATTTTATCTCATTTCATTCTAGTTTTGTCTTACTCTTCCTAGAAGTGCATATTTCTTTTAACAAGCTCATTTATGCATTTCTGGACTCCACACGTTTGACCTTGTGAATAGAACAGATGAATTAAATTTGAACTGGAAGAATCACTTGATAAAATTAGGTGTTTTGTCGCCGCTGCTATAGCTATGCTGCCCAGTCTGGTGTGGTGTAAGTTATTTTCAGAATAGTTTCAGAAACATAGACTATTTTTATTATGGTTGGCGTGTGATAAAAAATATAATGGATGTGTATGTCATTCTCCCAGTTTCGAGCTGGCCGCTATTGCCTCTTCAATCACACTGAAAGGATAAAGGATCGGGTCTGATGGGATAGGGTGGAAATAGTGGTGGTAGGTGTTTAAGATGATGTTACTGACTCAGCATTTGCTTAAAAATTCATAGCAGGCAAAGCGGCAGTGGAACTCGAACCCACTACCTTCCAAAAAAAGGCAGATGCGTTACTGATTGGCTAAATAATTGAAGAACATAACTTCAAAAGGGTTTAGGTGCCAAAATTTTAAAAATATATATATTTTTGCATAAAAAGGTTCAGTATACCAACCCTAACGGTATCTAAATGGTTCTAAGTGCAGTTTCAAAAAAATCCATTTATTGTAGTGGGATGAACATGGCGAATGTATATGGTGTATACAATTTTTATTTTACTCATAACTTTTTTCCCTGCTTTTAGTATTTAGACTCTTTTGAAGTTTAGGTCTTCAATTATGTATCAATAAATATTGTGATATGGCGGTCATTACGTTACCTATAACAAATTGCTTATAGTGACTCCTATGAAGACTAGAGAGAAAGAGGCGAATCGGCAATGGTCAAATTTCAAATTTCCGTCCTTCTTTTTATAAAGTTCGCAAAATTGACTGTAGTTGGCATGTCGAATAACGGCGGTGTAAATTTTATATGCAAGTCAATGTAAAATGAAGTGATTTTTTAAAAAATTGGTGAAAAGAATCAAAATAATGTGAAAAAAAAAATACCTGAGTACAAGTAATATGAGTGACAAAAAACATCAAAGCGTCGTTCCAGATTGTAAAACAGGATACAAATCAAATGTAAAACTAAAGAAAACACAAGGAGAAAGCAATTCAATGTATTTTTAAAGCTTCTAATGTAAGTAAAATAATGTATTTATGTCTAAATATAATATTTATTGTAAACTAGTCACAATATGTATCTTATTTTATTTTATTACAAGTTACTATAATATAAAATACAGTCATAGATCCTGACTTACAAACAACAATAATTATACATTAAATTTAACTTACTAGAAAAGAAAAATTATATCGAGTTTTAATGTTAGGTAAAGAGTTGCTACTGTTATTTTTTTGTTAAACCCCAATTGTGTCATTGTAAATGTTTTTATATGATACTAAACGCTTAGAAGAGTGGCAGCATATATATCGTTCCTAGTGCCGATAAAGCACTTTCTAGAGATGATGCTGTTCTATACTTTTTAGAAGATATTATCAAATATTATGAGACTATTTTAACTGATGGTACTGTTAGCAAAATAAAAAGGGGGAAGCTGAAATTAAAGGATTAGTTAATACCATGTACATTCCCAAATCTCCCTTTATTCTTGTATTTCAACAATAAAAAATCTGTTAGCTGTGTTTTAATTTGCGCTTAAAACTATATATAGGTTCAATTCAAAAATATTTTGCTACAAAATTGTACTTATCAAATTTCAGCATTTATCAAACCATTTCGAATTTGGTCATACCTACCTTATTTGTATTTTATATAGGTAAAATTAAATAATTTATTAATTAAAACATGCAAGACTTATTTAGAAATAAATACAACAGTATGTTCTGTGCTTTATTTAGCTATAAACAAGTTTATTTTTATTATATTGACAAAATTATGTATAATTCACATAAGAAGCCACGTATTTTGAACAACGTAAGCAGTACCAGCGCCCCTGCGGTTAATTATAAAAGCTCAATTAGCGATTTTTTGGTACCGTATTTTGAGTATGCCGATTCGCCTCCTTATCTCTAGTCTTCATACAGACCCCATTAGCAATTATGGGCCGAGCCAACACATTATTTATTGATAGATCTCTAGTTAAATACTTATGGTTTTTTTATGATAAACTAAACTGATAGCCGGACTTTGGCACAAAGCTAATCCACTAGAGCCTATGGAAAATCAATCTTTTGTTAGGATTTGAGCAGCCGCTCCACTTATTTTGTGCCATTGTTACATAATTTTGAGAAAAATCTAGTATAAAATATATCTAAAAGTCGTGGGTAAAGTAAAATATTCAACTTTTATATAACGACCATTATTTCCTGGAACTGTGATAAATTTAATAATTAAATAATTGAAACTCCTGTATTTTCAAGTTTTACTCTGTATCGTCTATCTGTATTGTAGTTTTAAGGTTTATTTTATTCATAGTTGTTTAGGTTAGGTTTACTGTACTATTAAATTATTTCTGAAAGTATTGCCTTTATAAAAAATCTCAACATTAAATAATATGTAAACATCTAATGTAATATAAAACGCTGGCATAAAGATTTGAATTAAAAAATAGCAATATTAGTGATGACATAATTTGTGTGCCAAACAAAGTTGACAGTGACACTAGAATTAGTTAATTTTTTGAATGCGTTTTGTTTATTATTAAATTACATAGTTTTTGTGATCTTAAAATATATCTATTTCTAAAGTAAATAACACCAAGTATATAGTACTTATCTAGCAGAATAAAAATGAGACACTTTATTATAGTTGGACTTGAGACGGGTAAAGAGAGCAATTGGTTTAACCGCGTCATATTGATGGCAAGAATAGGATATTGCAAGTATTCGCCTATTATTTTATTTCTCTCTATTCAATACTATTGTGTTTCTATGTCATTTACTGGTGTCAAGAAAACAAAGTTAACGTACTGTATAATCGTTTAGTAACTAATTCTGTTTTATTTTTCATGATACAATTAACATATCTATTTTTTTTTTGTATTTTTAGATAATTATATACATTGTTTTAAAGTAACTATTGAGAAATTTCCTATTATTTACTAGAAATAATTCCTAAAATAAGAAAAAATTAGAAAAGTTAAAACGTTGAATAAAAATCAATTTAGAGGTTAGGACAATTTACATTTATTTCTATTATTTTAAAGATTGTATTCATTTAAAAGTATACCACAGTAATAGTTACATTAAAAGTAATTTCGTTATATATGCCATGAGATAGGGTCATTTGCCCATGAAAAATTAGAATAAAGCTAAAACTTGGTATGTTGATCCAATTTGATGTCCTGATAATCCCCTTTCAATTTCTCCCAGGCTATCTGGCTTGCATTTTTTAGGGCAGTTTTTTTTATTTCGATTTGTTCAGAACGCTGCACAAACGGCTAGTCTAAAATGAAAAATTCTTGTCCAGCCTTCATCTAGAAATCTAATATTTTTGTGACAGAAAACATTGCAGGAGTATATACTGTCCTAGTATTTATAGTTTATTCTCTAGGGTGCTTATTTTTTCATATTAGGCATACAACTAGTACACAAGTTAATAAAATGGCAACAGAGCAACAGCCAGTCGTAAACAAGAAAATTGTAAGCATAACGATAGCGGGGATATCGTAGTTGCCACATGTTCGTTGTAAATTAAATTTCTGACTGATTTTCTGGAAGAACATTTTTTCTAATCGGTTTTCAAAGGAAATTATAAGTGTAACTTACTTGACTATAAAATTCACAAAGATAAGCCAAACAAAAAACTATTCTAAAGTATTCATCCCTACTAGGGTATTACCCTGGACAAATATTCTCTAGATGAAGACTGGACGAGAATTTCTCATTTCAGACTAGCCATTTGCACAGAAATCTGAAAAAAATGGAAGATAGATAGCCCGGAAGTAATTAAAAGAGGACAATTGGGACATCGAATTGGACCAAGTTACCAATTTGTAGCTTTATTCTAATTTTACACAAGTAACTCCTGTCCTGGGCGCTTCATTATACTTGCAATAAAAAAAAAGTATATGACAGAATAGTTAATTTTTGTTTGGCAAACAAATTACGTCACACTAATGCAGTGTATACTAAATTTTATACAATTTAAAATTCTGTACTTACTACTCGATCGTTCTGGAGCTCTACTGGGTGTACTAGAAACAGCAATTTTTTCTGTTGCATCACTAGATTTTGCCAAAGCTGATAATTTTTGTGTTGGTGTCATTTTTCTGTCTGTTGTCACAGTGCCATTTTTAGCCTGAAACATTTTGAAAGGAAAATAATTCCAAGTCAATGTGACCAAGACGTAAAATAAAGAAATAATATGGCTTCATTTTGAAACATATTGGTTTTATTGTATTGGTTTAGTTGCAGATTATATTCTAGAAAAGAAAGGAGTACAGTAATTTAATTTGCAGAACGTAGTACAAGTTCAAGAGGTAGACATTTTATTTTTACCTCATCCTTCAATGCTAATTTGAAGTTAAAATGAAAATTTTAATACATCTGATCGGCCTAATAAAAGTTTTCGTTTAGATTTAATCATGTTTCCATAATTTTTCTGTAATAAATCTTTTCTTTTGACAGATAAGTCAAACTTTGTTTCACTTTCTCTAAAGCCTCTAAATGTGAGACCTATACTGGAGTATCTAAGCGATCAGTGCATAACATTATTAAAGAAGATACAGTTATTGGAAAAGTCCCACATGAAGAAACAAGACCTTTATTGAAACTTGGGTAAAGAATATAATAAGGCAAAAAGTACATTCTTTTTTCTTTCGAAATGAAATTTCTACACTTAAAAAATTACACTCAGAAACATTCTTCCAAATATATCATATTTTCATCTGCAAAAAAATATTACATGAATTAAATTTTCGTTACAAAAAATGTGACAGAAACAGCTTTTTAACAGAGACATGATTATTTAAGAAAAATAGCGGACGCAAGAAATCAGGATAAACAGGTATTTTAATTAGATGAAACAAGTGTTAATGCTGGACATACAGTAACAAAAATTTGGCAAGATACCTCTATCAAAACTAAAAAACAAGCCTCCTCAAGGAGTCTCTTATGGATTAAAAAATCCAATAGGAAAAGGAAATCGTTTAATAAAAACCCACATTGGAAGCACCAATGGATTTTTGCCAGGTTTATTAATGTTCGAGTCAAAGAAAACAAAAGACTACCATGAAGAAATGGATGGCCCTATGTTTGAAAATTGATTTCAGAACATTATAAAAAAATACCCGTCAACTCCGTTTCTGTTTTGGATAATGCATCCTATCACAGTCGATTAAAGGAGTCACTACCTACAATAAGATGAAAAAAAGAAGATATTTCAAAATGGCATCATTCTAAAAATATTATCAGTCCTCCCAAATCCTTGAAGGTAGAAATACTCGTAATATCAAGGCAACATAAAAACAAATTGAAAAAATATATTATAGACAAGATGGTCCGAGAAAAGGAATTTAAATTCTCAGATTGCCTCGTTATTTATCATGCAGAGTTAAAATCCATTGAACTGATCTGGAGACAATTAAAAGGTTATGTTTCTCGAAACAATACAACATTTAAATGACCTGATGTGCGGAATTTGTTTTTGAAGGCCGTTTCCGATGTAAAATGGAGAACATTGGAAAAAATGTTAAAAAGATGGAAAATACATTTTGGACAGTGGGTATAGCAATGAAAAACTTAATAGACCTTATAATAATAAACCTCAGAATTATACCAGTGACGTTTAAAGATAGTTCTTAAACTTTTTATTTTTTTAATCTTTGATGTTAGGTACTGAGGTGTTACTTTTAATGCCAAGAGATTAAAAAATAGTTTAATCCCATTAACAACTCATAATTCTCCTTGTTATTTATTGTTTAAATTTAATTCGTTCAATCTTAAAGTGCAACAATTTTGTCAGAAGCATAAGGTTTATTTTTATTTTTTATAAATAAATAATTCAGTACAATTTGTATCGTATATGTGAGGATTTACACACTATATGTGAATAGGAATATTAAGATACTTAAAAAAATTATGTGTCACTAATTATTGTTATCAGCAAATTCGTTCAAGAATTCTGTTATTGTTCTCACTGGGTATTTAAACTTTGCTTGTCCAATTTGGCGTTGAATCAAAGATATGTTTATTAGCATTTGATTTTTTCGTTTCTTCGAAACTGTTTTTACAATTTCTTTCCAGTATAGGCTGAATCTTAGTTTTTTCGTATAGATATTCATTCGCTGGAGGGTGTGTGGGATTTTAAGGATGTTTCATCTTGTTAATGATTCTTAGTGTAGACATTTTTTTTTTGTAAATAATATAACTTTTTTCATTCAAAATTTAATCTACGAAGTGCATATAAGAGTGCAGTTAGAAACGAACGTTTTTTTTTCTCGTGCAGATAACAATGTGTGCAACGGATCAATGTGAAATTTCTCGTTGAATTAAAAAAACTCCAACTGAGTGCTATAAGTTGTTGAAAGAGGCCTATGGTGAGAATTCTCTACCTCATACGCGTATCTTCGAATGGTATAAACGGTTTTCTGAACGATTAGATTAGGAGTTGGACGTTATTTGTCCTTGTCCACCGCGACCTTTTCAGATCTATTGTGGGACTCCGTTTGTTTTAGAGTATGTCGTCTAGCCTGGTCTTTTTTATTAGACTTAGTAGCTTTGACAGTGGCTCCCACATGTAGTTGCATGCAATTGGCTTTTCTTCACCCAATGTTAGCCAGGCCTTCACATTGGCACAGGACGTGTAATGATATTTCTGAAGGCCGAAATCAAAATTGAAAGCCATGCTAATCGTTTTTTTCAACATCAACAGCATCGTGATGACTGAATGAGTTCCAGAGGTTCAAATTGTAAACCAAATTTACTATTTGAAAGTTTTGGCAACACTGTGAGAGCGAGTTCGTAAGAAACGTACCAAATACGCACCATACTCGCCTGATTTAGCATCCTGTGACTTTTCCCTGTTTCCGAAGATCAAGTCTACCTTGAAAGGAACCCGGTTCGAGTCGATGGAAGAGGTGAAGCGAAAATCGAGGGAGCTCCTAAATGCTCTTATAAAAAAAGACTTCCAGCATTGCTTTTACTAAAGGAAAAAACGAATGGAACGGTGAGTGGCAAAGGGAGGGGAGTACACTGAAGGGGAGCATTCAAATGTAGAATATTTTTAAAATAAACCTCTTTTTCATAAGCAGTCTCATTATTTGTCAGACCTTGCATACCATTAATGGAAAAAACGAATGAAACGGTGTGTGGCGAGTACATTGAAGGGGAGCATTCGATTGTAGAATATTTTTAAAATAAAACCCTTTTTCATAAGCAGTTTCGTTGTTTGTTAGACCTCATATACCATTTTATATACTGTGACCTTATTTATATTATAGAAACTTATTTTGCAAAGTACGCCTTTGGAATATCCACTTTTACTGCACTCCTCTTTTATTCAGACTATAGAAATTTCTAATTTATAAATTTAAAAGCAGGATAAATATATGTATTTGTTTTAAAAACATATAGGAATTTAAAACATACTTTAACAAATTGCCAAGGGAGTATTTTACATGTGAATCATGAATTTAAAAAGAAAATTAGTACATAAAAATATGTTAAATCATCGTCTGGAAATTACATTCCTAAATTATATAACTAATGAGATTTAAAGAAATGTAAATAATTGTTTTTCGGTGCTAACAATCGTAGAGTCCAACACAATCTATCTGTGCCATTAATGTTTTATTTGGTAGGTAACTGTTCATAGAAATGGGAGTAATAAGAGTCATGTTTTTATTAAACATTGTATTTAAATTATATTAATATAAATTATTGAAAAAATATCCGAGGGTGAATCAAATATAAACCGAAATTCCCTTTTTACACGTCGCGAGTTGAATGCAGAGAGGCGCTTTTTTTATAGAACTAAAGAGTATTTCCCAGTAGTGAACTTCATGTTAAATCCTACAAAACACGAAAGTGTTTTGTAGGCATTTATACAAAGAAAATTATAAATTCAGAATATAAATATGAATTGTAACGCTATAATAAAACATGATCACTACCTACAGAAAAACATATGAACGTCTTATATGGGGTGACAAATTAAAAACTGACAATGGCGAGATCTCAAACTAAAATGCTTAAAATCGTTTTTAGGATAAGAAAGGGGAACTTAAATGACAAAAAAAAACAACCTCCTAATAATTATCATACATTATTGGAAAGTTAGAAAAAACATGCTTTTTAACTATGTAAATTATTCCCTGTAGAGGATGGTTCAATAGTACATAATAATTAAAAACCTATTTAAAAAGATGTTTATCTGAAATAAATATTTTTAAATATTTCTAGTACAGGTGTACAAAATAAATTCTTTAAGGTTTTATTTTTCTGATATCACTATTAGTTCATGAAATATAGACATTGCCACCCTGAGACAGGAAAAGCATTGACCAATTTTATAGAATAGAGTATAAAACATAAAAGGTAAATGATTGAAAATTTTTGGTCCTAAGAACTGTAGCTTCTTTGGCCAACGCATAAATGAAACTAGATAGTATATCCTCTATTATCATATGGATAATATTTATGTATTAATTCGTGTTTATTTTTAATCTGAGTTGTGATAATACTTAAAAAGAATAATTGCTCAAAGTCAAAAAGTTTTGTTCCAAAATAAAGTAGATATGTAGAACACAGAGATTCTTTTTTATAGATTATTTTTATTGGTTATAGTTGTATGATTTATATTTTTCCCCAAGTAATAATGCCATAGGCAAGGTGAAAACCAAACTTACATTCGGCATTACGTTTTCCATCTATATAAAACAGATTTGCCTGTTTTTTTTATAATTTTTTGGAGAATTTTTTTTTTAGAATTTATGGTCGTTTTATTTCACATGATTAAAGAAACTGTTATATATTTATTATTTAAAATATTTCTTCAGAACATGTATTATATTGTGTTTAATATTATAACCAAAGATTCTACAAATAATACTTTGGTAATTTTGAATGTTTTATTTTAATTTTGTATTTGTATTAGTATTTTTATACATTGTGGAAACCACTTATGGACTAAAATTATTATTTTTTGGGAAAATCGTGTAATATGCTCGGACACAATTTTTATTTTAATCAAGATATATTATGAGCAAAAAATTCTGATTCTCCTTTAGTCCTCTCCATCGAGATAAAGTGGAGACGACATAAACACTATTTTGAGATATGAAAACATGGACGCACTTAAGTGACGGAAAAGTGTAATCAAAATGGCGACTTGAGTCGTACTTGGATTTATTTGAAGTCAATATTTTTATATTTAAAGACTGACGGAATGAAAATAATTTTATATCATTTATATAAAGCTATTTAACGAAAAATGAAATTTATTCTCACCAAAACTAACTAGCTACACGATACCGAGTTTGACATTGACGTAAAAATTAAATACAAAAGTGCAGACAATTTAGCATCGTCATAGCATCTCCTCCTTATTCTATCTCAATGGTCCTCTCCATGTGACAGCCACTTCCTCAATTTTATAAAGAGCAAGATGTGTCGTATGACATTTCACTGAAAACGTAATTTGATGGGGAATTCATCAATGTGACGGTTCATTGCATTACTCTTGATTTTAGCGCCATCCAGCGGGCTAAAATCGGTTTCGTATTGTAACACTTTCTTTGAAAGCTAATTTTGCTATTTGACTAATAATTCTGCTCCCATAAAACAAACTAAGACAAAGCATCTGTCAAATTGACTGTTGCTGGAAAAATTTGTCAAATTTAAACAAACCTCTAAAAAAAACACTCTTTACAAGTCGAAGTAAATTCAAAAGGTTTTTAATTTTCAAAATAAAATAACAGGTATCTGCATCAACGATTAGTTGAACAAAACCCTCCCATATGTTGTTGAAAGCAAACTTGTTGATAAAATTACTATAAAGAATCGAAAACTCTTAATTATCCTTCCTCCATGAAACTCGGAAAATCAGTCACAGAAACGTATTATTGAAAGAAGGATATGGAGATAAGTGTTTATCACACACTCAAGTTTTTTAGTGATCAACGAGAGACAAGAAGTGACTGCAGACTATTCGCGCCTAAAAACAGAAACAAACATTTAAAATATCAATAAGTTGATCCGATATACCAACAGTTAAGTATTTGGGTTGTTGCTGAATACAAAGGAATCGAAAAATATTTGCGGTAACATCATCAGAAGAAGGCTGCAGCTCACACTGCACTACCTGTCAAGAGATTTTTGGCCAAGTATTTAGATTCCTTCATTAGAACATCCTTAATCACCAGATTTCGCCTTATGTGATTATTTGTATTATCCAAGATCACATAAGCACTGAAAGACAGTATAGTTGTCAAAAAAACATGAACATGTTTTCAAAAAATTAATTAGCAGCACTGCTGTGGCCAATGTATGGAAATAAACTGATGGCGACAATGTTAAAATTGTAAAAGAAAAGTAATAAACGATTCTATAGTATTAATTAGTTTTTCTAGCCACATTTTGTACAGAATATTTATAGTAAGCTATGAACACAAGGAAAAATGGTTAGCTCTACTCGACATGCAACTCTTTTTAGTGGCTTGTTCTTTTCTTATCTTCTCTAAATATGTCCCAACCACCAAAGTCTATTCTCTCATTTTCTCACCACCAGATGCAACATCATTTAAATATTTTTACGACAAGAAGTTTCCATAAATTAAAAAATAGAATTATGATTTATATTTGATTCACTCTCTAAACATTCGAAATATATAAATTTGCTCCATTAACTAAAGCATTTGTTTCTAATCCTTAAAACTGTCTAAATTAACCTTAAAGTATTGCATTAAATCATTAATATAAAGAAATATACAGTGTGTCTGAAAAAGTTGGCAACAAATGGGAAACTTTTTTATTATTAAGTTTAGGAAAAAACGCAATTCTTCATAAAAAGTTCTGCAAGGCCTAAAACCCAATATACGATAATCAGATATCGAAATTTTCCAATCGTATACGAGGTTTGTCAAAAAGTATGAATTTTGCTCAAGAGTAAAGTACCTTTATTTTCGACAATATCTAAAATTGTTATTAAGAAAAGTTGATTAGAATTGAAAACTACGTTTAAATGTCTAATTACAGCTATCTACGATAAAACTTTACTCTTGAGCAAAATTCATACTTTTTGACAAACCTCGTATACGATTGGAAAATTTCGATATCTGATTATCGTATATTGGGTTTTAGGCCTTGCAGAACTTTTTATGAAGAATGACGTTTTTTCCTAAACTTAATAATAAAAAAGTTTCCCATTTGTTGCCAACTTTTTCAGACACACTGTATTTACAATATAGTGTGACAATATCAATAAAACCATCTCTTCTTTAAAACAGTTTGAGATCCTACTTTTCTTCTATTTTTAAGTAGTTTGATTACCTACAAAAAATTATTTTTCATAATTTAACAAAAATTAACTTGTTAAAAATCTCCTATGGTCAATTCTATGAAAAGGCAGCAGACAAACAGTTGTTGATTTACAAATTAAATATCTCTTTATTGTATAATTTCATTACTTGATTTTTAAGGCATTAAGTAAAAAACTTTAGTTTTAATCTATTGTAATTAATTCTAATATTTTAATAATTTTATTCTAGGCCTAGCATTTTAAATAAATTACCTGCTTCCTAGCTATATTCCTTGGTGGTTTTACAAATCCCGAATCAATATATGCCATTTTCGTAGTCCTAAGCGGTTCAGACTTGTCTTGAGACTGCTTAATATTTGCAGTGATAAAGTTCAATCTCGCTTCCCTTTCATCCAAGCAACGCATATACATTTCCCGCCAAGATTCCAGTTCCTCCCGTTTTTTAGTCCTAAAATCTTTTTGGCAATGCAGTTGCCATAATTCATCTGTTTCTTCAATTAAGTAAGGGTTATGGTGTTCCATATTGAACAATTGATCGGGTGTTGCTCGGTCTAAGATGGGTTTGAGAATTAAATATGGTACTCCTCCTGTGTACTCTAAGGCTAAAAAAAATAACTTATTTGACATGCGCCAGTTTAACTAAAGAATAAAATACAGAATATAATTAAAAAATTACTTCTACCTAATCATACATAAAATTGTAGGCACAAATAAAAAAAAAGGATAAGTAATTAAAAAGTATCAATCAAAGATAGGATATTAGAATAGTTGTATTGGATCAATTAAGAAAAAATAAATACCATCTATATGCTCCTGCAGTATTCGTACACAGATCTGGAATAAACTCTCCACTTTTCCAACAGTTTTGTTTCCTGAATACACCTTTGTCCTAAAAAATAAGAATATATCATTTAGAAACTTATTTTTTATACATATAATGTACCTACAAAAAATAGAATAAAATAAAGATTATACCTTTGGTTTTTATTGGACATAACCCTGCTTAAAGCTTCATCATCATTATAAACCTTTTTAAGTTGTGAATCTAAAATTATAGGAGTGGGTTTATAGTTAGGAGTGATTTCAGGTAATAGGTTAGATAGGCATATGTTTAAAGGCTCACGAGGTTCTTCAACCAACAAATCTGGTATCTGCAAAATGAAAATTAATAAGCAACACATTTATTAGATAGTCAATTAAATAAATGACATTCAACTTAAAATAACAAGTTTACTCACAGGTTTTGAAGATGAGCTACTGCTGCTTTCTTCATGTTTAGACTTTGAACTACTACTAGAAGGTTTCTTTTCTGAACTAGGCTTCTTCTTGGTACTTTGACTAGAAACGGGCCCACACATACCTAGTGCTTCGGCAAAACTAGCTCCAGATTCAGAGTCAATACCATTAATAATTTTTTCTTTTGAAGCTTTCTTGACTTTTTCTTTTGGACTTTTCTTTTCTCCGTTTTCACTATTACGCTTGTCTTTTGAATGAGACCTGGAGCTTGAATGTGAGTTCTTTGATTTAGTCTTCTCATCGTTACTACTTTCTTTTACCTTCTTTTCAATACTTGAACTTTCTCTTCTAGACTTATGTTTGTCCTTTTCTTTTTTATTTCTACTCTCTTTCTTGCTAGAATGAGAATCGGAACTAGATTTATGTTTAGAAGAATGACTAGCTTTTTCAGTCTTATCTTCATGTTTACTGCGTTTTTCTGATTTGTGATTTGACTGTTCTGGGTCTCTTTTTGATTTTGACATATCATCATTATTCTTGTGCCGATCTTTATTTTCATGTCTTTTTTCTTTTTCAACCCTTGTAGACTTTTCTTTACCTTTGTGATTACTACTAGAATTTTCAGATTCTCTTTTGTTTTTCTTTAAATTATGTCTACTTCTTTCATCAGAACTAGAATCAGTAGAATGTTCTCTTTTTCTAGAAGGTTTGTTAGATTCCTCTTCATCGGAGTTTGATGAATTAGTTACATTATAATGCTTGTCACTATGTTTATCAAGTTCTTTATATTTACTAGTTTTGTTTTCTAAATAATTTTGATGTTTGCTTTTAGTAGAATCCTCTTTCTTATGACTATATTCCTCACTATCACTTTCATTATCAGACTGATTATTAACATTTTCTTTTCCATCTTCTATATGAAGTGCTTGAATCTCATTATCACTTGAGTATGTCGAATCTGCATCTTCTTCAGTTTCTATAAAAATACATTACCTAAGTTATATTGAAAAAAAAAAAAGTAATGACATGATTTGAAGAATTCATTAAGGCAGATGTGACTCAGCAGTCGCAACAGGAGATTTGATGTTTAATTTGTTTATGAATTATATTATTAGTTGTTACTTTAATTTTTATTGTTTAATGATTAAGTCATATTGTATTTAACCATAAAGATCTCTGGGGAGTAGTACTAAAATAATAAAAATGGCCAAACTATACAGAAAATAATTGATGTACTTTTTTTTCCTATCACTTATTTATTGGTTTCTTAACTTATCAGTGAACTCTCATTATACCCAAATTTATATATTCTTACCAGTGGCTTATCTATTTTACATTTTTAATCAATTAATACCTCAAGATGGAATGTGTTAGTTGCAAAAATGCAAATTTAGAGGTTTAAATGCTAGCGAATTAAAAGTTATGGATCTCAAAGGCAAACGGGTGCTTAAATTCTACTGTAAAGATTGTGCAAAAGGAGTTAAGCTTATTCCTAAGCTCCTGGTTAAGATTGATAACTTGGAAGCGGAATTGAAGGGATTAAAAAAATCCACTAAATAATGCCAAAGGAAATATTGTCTTCGCAAAAAAAGATAAAGAAAATTTAATCAGTGAACTGATAAAAAGATAGTCACATGCACCAAATATTATTATATTTAATTAATAAACCTAAAATGAAAACTCATCCTGAAAGAAAATCTGAAGATAATAGTGCAGTATAATATTGAATGGATAATGTATCAACTATTATTAAATGTTTGAATAAATCATTTATATTAAGTCAGATTAATGTTATAACTCATAGAGGGTTTTATGTGGGTGTGGTGCCTTTACCGGCCCAGATTATCAATTTTGAATTTGTTGTTTTAATCCACAACTTAATGTATCCTTTGATTGATCCTGGAGGGTATCTTAGACGTAAGTTTTAACATCTATTAATATGTAAATTGTTAATTTGTAACGACTTTTTAATTAAAGTTTTTTCAATTTTTACACACTGGCATATTTTTTCTACTTGCAAATATGATATAGTTTAACCCATTCAATTATAGCTGCTATACAACTACAACATTTCTTACTTAAATGTCTCCCTGTTGTATTCAATATTCTTCAATTTGTACTCAAATGGACATTGTCCATAAATAAATATAATTAAGGATTTTTTTCTTTTCCAGAATCTTGTATATAATATTGAATTTCATAAAAATCAATAAATAATAAATACCACTTTGTATTTTGTTTCATTTCATTTTCAAAATAATAAATTTATTATTTAAACAATTATTATTTTAAGTTTTCTTGATAATAACTTAATCATGAATATTACTGAGGTCCTATAATAAATATATATTACAAATAAAAATACCCTTTTTTAATAGATTTTTTTTGTATAAGGGAATATTTAATACGATGGTCTTCCAAACATTTTATCTAATCAATTCCCACAAAACCATAACAAAAATTCACAATTGATAAAATTTTAGATATGGTATAGTAATCGAGATAGTAATATTATTACATTTTTTTTAAATGTATTTTCAAGTTTAATGGACAATTTATTTTGTCTAAATATTTGGTTAAATATTTTTTTACAGTTAAGTGATTTGACAATATTTTTAAGCGAAAAGACAAAATTATCATGACTTGATTAACTAGTGTACCTAACACATAAAAAAATAATATAATTGACAATTCAATAAAAAACACACTTGCACACAAATTCTATAAGGTCTGCTCTAGGCTCTGTAGTGTTAATATTGACAAACTGTACCTACTTTGTTTTGTAAACAAATTGATATTTTTAACACATTATTAAAAGTTGTAATCAGTAGCGTAGTCATGGAGGGGGTTTTGGGAGTCAGAACCCCCCATGGAGGGTCCTCGCATTACCATTTCCACTATAGTATTGACTGTTTGTTTTTATTCACTTTCTTGATAGAAACCCCCCAATATTTCTCAAAAACCCCTCCCATAAAAAATGGCTGGCTATGCCACTGGTTGTAATGTTTGTAGGTTTTAAAGATTGACCCATTTTAGAAATCTGATTCATTTTATTTTTATACCAATAAAAAATATTTTACTTTACAAGTAGGTATTTGGCAAAGAAAACTCCTCTATATTGATAGGGAATCCCTTAAAATATATTTATATTGTATGTCAAACAAAAGATAACAGATACACCTATTAACTTAAATTTTAAATTTCATACCCATTGAAGTATCTTGAGCAGCTTTTTCTTCTTCCAAGACCATCTCTTTCCAAGAGACAACTAAGTCTTTTGCTGAATCTCCCACCTTTCCATTCAGTTTTTTTAAAGCATTTACAGTTCTTCCTACACCTGTTGTTTCTAAGTGTGAAGTCTTTATAGGAAGTTTGCTTAATTTTTGAAGAACATATAACATCTACAAAAAGAAAATATGTTATACCATTTCTGTGGTAAACACAAATTAAATGTTATTTGGAGAGATATTTCAAAATTCACAAAAGAATCTCTTTAAATATAAAAAACGAGGTTGCATTAAATATGAAAAAGACAAATTTTATTAAGTAGGTATAATAACTATGTAAGAAATATATTTATTATAATTATTTTAGAAAAGAAATATGTCTACCTTATCTTCACTTTTATTATTTAAATTATATCTTTCTAGTCTTCCTTGATAATGCTGAATCGCTTTGATAATATCTTCATTTGAAGACCCCATATTTGGTTAGGAGCTTGTATTATTGCTGTTCTAAATTTCGAGGTATTCGTAGTAAAACAGATGGTAAAGTACTTTTCCACAAGATTCATCCATTTGACGCCAAATAAACAGTCATTATAAAATCACAAATATCTATTAAAAAAGAGATATATTGGAACTATGAATTTCTGAAATTTAAAACTTGCCAAGAATGCTATAAAAAGCTAACTATTTGGATTTACTATACTTTTCAAAGCTCTTAAAATATTTTCTATTTTTGCAGGCTTGCACGTCAAATAAATTATCCAGCAACAGCACAAAATTTATCAGCTGACAAGGGTGACATTTGACATTAAGATGACAACCACAGAACACATGACAGCCTCCGCGGAACACCGAGAACGGAACAAAGAATGCATTTATCGATTGCCGCGTTTGAGAATCCACATCGGATGCATCTGAGATGTTGTGAATTTTTTATCACGTGATAGAGAATTAGATCTGAATCAAACATTGCGTTCGGTCTGCCAAGTTCCTTTAACTCCTTTAACACTTTTAACTCCAAACGACCCTTTTACCGTTAGGTTTAGTCCGATTAGTGACAGTTTAACACGCTTAAATGTCATTTAAAAGCACCCTAAAATTTGTCCCGCTCCAGCCCCTGACTGACCGAACTCGCCTATAGATTACTTGAAATCTGGGGGGCTATTTTAAAAGTATGGGAGCACTCATTTCTCTCAAGATTCTCATCAGAAATGTCATACGTCAATGTGGAAATGTTGTTTTTAAAGGCATCGAGGATTAAATTTCTTAGGAAGATTTTAATTCTCTCTAAATAAACCGAGAGAAACAGTCAGTGAGTTCACACTGGCCCTAAGAGCCCTAAAAATACGGTTTTACGTTGACGTATGACATTTCTCTTGAGAGAAATGAATTCTCTCGAGTTTGAAAATAGCCCCCCTGAATGTAGATGTAATAAACAAACGCTCTAGACTTTATTTGGTCACGTGATAAAATGTCAATGACAAGTTAGAAGTTTATACTTATTAAATTTGACTTCTGGGACTACAAATCAACCTAAATTTGAAATATAAACAAAAATTAAACAAACTAATTCACTTTTATATTCATGCTAGCACAAACAATGGATAAATTGACAAACTTGGCTTCACAGAACACTTATTTTCTGGCATGGAACGAACATCTCATTCACATCTCATTTCAAATCGAGATGTAAAAAATGTAATCTGAACAGGTACATCTGGGATAAACAGACGCAGATGTAGATGTAATAGATGTGTCCGATGTGGATAAAAAAACGCTCGAGATGTAAAAAATGCATCCGATGTGGATTCTCAAACGCGACAATTGTTGCCAAATATTTGTTTTAACCCATAAAACGGACCAATAGTTTTTAGAGATTATTTATGGGTTTTTAAAGTGAATGAAGTTACAAAAATATCAAATTAATAATATTTTGTGTTTTTTAACAGTTTTTGCTTGAATAAACTATTAAAAATACTTATTTTAATATTTTTGCTACTAATCTTTTTTAAACATATTTTAATAGATTTGGTAAATTCGCTCATTGTATCTAAATACAATCACTCAATAAAGTAGAAAAGTATTTTCTAAATCACTGTCTGTTGTTTTAGATTGCAGAGTTAAAAAATGGAATTCTTATTTTGAAAAGTATGCGAAAGTAATATAAAATTTGGCCCTGGAATTTTAATGCCCCAGCATTGGTTTTGTTTTATTTATTAAACAAAGTAAGTCAAAATCACTTAAAAATAAGTGCAATAATTATATATTTTAATTCCTATAAACATTTTCAGTTAATATTTTGCTTTACATTCAAATTTAAAAGTTCTTCACCATAAATCATTTTTTTTATATGCCCTGCATACTCTAATGAATATACTTTACAAATTTTAATCTCAATTATTAATTTGTGACAGAATCATTTGTCAATTTTTTTCCTAAAACTATTTAATAACAAATTTTTCCATGTGTTGACAGCTTATAGGTAGACACACTTTATCACTTTATAATCCGTTTTAAAGTTTTACTAAATTTTTTAAATATTTTAGTATATTTTTTTTTAAATAGTGGTTTAAAAGTGTTGTTTTATTTTTTTTTCTACGTTCATGCAAAAAACAAAACTTTATTGAACTATATTTAGTGAAAACACTGGGTGCATAATAATTTTATTGCACTCATCTGTCATTTTACTACAGCGTTTTATGATCATGACAAACATAAATATTCAAATCAACGCCAAATATTTTGTCTATTTTCATTTTCTGTGTTACGTTTTAAAAACAATTGCATATTTTATATTATTTTCAATCATTTAATAAATAAATTAATAAAAAAATCTATTAAAAATGTCATTACAAATTATGAACACAAACGTAAATAAATGCCTCAAACAAACCTGGTGGGTTTTTTGTAGCTTTTTTGTTACGCTATTTGCGAATTTGTAGCTTTGCCCAGGTCCGAAAAAACAGCGGATCCGCTAGCTTGAATTTCCATAAATTCCACAGTAGCGGCACAGATTCAGACCCAGCTGGTTTTTCGTAACTTTTTTGTAGCTTTTTTGTTACGCTAGTCTCCCTTTTGTAGCTTGTACTGAACCTGAGAAAAGCGCGGATCCGCTAGCTTAGCGGATAATTATAGCGAACTAGCTCGGACCAGCAGGGTTATTCTACTAAATTTATAGCCCGGCTACATGTTGGATTTTGGCTTGAACTTTATATATTCCTACTTCAAAATCCAACTTGTAGCCGGGCTATAAACTTGTAGCCGGGCTATAAATTTAGTAGAATAACCCTGCTGGTTCATTTTTTATAACTTTTTGTAGCTTTTTTGTAGCTTTTTTGTTACGCCTGTTTCGATTTCGTTGCGAGGCCTGAACGTGAGTAATAATCGTTTCTCCCAAGCGTGAGAGAAAAGTGCGTTAATTTAAAATCAAGTTTCGGCCTCTACAAGTAATATGTGCGACTCGATAGTGTGACTATCTGTTGCTAGATGGCACCAGTATTGCATTTCACGAATTATGGCCATCTTCCATCCAATATATTTTTGAGAAATTTAGAGTTTGAAATTAATGTAAAAATATAATGAAGTAAAATCAAATAAAGATATACATTGGCAAAATATTTGACTGGTTTCAAATCACAAAACAGTCAATATGGTTGTTTTATGATTTGAAACTAGTCAAATATTTTTCCAATTTTTTTGCTTTATTTGATTTTCTTTATGACATTTTTGCGCTACTACAAAATTAAATTTCAAAAAGCTCGCTCGTGGCGGCCATATTGAATTTTAGTACCACTCCAATTTGATAGATGGCAGCACATCGACTCAGAATTTTACCATTGAGTTTCCCATCTATTCCCATTAGTAATCTATGGTTATATCTCCTGAATTTAGAGATGGGTAGTAACAAATCCGTAAATGTACTTAACAGTTACAGATTTGCTAATATCCATCTCTAAATTCTAGTGTAACACCGGAACCACCTGGAACTTTAGAGACGTTGTAACCGAACTTCGATTTTACTTCAAGGACGACCAAGGACGACTTACCTAATGCTGCGTTTGAGAATCCACATCGGATGCATTTTTTACATCTCGAGCGTTTTTTTATCCACATCGGACACATCTGTCCCATTACATTTACGTATACTGCATCACGTGATCAAAGATTTTTTACATCTCAGATGCATCCGATGTGGATTCTCAAACGCAGCATTAGTCCGGCTCAGCTGAGTTCTGTTTATAAACACGGACCTAGGTTGAGTACAATAACATACCAAAGTTTCAGAAAATTTAACCGGTCGTCACTTTACATAAGAAAAGTGTGGGAATCCTTCACTGAACTGTAACGGCATAGAGTTCAGAGGACTAAATCGAACGCTAAAAGGGTTGTTTGGAGTTAAAAGTGTTAAAGGAGTTAAAGGAACTTGGCAGACCGAACGCAATGACAAGACAAAATTTAGACAATTGACAGCTGACAGTGACTGAGTTTTGTTTTGAATCTCGCATGAAATAATTATATTTTTTGAATGGAACTTTTTAACTAATTTTAAATCAGATCTGACTGCAAATGCATATTTGGTAAAATGATGGAATTCAAAAAAGTGTTCGGCCCGAACCACTTCTTGGTTAATACAATCCAAATCTATACATATTACGTCACAAGATAAAAATGTTTATAAATAAATTAAAAACTCCATCTATAGAATCAAATGCTTAGTAAGTGTTTGGAACATTTTTCAGAAAATATAAACTGTTTCTAAAATCAAAGTTTCAATGAACGTTACTAATTAATTTGCAATAGTTTTAATTCATAAACAGAATGTAAAGCGTTCTTTTAAATATTATTTGTGAAAAATTAAAAATCTATTTAATATATCTTAAATTTTAGTCTTTTTAATTATTGCTGTGAACATAATATATTATTAACCAAAAAATATAAGCAATGGTTTCTAAGAAACTTGGTACAAACAAAATGATTTATTTTTGTGTTTTTATGCTTAGTTGTGTTCATTTTAGAAACCCCAAATCTTATAATAAAACTTTTTGCTTTGATAGATTATTGCCCTTAATAATTGTGGATAGTTTAATTTAACATAACTAGGACATTTGTCTCGAAAAGCCTTATATTATTCTAAATACAAACATGAGAAATTCTCATTTGAACTTTTTTTATTATAAGCCATATCTGTATTATGATTTATGATATTTACCTACTTATGATTTGAAAGTCTTAATTATAATTAATTGCCTTATTATACCAAACCAACATAACTATCAAGAACTCTAAATATTATAGGTACTTTTTTTATGACTGAATTATCATATCTTTTTTTTTTAGTTCTAAAATGTCTTATGTCACACTATTTTTTAAAACAGAATTGACTTGTATACCAAGTATACTCAGTAAATGGTTAGGAGATTATTATAATAATGCTCTTTGTAATGGAGCAACATGGGTATTTTTATTATGGTGGATATTACATACTGGTTTCAATAAGTTTCTTAATGTAAGTTTACTTTATTATAAACATTGTGTATATTTTAACATGGATCAGGATTTGATTATTAGGGACTGGGGCCAAACTTGTTATATGGATGTATCTTCCCATCAATATGAAAATCATATTTTAAAAATCACCCTTTTGGAGGAGATAAAAGGGGTGACATCCTTAAAAAAATTAAAATGGTTCGAGTCTTAATATTTTTTCTACTTCAAGGCTCAAAATTTTAACCATGATGTTTAAATGTGGGGGCGTCATTTAAAATGATCTTCAAAATGTGATAAAATATCTGTATTTCAGGAACAACCATAATGCTTATAGGTATTCTATAATATAGTAAAATAATCCATAAACAAAAAAGTCATAGAGAATAGTGCTCACATTGTATATTTACCGTATATGGTTCTAAATTAATTAGACATTCATGTATATGCCTTTTGAATAACTTACTATTTGGCAACCTTTTTATTGCATCAGGCAGTTTATTGTATAGTCTTACACAACTGTACAAAGCTCCAGGGTCTGTAACTGCCAGACGATGTATTGAATATACTAGGTTTATACTTTTTAAGATATAAGCATTCTTTGGTTCGCATTTTGAAAATAAACTCCTATTTTTAAAGAAATGAATATGGCTATAAATGTTAAAATTTTTATTTTCTCTTTTACCTGTACACGACTCATTCATATTTAGAATAATCTTTTTTCAATATAACTACTAGACACCATATATAGAATATTGTCCCATATCTAATATTGGATTCATAAATTAACATAATTAACTGTTTTTAAATTATCCCATTCCAAATATTTCTTCACAACTTTGATATATGGTTTTACCAGCAGATAAAGCTATTAATATGTACCTATAGCCCCAGAAACACTTTTCATGTGTGTCCTACCAGTTGTCCCATAAATTTCATGTTGAATGAATGTAACTTGATATTGCCTCCCAAACAAAATTAAAATAATATTTAGTGGATGGAGTTTTAATTGTTATACTTATGTTGTTTATATATTAACATAATGTATTAACCTATTGTTAATAGTATTATTTATTTTTAGTACACTTTTTTTTGTTTTAGTAGCCTCTCTTACTTATAATTGCCTTTCAGATGTTTGTAAGGTGTACTTTAAATGCAAAAATAAATAAAATAGTTATAGTTATATAGTCGAGATCAAATATTTATATTTGGCATATTTACAATACATAATTGTTGTTGAGCAATATGAATAAAGATTAAGCAATTGCTTTTACTTAAAAAGCAAATAGTATTTTCCTATGAATAAATTTTTTAACTAAAATTGGGAAACACAAATTATTTGATAAAGCTCATGGCCGTAACCCTAACATGTGCTTAATTTTTTTTAATATTATGTATAGGATTTACTAATTTATATTATTTTATTAGGTATGAAATCCTTTCTGTCACAAATTAATTTTGGTTTTGAAGTTTTTACTACATCATCAAGGACTTCTAAATGGATAATTATGGAGTCAATATAAAATAGAGCAAAAAAATGTTTATAGAAAAGACAATGAAAAAGTTACAAAAAACAAATAAAAACATTGCGTTCGGTTTGGCACGTTCCTTTAACTCCTTTAACACTTTTAACTCCAAACGACTCTTTTAGCGTTCGGTTTAGTCCGATTAGTGACAGTTTAACACGCTTAAATGTCATTTAAAAGCACCCTAAAATTTGTCCCGCTCCAGCCCCTGACTGACCGAACTCGCCTATAGAAAGTTACTAGATTTTGGCACGTCCTAGATTAATTACATCATGTTATTATGTCATGTGGCAGTTATCAAAATAATTTTGAATTTGTCAATTTGTTAAAAATTTGTATATGTTGGTATTTCAAAAGTTTTTATAAGTATTCAACACAATGGTGAAACGATTTAGTGATCAATTAAAAATTTTAATCCCAAACGTAGTTTCCTATTTTAAGAGACACAAATCTATTTGCGGGGCTCTTGGAAAGAGGTACTATCAAATGGCTGCAGAGGCATTAAATATTTCGCAGAAAACTATCTATATACTTAGTAAATCAACAAATTCTCATACAGTACGTGAAAATAATGTTTAAAAAAGTATGTCAAAGTGTAACAAAAGTCAATTCTTTAATATTAATTAAGTTGAGGCAAGTTATATATAAGATTTAAGAAGGTGTGCAACATGTAACAATGAAATCATAACAAACTATTTTTTGAAGAAATGCCTGATGTGAAATGTTCTGCGTGGTCAATTAATAAATGACAGACAGTTTTTATTGGAACAAAGATTGATTCAGTTAAAAAAATGTAGTTTTTAAAACTTAAAATAATAATAAAGAAATTGTAAAATTGTCATTAAATTCTTTTTCATTATTATTATTATTATTATTATTTTGTTAGATTAAGCACTTAATTACAAATAATTATCTTTTATTCATTTATTGTGTTCTCAAAATAAAATAAAATTTATGTGTCTGATCTTTAAATGACTTTTATTCAAAAAAAATGTTATGTAAGATATTTCAAATATTATGTTTCCGAGTAGGAAATTTCAAGATCTATCAAAATCAAGAAAAAAAAATAGGGGTTACTATTTAAAAAAATTGTCAATGACGTCACTGCTCAAAAATGGGAAGTGGGGAAAAATTGAATTCTATTTAAAAAATTGCGCTTTAAGTAAACAAAATTGACCTGTCCGAGCATTTTTTCGAAAAACCAACTACTTCCATTATAATGAATTTATTCCTTTCATTTGAACCATACTGTATGTGAACAACAGTTTCAAGAACAATGTACTACTACGCAAATTTTAATAATATCAAAGTGACAGAAAGTCGCATGTGCAGAAGTTTTACATACTATCACTCTTAAATTGTCACCATTCATCGACACAAAGTCACATGTGCTTCCTTGCGATCTTCTATAATAATAACTTTTTAGAACCAATCACACAATACTCGACAGAACGTCGTATGTATCCACATACGACATTCTGTTGTAAACATTTTTACTTCGGCTCGTGCGTAACCCGTTCATGTTGGACACTTACGACATTGCTTCATAGACATTTTGTGACAAGAAGGCGTAAAACATCATCTGAAAACAGTAAAAGATAATTTACTTATATTTACTACTTTTCTAAAAAAGAAACTTCTGAAAATGTAAAAGTCTGCAAGAACTTTTTTTTAAAAACGTTAGATATTGGTGAAAGAACAGTTTTTGTAGCCAAGAAAAAAGAAGTTGATGAACAATTTCCGTTTATTGTAGGAGATATGTGTGGAAAACATACACCAAAACACAAAATTTCAGAAGGAGCATTACAGAGAGTCAAGGCTCATATTGAATCATTTCCCCGAATTGAGAGCCATCTGGCGGAAAAGAACCAAAAGACAGTTCTTACATGCTGATTTGTCGATAAGTAACATGTACCAGCTTTATAGAGAGTATTGTGAAAATAATAAACAACCGATTGAAGTAAAATTTGGTACATATAGCAAAATTTTCAACACACAGTACAATCTAAGCTTCTTTAAACCGAAAAAGGACACGTGAAAAATATAAGAACTTGTCTGAAGATGAAAAGGCTAAAGAAGAAGTAATTTGTCCTTATGTGACCAACGAATCATTTCCGATATATATCATGATTTTTTTAAGAACCTTTTCACCACCGGGCACTCCAATGATGATTTGACTGAAGATGGCATTGTTCAAGAAGAAGAGGAGGAGGAGACCTAATAACGTGTACACTATTAACTGATAAATGTTTGTAAAATATTACGCTTTTTGTTTGTTAAGAGAACATATTTTATGTTTTAGTTTTATTTTACCAATATTATTCTTATTACTTCTTGAAAATAAGTTTTATGTGTAGGTACTTTGTTCTGAAAATCCATAAACTTAGAATTAGTGAATATTCCAGAACCAGGAACAATTTTATGATATATTTGCTCTAAGTTTGCTCTTAAATCTATTAACCTAATTTTTTTGAAGAATTTAAGTTTGTTTACTATATTTTCCACATCTTTTTGCGGAGTTAAAGCAATTATTTTTATAACAAACTTGATGTAATAAAGTCAGATGTACATTTTTTTAAAAGGTCATATATGTCACTAATTTTTGAAAATATGAAAGTATGTCGAAATTTCAAAAACAAGTCTTGCTTTTAACTATAATTCTAAAACATACCAATCATAATACCAACACTAAATGGATTTTGACATGAAATATTAAGATAATAGATTTCTAATATTTTCATTCTCATTTTTCTCAAAACTGTAAATTTCGACATACGACCTTATGTTATTATGGTAGCGAAACAAGGGAGGCTCCAAGACGAATTTTCGAGGAGGTCATTGCCTTTAGCCATTCCCTTTTTAGCATATTTTTTTTAATAAAAGGCTCACAAATCGTAAGAATTTTCATCTCGGGGGGGTATGGCACCCATAGCCCTCCCTCCCCTGGAGCCGCCCTTGATAAGAAATTGACAGGTCAGAATTAACAATTTAATGGTATTTTTAGGCATTATTGAAGAAACTGAAATTTAAAGAGTATGAAAGAGATAGATTAACAGATATTTTGTGGTACTTGGGGTTTTATGGCACTGGAGTAGTATATTGTGGAGCAGCATTATCTCAAAATGAAGTTGAATTATTTAACTTTAAAAAAATGCAAGTACCGTCCATTAGCAACTTACCAACACAAGTGGTACTTGGATATACTCTGATATTAATGTTTTACTTACATTCAGCTTTTTGGGAAGGAATTACCAAAATGAGAATAATTAATATGCTATCTTACTTGTTCCTATTTTTCTTTATGTTGTCTTCTTACATTTTAAGGTAAAAATAAATACTTATATAATCAGATTCAAATTACAATCAGTTTACTAATTATGTTAAATATATTAAGATTTGAGTATTTTTTAGGGTTGTTGAAATCTCATTTACACTTTCTGCTTTGATTAGTATTGCACAAGTTGTATTACACATTACAAAAGGACTGTTTGTAGTGCTAGATCAAAGATATTTTTACACGAAGATACTTATAGCTGCTTTATTTATTGTAACATTGGCTGTACAGTGAGTTACCAATGCAATTCTTTATATTTACATTTTATCTAAAACAATTTATATTTTAGCGTAGCAATTCATCTAATAGTGATACCTTTGACTTTCATAGTACCTCTTGGCCTAAAAATTATTTCAGACTATCCAAATATTTTACTGTTATTTTTGTTATTCAATTTAATGGGATGGTTGGGGGCTGAAATATACCAAGGCGTAAGTACCCCAAGCAATAAAGAAACAAAAGTACATAACAAATATTTCAGGTGCTTTTTAAATTTTTAAATCATTGGTTGTATCATGGACAAGACATTAAAAGGAAAGACAGCATTAGCAGTTCTGATGGTTATGAACAATTGGATAAACACCAGGGCTGTCTAAGAAGTCTAACAGAATGTGCTTTGTTCTTGCCTAGAGATGACCTGGCCTATGAAATTCAAAAAATAAGAAAAGAAATTGAGGAGAGAAGGGCTAGGTATTTTTGTTCTGTTTTATATAATAACTTTATTGAAGAATTAGCTAAACCAAATATTAGTGATGGTTCTATTCACGAAAAAAATTTTTGTACTTTTCTGTCGGGCATGTCCTGACAAGTAGTGATAAAATGAAAAGTAGTCGACCTTGAAAAAACTTATTTAATTTAAAAATAGAAAAAAAAGAAGTATGAACTTAGTAATCACCCTGTATATAAAAGATACTCTTAAAAGTACATGAATCATTTAAACTGTTTTGAGGTTTTCACTTAATCTATATTGATATTTACGATTTTCATTCATTAAATAATTCGTTGTTAAATAGGCTGGCACAGAACTACTTAAAAATGTAATTGAAAAATTGTTCTAATTGAAAATACTCTACCCGGGCACAAAATTCCACCAACCTAAAATTTTGACCAAGTTTGAAGATATTGTGATTTTTTAAAACTATTGTAACAATGGGATGAATTAAAAAAGCAAAATGTTTGGAATACATCTGAGATTACAGCAAACGGTAAGTAATACAAAAGTATCCGCCTCAATTTTGCTGCAAGGTGTTTTGAAGTGGCGACAAATATTTTGATTTACCCCTGTATAATATTGCCTAAACGAAAAATTTTACTTATTACATTAATTTAAAAAAACTAATTTATCTATAAACTGGTAAAAAATTCATAAAAATAGGATAAAACATAAAAAGTTATAAAACATCAAACTTGGTCAAAATTTTAGGGTGGCGGAATTTTATGCTGGGGAGTGTATTTTAATTTTACTAACCATTAACATGCTAGACAACGCCATATCTGTAGTAAATTATACCATATGATTTATTCTTTTAGACAATTGGCATTGAGGAAACCAAAGAATATGTTTGTTCAAACGCTTAAATGTAAGTATTTGCATTTATTTTATTAAATAAAGAAAAGAGTGACGCACATTTTTAAGTCAAACAACAGAGATAGAAAAATATTAAAGTATTTCTAGGAAATCCACACTGAGTCTGATTTAAGATCTATTAAGCTGGATGTATAAAGAGGGGTTTTTATTGAATATCTATATGAATGGAATATACAGCATGTTTTTCCTAACTACGTTACGAAAGTTTAGATGGTGATTCGTTAGGTCGTTTTTTAAAAAAAAGTTCCTAAACATATGTCTGGAGTTGCTTCTTTTCACGATACAAAGTGTTAAAGTTAAAAAAAATAAGTATTTTATAAATATCATAAATATACCTAAACCGATTTGGTTTAAATTTGGTACAGTTATTTGAAGTAATAAGCTCTAATTAGATTGAAATTATTGGGTCCAATGACATCTCGGCCAATATTATTGAGAAAAAAGTACGCCCCTATTTTTTCAGATTTTTTATAACTTTTTGGTCTCTTGTGTTTTCTTCATATTCGAGAAAAAAAAACATTAAAATCACTTTAACTCATTCTAAAAACTAACCAAATAAACAATTTTGGCCTTAAAATAAATGATTTGTCATTGAACGTCTGACACGTTCAAAAATACCTAGATTGGAATTGTCAATTATCCGATTCCTAAAATCATTCACATCTAGTAGAGAAGTTTTATAAACAAGTGCCTTCAGATGACCCCATTAATACAAATCTACAGGATTCATATCAAGACTGCGAGCTGGCCAATTTTAAGGTCCTGCACGTCCAATTCAGCCATTAGGGTAGATGATGTCGAGATGCTGACAAGCAAAAACACTAAGATGATATGGAACCCCGTCGTGCATAAACCACATGTTGGCTCTTACATGTAGGGGTATATCTGATAAAATGAGTAAATGATCTTGCAAAAAGTCCGTGTAGGATTCACCTGTAACGGGTCAGTTAGGTAGTCATCAATAATTCCTACCCAAACATTCAGCGAAAATTGTTGCTGAAAATTACTTTCTTTAATAACGTGGGGATTTTCGTCGGCCCAAAAATGGTCATTGTGAAAATTCATAATAGCATCTCCTGAAAAATTTGCCTCGTCCGAAAATAAAATCTTTGGTAAAAAATTAAAATTGTGTGCCATCGTATGAATCAACAATAATCTTGGGTGAAAATCCTGAGGCAGTAGAGTATGTGGTATGGGTACCGGAGATTTCTTTTTAGAACTTTCCAAACCGTTTTTGGGCTGACTTCAAGCTGCAGTTCATCCATCCATTTACAGGGGTGATACAATGTTGCTCAGAATAAATAAAAAAGGCCTATAATAACTTTATGCAAGACAAGAAAGTCTATGGTTGGACAATTTGCAAATACAATTGCATATTTTTTGTTTCTTTTTATAAGGTGTTGGAAAAAATCGCCAAGCTTCAACAAAGAATCGGGGATTAAATTAGGCAAGCGTTGTGGAGTAGGGTGGGCCACCTGTTCTTTTTTCAAGCAAAATGTCCTTGTGACTTTTAACGGCGTATGTCCTGTACCTGGCTTGTACAAAAATATATAAGGCGAGAACCTTTTTTTAGAAGTTCATTAGAAGAATGCATCATACTTTTTGCATCATACTTCAAAAAGGTGGCAACCCTAATGTGGAAACACTTTTAACATTTTTTGCATTAAAGTAGTTTCAGTAAACATATCATTTAATTTTTTCCGACACATTAATTATAAAAAGTAACAAAAAATACGTAAGTAAATTTTCAGATGAAAAAGCATTAGTCAACCTACCCTTCCATTAAAAAAGTTTGGGATTGCTGCAACCTGGGGCAGATGGGCACACCGGGAATCCGGGAGATTAACTGGTGCGCCGGTCCTACAAACGCCAGTTTTTATTTGTTTTTTTTTTTAACAATTTGAAGTTTTAAAGAATTGAAAAAGTCAGAATGTATTAACTAATTTCTTAATCTACTTATTAATGTAAGTCTGTAAATCATAAACATGTTAATTTATTAACAGTGAGAGTATATAAAAAAAATACGGATTCACAGATCCATTTATTTTTCGTCATAGTCTCCTTTTTGTTATATACCCTTTGCCAAGCGAAATTCAATACTATTTATGCCGCTCTTATAGGCCTATTCATCTATAGCTCTTAAGATAGATGTTTGTGCTGGCAATGACTTTCAAATCGGACGTATATTTCTTATCTACGTAAAATTTTGTTATGTTTGGAAATAAACTGAAATCCGAAGGGGCTAAGTCTGGCGAGTAGAGTGCATGGGACAGTAATTCAAAGCCCAGTTCATCAATTATAGCCATTACTATAATATACTTCAGACATGAAACAAAACTTGTCTTTTCGTTAATCCAAGTCTTTTCTCCAATATTTTCTGTTGCAGCTGATCAAGAAGCAAGTCAGCATATTATTGTCCATTTATTGTTATATCCTTTTCAAAATAGTCAATAAAAATAATGTCTTTTGGATCCCAAAATATCGACGCCTTAACCTTTCAGGCCGATGGAACTATCTTTTGAACTGTCTCGCCTTTCGCTATCAAAATCACAATCCCACTATAGGGTCAGGCTGAAAATTATTTATTCACATCCTCGTTATGAGTAAGGTGGATTTAACACAAATAGAAAAGGAAACGTCTTAAATCTCACAATGTTGATCTTACAATGTTAATCTAACATTGCTAATCTCACAATTTTAATGTTAATATCACAACGTTAATGTTAATATCACAACGTTAATGTTATTCTCACAATGTTAATGTTATTATCACAATGTTATATAAAGGACCTTTTCTTCTTCTGACAAATAATTTAATTTACATAATACCTAGTTATTAGTTACACAATTCATAATAAGTAAAATATTACAAAGTAACAATGTACACAGATAAATAAAAAGAGATGGCGTAATGTCGCTGGCTATTTGTAAGATAAGGCCCGAGAATAACAACCACAAAGAAGCGACAAAGCCGTTCCCGCCTAACAAATGGACAGGGGGTTAAACTGTCATTTCAATTTCAACAAGCTTGCCACATAGATAACAGTACGGTTTCAGAGAGGGCACAGCACTGTGGCCCAAGTCCTGAGAATTGTCCATCATGCCAAACAGGCATACAATCAGGACTTGCAAACAGTGCTGGTGGCGCTTGATTCGGAAAAAGCCTTTGACACCGTCTGGACCCGAAGGTTAATCTACAAAATGCTTATGAATGACTTTCCTGGGCACATTGTTAAAACAATTTTGTCATATCTTACGGACAGAAAATTCAACATAAAAGTAAATTCAACAATAACAGGACCTTTCCTAGCAATGGCGGGAGTACCTCAGGGCTCAGTACTATCGCCGCATTTGTACACTATCATGACTCATGATTTACCAATGGGTCGTAATGGGGTACAAACGGCGCAGTACGCCGACGACATCTGTATTTTTACCAGCGACAGATCTGCACAAACAGCGAGCAGCAGGCTGGACGATCATATTAATGGGACATTAATGAATTATCTAGCAGAGAACAAAATGAAAATAAACTCAAGTAAAACGGAATCTATAGTACTAACAAAAAGGCGTATCCAGGGCATAGACACGCCCCTTCAAATACAGAATCAAACAATTGAGACTAAAACTCCACTAAAATATCTCGGTTTTCTGCTAGACAAAACATTATTGTTCAGGGCCCACATAAAAGACAGGGTAGCGAAAAATTCCTGTATTCTGAGGTCTCTGTACCCCTTAATGAATAGACGGAGCAAGCTAACCCTGCCGAACAAAATTCTACTCTTTAAAACTATATTTAGGCCTATACTGACATATGGTTGTCCAGTATACTGTTCAATGCCAAATTCATATTTTCTCCCACTACAAAGGGCACAAAACAGATGTCTCAGGCTAGCACTGGGTTACGACCGCTATGCTAGAATACGAGACATACACGAGACGACAAATATGCCTATGATTAAAGATTTCATTATACAAACTGCTGAAAACTTCTACGCGCGATGCCTCCCTGAGGAACTGAGGGAGAGTATCACTCTAATTCACCAGGGAGACGGCGTGCGTAGAAAACACGGCTGTGTTCACAAAAATCTAAGCATATATAGACGACAATAACAGGACCCACGACAATCTCTACAATACTAAACAATAATTCACACGGACTGGATATTTACGAAATATAGTCCGACGGAGAACTGAGCGATAAATCGACTGGTAGAATCTCGGCCGAGTGCGAATTTTCGCAATCGACCGAGGCACTCCCGGGCAGTTTATAGCCCACCCTCCCAGTGAATTATGACAACAAGACACAGACTAATACAGGACCACTTACCACAAACGACAACCCTGTTTTTTCTAGCTTTTTCAGGGGACAATACGAAATTAAAACACGACACACTTACAAACTACCTACAATTCCCGATCACAATCCCACATAATCCCTTAATAATACCCCAAGGGTAAGGAGTAAGGGCGGCTATATTTAGCATAATCATAATACATAAAGAATACGGCATGTAACAGGCGGAGGGATCGCCTTAGACCTTAAGGGTTTACTTTTAGGGTCGCACATCTGTACTGCGTACAGTGTGTTTTTATTTATATGTTGATTTATTGTGTTGTAAAAATTTTTAAACATTGAATAAAGAATTTAAAAGTAAAAAGTAAGTAGATAACTTGCCAGATTGTCAGTTTAACTAGTTTAGTCGTGATTCTTGCTATTTTCCGATTCGTTTTGTTTGAATTAAAAATATATTTTATTTTTATAAAAATGTTTTATTTGCTATTTAAAAAACTGACAATCCACCTTTCCCGTTATTTGACAATTTCACATTACTCATGCTCGAAAAAAGCGCGGGAATTTAAAATCTAGTAATTTTTCATACAACCTATTTTTTATCTATCTCTTATCCTCGCTTTATAACTGTAGGTTTGGCTACGACGATTACCCTCTGTCATCGTTACTTTAAACAACTGTCATCTACACTATATAGATGTCATCTAGTCTATATAGTATGGGGGCCAGCCCAGCAAACATTTTGGTGTAATTTGACGTCGATACTACCTAAATTATATATAATAAATTTGGTCGCAAAATTAGATTTAACCATAATTAAGTAAAATTTACGTTGGCTCGACGTGGATTCGACATAAGTGGAGAATAAGACGACGTCGAAATTTGGTTTTATTTACCAAAATAGGTAGAATTACATCTAAATCCACATTGTAGTAGCCCAGTACGTTTGGTTAGAAATACCTCTCTAGGGAAATTTGACGTCAGTATAACGTTAATTCGACGTTGATTTAACGTTTAGGTAGAAACTACCAAAATATTTGCAGATGACGTATGCCTCCAAGTGTACGAAAAGAAATTTTATACTTATTTGGTATTTTTATCTATATATAAGTAGAAATATTGTAAGAAGTCACCAACACAACTAAAACATATACCTAATTCACATGAAAGATTGAAAATAAATAAATGTCGGTGACAAAAATATATGTAATGTAATTGAGGTGAATATACAGTTCACGCTTGTTGAAATTAATGAGAAGAAAATTTTGTCATGCATGTTAACAGTTCTACTTAGAAAAATTACAATGCCCTTCCAAAATACTCTCTAATTAAAAAAATATAAGAAAAAAATATGATCGTGTAAAAAAATAATAATATTATGAGCTAAAACTATGTTACGTTTGTTGTGTATCACTTTAGAAAATCAATAATGTTTCGTTTTTCGGTATTTTCATTCGTATGTTTTAGTTACGGTCATTTTAAAAATTTAAAATTTGGAATCGTACTTCAATTACGTTAAGAAAATATGGCGTATTGTGCGAATTCGACCTAAAAGTTATTATGACTAATAAAATCTACGTATTTTACAAATACCTTTTTACTAAGTTGAATTAACTTCAATTTCACGACATATTAGTTAACTTTACCTATTTAAAGAAATAATAACTTATAGGTTTTATAAAAAATTTACCTATAGGTAATAAATATAACATATTTAGGTCACGTTGTTCTGCACTTGAGATTTTAGATAAAAATCGGAAGTATAACGATATGATTTATTATTTTTCGAACTCATTTTATTAATTATTTTTCGCACTCATTTAAAGCTCTATCTACACCACACGTAAATTAAGATTACGACTGTAATGGTTTTTTAAAATGCCGAAATTCTTAAGAATAATGACGAAGACAGTAACTGAACAACCTAATTGTTAAAATAACCTAAATAATATAAATTTTACAAATAGGTCATGTATGACTCTTTTTAAATTGGTGGTTTTTAGTCGAATTTACTTTGTGGTAGATTTTTCAGGTAATTGCTACAACAAAGTTAATAAATATTTCTTCAAGATGACTTATAGGTCAACTAAATGAGTATTCGACTATTTGGTTGAAATTAGGTAGATAAACAGGTAGAATTTTGCTACGATCTCGACCTAATATTACTTTAAAGGAGAGTAAATAAAAGCGGCCAAATAGGTTACTATGGAGGCATAAAATTACGTAGAATTTTTAACCAAATCTACCTAGTTGAATATTCTACTATAAAGACGATTTTTAGTTGCCAAACAGGTAGATATTACCTAAATATGGCACCTAATTTTACTACAAAGGAAATTTAACTTTGAAGTAATTGTTGGTTATTTTTTTTAGTAGTTTTTCCCTTGCTGGTATGGTTAAAGTTACTTTTAAGCAGATTTGTGTAAAAGGCAGATTTCTTGGTATAATTTACGAAAATTTAAATATAAATTAAAACCGTTTGGTAAATTTACATTAGAGGCATATTTTTCTAGTCAATTTTACGTAATAATTACATCAATAAGTAAATTCGTCTTTTACAAAGTCGAGTTATAACTAATGTTATAGAAAATGTTTGCTGGGAGTGACACTTTTTTGGTACACATTTGCACAAGGCATTATCCAAACAGACTTTCTTAAGACGTCCTCATCGAGGACTCTGTCGCCGTAGGCACTAGCAAAGTATTTCCATGTTCTACAAGGTAAGAATAAACGAAATATAGTTTTGCCTTGAGCAAATAACACACCTAAATGTGTCACTGGCTCCTCTACCATTAATAAAAGTTAAAAATGACATTTGTTTATAACCTTATATGTAATGTTGTCATTACTAACGTCATTGAAGGTTGGGAAGTGTCACATTACACACCTCTACTTCCCGCCCTCACTTCCCTCCCTCATTTCATCTATTCTAGATGAATATTTTTTATATTTAAAAAATAACACATTTTTTTGACAAATTTTATAATACCTATTTAATGGCAAACAACAATGAACTAAAATACAACAAACTACTTATTGATATTTATTATTCGCGAATTTAATATCCGGGTTTATCTGACATTTATTTATATTGGTGACAGTTGTTTACCCCGTAATCACAGTAACAATATATTTACTTGATTATTCTGAGAAAACCGCGCGCTTGGTAATTTGTCGTTAAATGTAACATTTTAGGTATGTTCAGAACGAAACAGAGATTTATTAACTTTGATCGAAATATAATGGTTGTAAATAAAATAGTATACAAACCTCTGTAGGAAGTTTCATTCCTGTCTCGAGATCATAGTTAACCTCGACGCTTCGCGTCTCGGTGATCTAACTAATCTCACGGCAGGAATAAAACTCTTCCCAACTCGGTGTGTAATATACTATTACGAATGTGTAATTGGAAGCTAGAGTAGGTAACAACAATACATTTTTAAATTCAACAGAAAGTAGGATTTGGGCATTAAGGTCTATTATCATGTTTTTCATTTTTGTTTTTAGAAAAATCAAATTAAAAGTGACAACTAAAATATTATTTTTAATATTTTTCTCAGTGTATAGCATTTATTACGCTCCATTAATTTTTTTCTCGGTGTTTTATACTGGCCATCCGTCTCATAAGTCAAATTCAAGGTCGCTTCTCTGTGGTTGCTATTCTTGGGTAGGGCATTGTCCCTATATGTACCCCTCTGGCTACGGCCCTAAACCAATATTTCATTTTCAAAGAAACTGTTATTTTGACTGCAAAAATTTAGATTAGGAGTTCCTTAACAAAATTAGTAGGTTTTTTACCTATGTATTTTTTATATTAAAAAATATAGTTTGTTTTTTATTTTTCAGTTATTGTAAAATAATTTGTGGTTAATTTATTAATAAAAAAAAATAATCAATGTTGTTTAACTTTTTGCTGGTCCGGCGCGAAGCCGTTTTAATTGACCGATCCAAGGGGTCCCACCCGCCACTGGCTGCAACTAAAAACATAAACAAATCTCATTGAAAATAAAAATTGACATGTTTTCAGAAATTTTGCGACAAACCTGTATTTAGTTAAAATTTTCCACTCTGTATTAATTTTCTTTACAAAATGGAGTAGCAATTATCGATATAACCGATGACTTTCGAAAAAATTTTACGCTTTTTTCTTATAAATGATCTCAACTACCTATGTTTTCAAGGAACGCTTAATTTGAAAGCACCCTGTACAGTAAATTCTTAACTTTGTTTTAAGTTTTATGCCCTATGGATAAAAATCTTTCTTACACCCCCACTTTTTTGACTAGGTATGTTAACTATTAACAAAAAACTCAAACAGAAGCGGAAGCGCCTGGAAGATGAATCTGAAAGTTCTGAAAATACTGATGAAAATCAGCAAGATGACCTGTTACCTGATGATGAACATGGTACTCATGAAAATTACGAGGAAGATGTTTTACATAAGAATGAACTAGGAAGTGGTGATAATCAAAATATCTTATTATTTAGTGATGATATAGGAATTAGTGATAATTCTACAGACTCTGATGATGTTTTAGAACAAGATAGCAATTTGGAACGCAAACGTGAAGAACTTATGTATGAATGATTGGAAAACGAAATCGATGTATTATGTTCTTAGTATCTATCCTACAGTGTTAATGTCATGGTATTGTACGTGTTTTGTGTTTCAATTTATGCTTTAATCGTATTTGTTACCTCTCACATTTTAATTTTATTGCTTGCTGAAGTTTGATGGTAGTAATTAACCTTAATTAAATGTATTAGTTATTTTCACTAATTATTTTTCTGTGCTGAAAATCTTGAAAATAACTGAGTTTTAAGTAAAAAGTGAAACAGCTTCTGATCTAAATCATGGATCATATTACTGTTCTTATAGTCCATACCAAAGAAGAAGTCAATTTGGCAAAAGGCACTTAAAAATACATGGTGTTTTTGAATGAAATATAGATATATTAACTGTAGATGTGAGACACTTAAATAGACGATTCGAAATCACCCCTTATTAATGGGTCTTTCATAACTCATTACTACAGGGTGTTTTATGAAATTCGTATGAATTAGTCCAAAGCAACTAGTAAACGTGTGTATACAACAAAAATAAGTGCATGGTCCTTTGAATAATGGATGTGTAAATTTTAAACCTACATATGAAATGATAAAATTCAAGAATCTTTAAAAATGTATTGACAAAAACAATTGGAAGATCAAAATCAGAAAGGATTACAAGAAATTATTTTTGAAACTTTAGCTGAACAACAATAGATTAAGTGTTATTTTTACGTTTATGTTTTTTATGTTTATTCAATGAAATTACTATCAAATTACCCTAACCCCATAAACTGTTAAATTAACCTGCCTCCGAGTCTCCTAGTAAGGACAGTTTTGTACGAAAAGAATTTCTACAGCATTGTATTATACCAATTTAATTTTGGTCGTTTGACAACACTGGAGCGCGTTCAGATGATTTTAGACGGGAGTAGACTAATTTTCTTAGATCGTTTGCCCAGACTACTCTAGAGTAATTCTCATTGTCCCAACATTTCTGAACGGCAACGAAAGTAAACGTCAACGAGTTTGAAAATTAAAGTTATTACAGTTATTTGTTTACAGACATTTTATTCCCTTATATAATGTTTGATGTTCCTCGCTTCTCGTTGTTACTCGTGTTTCGTATAGTTTTTATTTTTTACTTATTTATTTTTCTTAGTTTTTTTTGTTTCTTTTTATTTCAATATTTACAGCCCTATTTATAATCTAGATTATAATGAATGATCTATAAAGTCAATAAGACAAGAAATTTTAGATTGTTTATTTTAAAACAAACTTAACCTTATGCTATGTACTAACACGTTTATGGCACACATAAATAATATGAAACAGCAACTTCTGCAAAATACCTCACCGTTCTGTAAAATTTACTCAAATAAACCCAGTCTAAACTGGGTAAAAAAGAGTGCACTCCAGACTAATTTGACTCGACTTTCTGAACGAGAGTAGGTAAACGTCCAAATTGAACGCTCGACTGTTCTTGAACGAACCAAAACCAAATTGATCGCGCTCTTTTTGGTCGGAGCGTGTTTCCTGGACGCGCTCCTGGTGATAAAGCAGTCGTGTATGAGAGTGTAGGAGCCACATACTTTGAATACTATACGGTGCAAGAGAGACGTCGGACACGCCCAACAGGGCACGGCCATTTTGATGCAATTACTACTAGGTTAGGCAACACATTTTCCTAAGATGTTAAACTGGTAGCCTACATCTTGGTATTTTGAGATTTTAAATGAAGGCAACAATGTAGAAGAAACCTTTATTTATTTTAAATAATATACAAGAAATTTTTTTGAGGTAAAATTATAATTGCGAGTGCATCTTGAAATAGAGGTGAGTGGTTTTAAATTATTTCTAAAGCTGTGTATATGATTTTACCTTAATATTATGATATTTTTCGCCAGTCCCATGCCCATGAACATTTTTTTTTTGTAATATAATAAAAATCTTTGAGGCTAAACAATCTAATATTATATTTTGCATTTTTTCAGCTGTAAATATGGTACGAAACTATAAAATAAAAACAAAGAAATGTGAGATTAAAGAAGCTCTAACTAAAAGATATTACCAGAGGAATATACTCTTGCAGTTGGTTTGCGTTTTTATCTTATAATTTATCTGAAACAGACACGTTGAATTTGTATAAGTGTTTTTTTAAATGAATTATATGTAGTTGATAAATTTTTAACTAAAACAGATGTATTGTTCATCTACAAATGAGTCTTCTTTCAGTTGTTACACAGTAAGAAATTGCTGAATATTTTCTATTCAAGGAAATACCCCTATGGGTATTACTGCCACCACCTCCACCAATATTCTCGTTTTCAAAAATTACACAAGTTTGTTAATTGTATAAACATTAGATTGCCAGTGTACATTTTCAAAACTCTTGCATATCTCCCTACTTTCTGTTTTTATAGCAATCGATGGCCTAGCTATGCTTTTCTTAGTCCGTCGACTTAATATTGTAAAAAGGATGTCTATATGGTGGCTCTAAAAGACTTTTTTGTTACTTTTATGATTCCTGTGTGTGCCTAACGTACAAAATCAATGTACCTGGATCAGTGGTACTTTTGCTTCTCAGAAATTTCCATTTATCCGAAATTATTTCTCCAAATATTTTATAACTGTTCCAGATAAACTATAGCAGAGGGGGCTATTTTCTTAGTGAGGCTGTGGGCTACCTCTACTTTCAGGTGTGTAGATGAGCCAGAGGTAGTAAACCTGAAATAAATAAAAACAATTATTATAATATAAATGTTCCAAAAAGTAAACAATATTACTTACATGTTTATATTTCGTTTGATTTTAATACTGCTCCTATCTATTGAAGTAAATGCTTCAATTTTCTTGGTATTTGCCTTCTACAAAGAATTGTTTCATGATTGATTACATACCTTTTTACATAAGAGCAATAAGCATTTTCCTCAAATTGCTGAGAACAGACATAACAGAGTTTAGCTAAAAATAATTTCTAAACAATTCTAAACAAATGGAACGATTTAACATAAAATCACCAAGTAAAGCAAGGTTTTCAAGATATTCATTATTTGTTAATGATTTTGTAAAGTGTAGGTTCGTAAATAATATCTTTGGGGACTTACTTTGGGTTAATATTATAACGTAACCACTAAAACTATTGCGCCAAGATGTAGGCAAGTGTTCAAAATGGCGGAGTTTTCTATTTCCTTTTAAACGGCACTCAGAAAGCTGCGCAGTGCGACCTAGTAAGAGAAAAATAGAACTATGTGGTAGGAGCACTCTCATGAGTTAGAGAATAGGTATCCTGGAATAAATGATCCAAAATAATCCCCAAGGAAATGAACTAATTAAAAGGATTGCTTATGGATGGCGGACAGATCAGAAAACGAACACTACGCGCGTTCCGGTAGATTCACACACCAAAACAAGACCTTACCATAACCAGTGGCGCATCTAGAGTTAAAGTGTGGGGGTAGTGGTAATATAGTCTGGGGGGGGGGGGGGGCGGAGTTAGTGGTTATTTATTTTTGATAATAATACATTTTATTACCTATATAAAGTTAGTTTTAAAAATTCTTGGAGGTTGATAACCCCCATTACCCTCCCCCGTATATGCCCTCTGACTATAACACACCTAACCAAGAACAATCAATCGCCTTTTGCGTACGGCATAACCGCAAATATTCGAGAGTGCCTTCGCGCTGTTAGCATAGTAACTTAACAAAGATAAACTATAGACCAATTTCATTTATTATACCTTTTTCTTATATTTTTGAAAAACAAATAAAAAATAGGTAATTTTCCTTCTTTAAACAAACGGAACATAATTTCTGAAAAATATTTTGGTTTTGTCAACAAATGATACATCTCAAAAGTATAGACCAATTTTATTTATTATATCTTTATCTTATATTTTTGAAAAACAAATAAAAAATAGGTCATTTGCCTTCTTTAAACAAACGCAACATAATTTCTGAAAAATATTTTGGTTTACAAACGATACATCTCAAAAGTATTACAAGAAATTGCACAACATTTCGAAACCACTATAAACCGTCCTATATGTTTTCCTGAATCCTGTGAAGGCCTTAGCACTGTAGATCATCGTTAGATATTGCAGTTTTTGGCCAATATATGCATAGTTTATCGCGAAAATAATTATTTACTAATTCTTATCAAGTCTTAAAAATTATTAGCACAGCAGTGAAAATCAAATCAAATTTCAACTCTTTACACACCTCAACCAACTACGCTACTGGTTTTTTCAACGAAACATTCTTAAATAAATAATTTGAGCACTGATAAAATTACCCAAGCGTTTAGTGAATTACTGAATTGTTTATTCATCACTCGGTTTGTTCTACTGTTTACTAAATACGGGATTTGATATTATTTTCTTTCTCTTTAACCCGCTTTGAATGGGCCTTTTCAATTAAGTTAAAAATACATTTATTCAATTCAAATTAGAACAAGTATCCAGTTCATTCCTAAAGACCAAGTATAGTCATTTTAACTGTCGACATAATTAAATGGTATTGCTCTTTTGTTTCAAACAAAAAAATCCCAGTTGAGAATCATGTATACACATTTTTACTTACAAGAGTTAGATTTAATAACATTTATCCCACATGATGTCAGTAAACGATTTGTAAAAAACTGTTGCTCTTAAAAGTCATAACACTATCCAAAGATATAAATAATATTTAGCTACAAAGGTGTCTTGTAAACCATGTTAAATAAAAAAAATATATATATATTAAATATATTTAAAAAATACACAAACGTTTAGACAGTTTTGTTTGCCTTTCATATTTTGTTTGTTATCCTTTAGCTTTAGAATAATCGTTTATAAAGTATTTTTATAATTTACTAGTAATTATTTTCGTCCAAATCCTATTTGGCTTTTGCTAAATTGACCGTACACCAAATTGCCTAATGCCATAATGGTTATATCGAAAGTTGATGGAATGCCATCATTATACTCTAAAAAAGTGATATTGTATTTGAAATAATTTATTATTTTAGAAATTATATACCTCAATAGTTGTTAGATAGTACCATAGTTGTTATTTTTTGTTTTTATTTATTTTGACATTATATATTTATATAGTTGAATTTTGTTTGTTTACAATAATTACAATATCTATTTAAAATGCAATGATGCAAGAAACTAGTGGCCGGATACTATCGATATTATCGATAGTTTGTTACTATCGATTGTTTTAAGTGATCATCGATAGTTTAAACATGCATGTTTTTTTGATTTTTTGAGTTTATTTTCACCGAATTCGATTCAAAAACACTAAATTTTAAAAATAAATCAAATTTATAAAAACGCACTCTGCAATTCAGCACTAAATCATAATCTGTTTTAAAGGTTGCCTAACTCGGTGGCAACTGGTGAGGGAGGGCACTGGGGCGCCGCCCTCTCTGCGAAGTAGCAAGAGTCGTCTGCAAATTAGTATTTCAATTTTCCATATACTTAATCAGTAATTTTATTTAACTCCTAAATTTTTTAACAATAAAAGAGCCAAGCCCAAATAAATGCAATAATAAAGTTCGTGAGCGGACAATTTAATTAGCTACGGACCTGTACAATACGAATAATTATTGCTATAATTATTGTATCGGGCGTAGTATCAGTAGCGAATCGCTGACGGTTGCCTTGGTTACCGACGTCAACGTGTAGATTGCGGAGAAATGGGAAGAAAGTTTGCATTTTGGATGCATGCGTTGGTGCCGCTATCGCTTTGTGGTTTGTTTTGCTATGTTGATCTAGTGTGGTGTTGTTTATTTAATTAACTTCGTAATAATTATTTATTATGAAAGTGACGGAATTAAAAAGCCTCGTATTCAACCGCTTAAGTTTAAATGACTTTTGGTATTGATTTTTTCGTGCCTTTATACTCAGCTTTCCCTATTACACAAGTCAAGAGCCGCCACTGGCCTAACTATCATGTACGCATGCAATCGCAAGTGTGCCTCCTCGTGTTTTGTGTATCTGCTTCCTGTTTGTGCTGCCATCTATTGCTTTAAATTAAAGAAACATCGGCATATGATGACCGAATGCAATCACTGGGGATTCCCGGATTCAGTATTACGTGCAACATTGGTATAGTTTCGATAGTACTATCGATAGTAACTCTTGAGACTATCGGAAACTATAGATAGGGCCGATTATCGATAGTATCCGACCACTACAAGAAACTTAAATGTAGATAGCCGATTTTCGAGAGAATAGTTATTTATGTACCAAGTCAGCAAAGTGATTCTTTATCGAATTAGAGGTGAGTAACAGGCGAGTTCTAGAAAAACACTGCTGACGTGGTCCATACATACTTTTATCGCCAAACGTAAATAATTATAATTAATAAAAATGGTGATATTATAACATCACATTTTAGTATAACAAGTGATATAGTGTTTGTTTACTTCTGCAAATCGCTATGGTAATGCATGGTTTTATTGACGGTTGGCGATGAAAGTTATTTTTTCACATTATTTACTTTATTCTTGTTCATACAGGTAGTTTTAATGGAAAACGGCCAATGGAGAAACATAAAACATGTCATAACCTTCAATTTGTAATGTCAGTATATGTTCCGATGGCATAGCACTTTACAAAGGTAAATTAGTTGTGGAAAAGTTAGTATTTTGGCATAACGAAAATCTGAAATAATATTGCTTACATAATATCAAATCAATAAATACTCACTAGATTGTTGTTGTATTTTTACTTTCATGTATCCAGTAAGGAAAGTATAAGAATCATGATTTTTTGACGGATCTTTACGTTTTGGGGTCTCCATTTTCGTGATGATGTCTGTCTGTATCCACGATAACTCAAAAACGGATAAAGAGAAAAACCAAATTTGGAATTTAAAACTAATCCATCTGGCGAAGAGATTTTGGGCATAGTCGGAGCATCTGGCGGGAAGGGGATGTCTTTAGAAATGGTCGTTTTTCTGTTTTTAGGTATACAAGGCGTTTATTGATTGCCGATACTTGAGCTACAGGGTTTTGCAGTTTTAAGAAAAAAATAACTTTTTTATAATTTTTTTATCACTCCAGATATTTTTATAAAATTTTTTAAATCATTAATGAGCATTTTTTGATGTCCATTTGTTTTTGAATTTTTACCAGTGACGTTCGTACGGGGTTTAAGCTGAATCTTTTGAAGAAAAAAATGGTACGCCACAGCTTTTTCTAAAAATTTAGTTTATGATGCACCATTTTCGGGTAAAAAAAAATTAAAACATTTTTCTGGATTGTCAATTTTTTTCCTTAAATTCATTGATATTTTGTTGAAATTTGGTAAGCACCCACCATGCATGGAAAAATTTTTTTGGGACAAAAAATAATTTTCTTCTTTCACAAATGAAGTTCACGTAGGCATGATATTGAATATTTGAATAGAAAAAAACGGTAAATACATTAAATGTCCTCTTAAAGCAAATAAAAATTATTAGACTGGATAAAGCGTCATAATTTTTTACGTTTTTTTTTTCACAAAGACAATAAAGTTAACATTGACTTTACATTAAGTAATTATTATTATCAGAGTAATTCGCCATGAAGTGCACATAGCAGGTATTGCACAATCAACGACGATTTATAATAGTATAACATGTATTTATTTAATTTATTTACACTAAGACACTAATTTATTAACCTAATTTATTATACTCAATACTTATGTATCTAATTTATCACATTTACTTATATACTAATTTATATTAATATTAATCTGCACAAACGAATATTTAACTGACCATAACAGAAAACGTGGCATATTTATATAAACGTGGAGTTTCTTGAATTGTTCGGGCATTCACCAAAACTTGCTACAACAGCGATGATGCCTTCGCCATTTATTAGACTGATGCGTTGCCTCTGGGTGCTTCCGATAAATTCTAGATCGGTGTATCCAACAAATAGCAATGGTTCATCACGACGACTGACGATGACCAAAAATAGCCGTCCCACAGGGGATTTTGAAGGTTAACTCTTCTTCAATAATATTCTTGGTAACGGGAAAATAGAGGCCGTAAAAGGCCCAAATAAGGCAGCGAGGAACTTAAGGGATTAGAGCAGGACCGGGACTTTGTTTTTTTTTTTAATACTCAAGATGAGTTGCGTTTGTATTAATATTTTCAAAATTTTATTACAGTTAAACAGTTATAACAAACAACAAGTTGTAAATATAATATTTCAAAAGGTTTGCAAAGTATGTTTATGAAGAAGGTAACAGAATGAATTCAATAATTTCTTAACAGTAAAAATGGTTTTACATTTTTGTGAATAAATTCAAGTTTTGTTTGTCATATACAGTGCTTTCATTTCAAAACCAGCCCGTCGAAATAACTTTTATTTTACGTAAATTTAAGAAAAACAGAACCTACTATCTTCTATTAGCATCCAGACGAATTTTCATATAAAATTCATATCCAGAAATTCAACTCCCTGGAGCCCGATTCATTAGAAAAACCGAAAAGAAAAACAAACATACTTATTAATTAGCTTAACTTTGCATATACAAGTGCCAGGTCCGCATTTAAATTTTTTAATTCTGTATGTTTCTTATTTTTGAGTTTTTTGAAAAAGACGTTTATTTTAACGACTTCGCAGTTTAAATAATATCAACTTAGGATTAATCCTGTTTGTAAGACCTATAAATTATTTTAAATATTTTCCTTATATGTAGCTTCCTTATTTATTAGTCTAGGTACTAGATACCTGAAAATAATAAAATGTTACCCTTTTTACTTTCCTATCTGTATACAGATATAAGGAAAGTATAGGAATCATGATTTTTTTCGACCTCGAGTTTTCGACGGATTTTTACGTTTTGAGGTCCCCTGAATCCGTTTTGACTATTTTCGCGATGATGTCTGTGTGTGTGTGTGTGTGTGTGTGTGTGTGTGTGTGTGTGTGTGTGTGTGTGTGTGTCTGTGTGTGTGTGTGTCTGTGTGTGTGTCTGTATAACGCATAACTCATGAACCGATACATAGAAAAACACCAAATTTTAAACTTAAGCTTTGTTTCAACGTCCAATGAGCTGATTAGATTTTGGGCAGAGTCGGAACATCTGGGGGGGTACTTTATAGGTGGTCATTTTTATATTTTATGGAATATATCTGTTATTTACGTTTGGAGAAGAAAATTCTTCAAATAAAAGTTACTTCTAATATAATTATCTATAATTTTTGTTTTATACAAAATTTTCCTAAAATGGTCCGTATTCGAGAAATTTGACAAAATGTAAAAAAAATAATTTTTTATAAAAATTGTTTAAATAAAAGTTGTTTGTAATATAATTCTCTATAATTTTTATCCTATACATAATTTCTCTAAAATGGACTGTATTCGAGATATTTGAGAAAATGTGTAAATTTCGAATTTTGAAGAAAACTCAAAAACGGATAAAGAAAAAAACATTAAATTTTAAACTTAAGGATTATTTCGGCCTGACGTAAAATGATTAGATTTTGGACAAAGTCGAAACATCTGGGGGGGGTACTTTATGGGAGGCCGTTTTTATATTTTATAGAATATATCTGTTATTAATGTTTGGAGAAAAAAATTGTTCAAATAAAACTTACTTCTAATATTATTATCTATAATTTTTGTTTTATGTAAAAATTTCCTGAAATGGTCCGTATTCGAGAAATTTGACAAAATGTGCAAAATTCTGATTTTTATGAAAGTTTTTGAAATAAAAGTTGTTTGCGATATCGATCTCTATAATTTTTGTTTATACATGATTTTTCTAAAATGGACCGTAATGAAAAAATTGTAGGAAATTTAAATTTTTCAGTATTTTCGTTTTCCATGAATATCTATAGAAAAATGTTTCAAGGTAGATGTATGTGGACAATGTATATATTTAGTTTATCCTCTAAACAATTATAGAGATGCTGCAATAGGTTGTACAAAATAACCGGAAAAGCCTATAATATCTAGATAGGAAAGTCATGTGTTGGACACATCAGATTTTTAATTTCAACTTTATTGCTTCAGTTTCCTTATTTAGTTACATGATCGTTGTTACATGAGTTTGAATGACATAATAAATAGCAGTTGCAAAGAAATTTTCGATATAAATCATCAATAACAGTCTTTCTATTTATTTCCAAAAAAGGCGGTTCCCGCAGTGAAAGGGTTAACGAGATTTTTATGAGAGACGTAGGTACATTGAAAATTTCTTTGCAACTACTTGTATAATAGTATCTGTCAGTTTCGTATTTCCATTAAAAAAATTAATCTTGATTTTACAGTCATGTGCAATCTGACAAGTCTTGCGTGATTTTTTTATAAAAAATAATTATTTTTAGTGATGACTGTTAAATTCTTAAGAAAATACTAGTTTACCAAAAACATTAAAACGAACATCCGTACCAAAACACTCACATTTGCACAATTTATCCAAATTCAAAGGTTTCATTTCCAGAAACCCAAGATATTCGTTGTTTACTATTTGTGAATATTTTTAAATACCCATGTAGAAGGTAAATTTGATTACAAAAATCGTTTTTTGAATTTGAATTCTATTATCGCTTTCATTTCACTAATATTGCAAATTGATAGCTCGTAATTTAGATCATTTTTGTAAAATCCGATGCAACTTGTCAGTATAGTTTCTTACGAAAATCTATCATTCTTATATACATTTTTTTCTTAGAAACAACACTCTGCATATAATGTAAAATCAATATCTTTGTCGTTAAACTTTTTAGATTTCCAATTGTCAAATTTTTTCAAGCGGTTTCAAAAGTTTCATCTGCCACTTCTTCATAATCTTTCTCTAAGGCAGCTAAGTTTTCCCTAGCTTCAGCAAATTCACCTTCTTCCATACCTTCACCAACATACCTAAAATAATACAACCTAGATAGAAAAATCAATCGCGTACCTATATGTCAACTACGCGGTGACTGAAAGGCACAGATACATTTTTTAAATGTTTTTATATTAGCCTAATTAACAAAGCATTTTAAAATATTTGCCGACCTCGAATCAGATAAAAAGTAGAGTTGAACGACGCGACGTTGTGATTTTTCAATCACAACTTAATTGTTACTGTGATTAATAAAATTTAAATAAATGAGATTATGTTTCCTAAAATCATTAAAAAATTAAATAATCGTTAATATTTTTCTGAAAAACTTATGAAATCGATAGAAAAACTGTCAAGAATGTCAGTTTAAGATTAAAAAAATTAAATAACAGTTTATGAAATATCGAACAACTCTAGACTATACATTCATTATAATGACGTTCCAATATTTAAGAATTTTCAGTTTGGTAAATTTAAAGATACCTCGTGAATTAAGCTGTATACAGGGTGTCCCATTAATAATTTGACTGAAAATAAGACGATTAAACGTAACATATTAAGGTAAAATGTTACTCGTTTTTGAAGTTGAAAATTCGCAAAAAATGAATGGCTATAAATTTTTTATTGGTCAGTATAATTTTACTAAATTCGGCAAACGTTTTTGGCGTCATAAGATACACCTAACGGCACAAAAATCAGTTAAATAAACTTTGGCAGTGGCGTACGGCATGTGTAAGTAAAATTTATGCCACTGTTCAAAAACTTATTTGAACTGTAATTTTAAATTTGTTGACGTTTTTTAAATATAAAATGTACTCTTGTTGAAAACATAAAAAAAAATAAATTTCAAAATTTAAAATGAGTATCCACCTTTGTGTGCGAATATCTCAAAAACCAATAACTTTATAAGTTTCCAACAAGAGTACATAATGTATGTAAAAAACATAAAAATTTAAATTATAGTCCAAATGAGTTTTTGGACAGGGGTGTAAAATGTAGAAGGGATGGAGATGTTACTTACCCATATATTACGCAACTGACAGTTTTTTTGACAGCTTTTTGCTGACACTGATAGGTTTATCTTATGACACCAAAAGTTTGTCGAATTTAGTAAAATTATAATGAATAAATAAATGATAGCCATTCATAATTTTTTTCTACACCCACATGGATATTGGCTTATCTACACACAGACTACAAAACGAAAAAGTATGTCATTGCGTTCAACTGAACGAATATATTTCATATCCATTCTAGGTAGTGGGAACACTGCAAAAAAATGAAATCCACCAATTACAGTTCATATTTTGGACACAACTATTATTTTTTAAATTTTAAATAAGTGACAATCCTGTAAAACTAATTGTCAGTATATTTTAATTATTAAGATTAAATATACAATAAAATGAGTTAAATAATAATAAAAGCACTTTATTGGTTATGAATATTACAACCAAATGGCCATCGACCTAGGTCCTTCAGCCAGTACAATTTGTATGGTATGTGTGAGGATTTACAAGCTATATGTGTAAGATGAATATGAATATTAAGATACTTAAAAAAAAAAACAACAATATGTGTTACTAATTATTGTTCATCGGCAAATTCGTTTAAGATTTCTGTTATTGATCTCACTGGGTATTTAAACTTTGCTTGACCAATTTGTCGTTGCATCGAAAAACTGGTTATTAGCATGTGATTGTTTCGTTTCTTCGAGAAATTTTTTGATAGTTTTCTAATTCTTTCCAGGATAGGCTGAATCTTGAGTTTTTTCGTAAATATATTCATTCGCTGGATGGTGAGTGGGGTTTTCAGGATGTCGCTTCTTGGTAATGATTCTTAGTGTAGAAGTTTCGGCCACTTGAATGTTTTTTAATGCAGATTTTCGGCAGTTTAAATATATAGTGTTACCGTATTCCAGGAGAGGTGTGCAAACTCATTTTAGTGGCTGTGTAGATGGTGATACCTTTTTTTTTTGTATGTTAAAGAGCGGAAATTTTTGGCTCTGGTTTTGATTTTGTTTTTTTGTCTGCAGGTGTGTTCATTGAAGTTCAGCTTATTATCAATAATAAGGCCTAGGTATTTCACTGAGGATATGGGATAGATTGGTTGGTTAGATATGATGAGTGTAGGTGATGTCGGTCTTAGATCATGATAGGGTATCATTAATTGACATTTTTGTGGGTTAACTTGTAATCTCCATTTATTGAGCCATTGAGAAACTTCGTTATATTGATTTTGTAGTGCTGTGACGGTTTGATTCAGCGTATTTCCATGCGATATCAAGGCCGTGTCATCTGTGTATTGGAGTGTGTAATTTATTGCATTGAGGTGTAACTGACCTGAAGGAAAATCAAAGCAATATATGTTGTAAAGGAGCGGAGATAGTGGCGACCCTTGCGGTACACCTTGATTTGCTATGAAACTTGAACATGTGTGGTTTACTCTTAGAGTTCTGTTTTGAAGGAAGTTTTTGATAAGAATTATAAGACCATCAGAAGTTTTAGTTTAAATAGGAGGCCATTGTGCCAGACACAGTCAAAGGCTTTTTTAATGTCCAACAGGAGAATGGCAGATTTTTTATTGTTCAATTTTGTTGTTTGTACATTGAAAACCAGCAGAGTGGTTGTTGCCAGAGCGAAGATTTGTTCTCTAAACCCAAATTGGAATTGCGAAATTCCTTTGTTTACTAATGCTGATAGTTTTACCTTAATACATTTTTCGAATAATTTTCCCAAAACTGGAAGAAGGGTGATTGGTCTGTAATTATCAATTCTTTTGTGGTCTGTGCCTAGTTTTGGGATAACTATGATGGTGCCTTTTTTCCATTGATCTGGAAAGTACGAGTTTTTGTAACAGAATACGAACATTTTTATAATATAGATATGTATATTATATTCTAGTTTTTCACAATTTGCCATGGGTTCATGTCCGATCCTGGAGCGGAGTTTTTCTGATTGGATAGTATTTGAAAGTATTTTTCCTCGACGAATTCTATGTTATCTTCCTCATTGATTGGGTTGTTTCTAAAATATTGTTTGCGCCATGAGTTTACATTACTCCAGTTTTCTTGTTCAAAAGATGGGTCTTTCGTTCCGTTATATGTTTTAATGAAGTTCTCCTTGAATGCATCGGCCTTTTCTTAATCTGTGGCATAGTCTGTACCATTGTCTGTGATATTTGGAATTTTATTCCTGGTTTTATATTTTGACAGTTTATTTTATGATAGAAGTTTCTTCCCTGTTCTCGATTGATTTCTTGGCAGGTCTGTAGCTATGTGTGTTGCTGAAATTGTTTTACTAATTTTTGAATGTCTTTGTTAAAGTTGTTGGTGTTTATTTTGAGTTCCCGTTTTGCCTATATTCTCTGAGCATTTTACGTTTTGTTTTGATGAGTTTCACGATGTATCTAGGAAGTTCATAGGTAAAATATTTGTTTGCAGTTTTTGGTGTGTTGTTTGCGATAATCTCGGAGACCTTTGTGTGAAAGTTATTGACTTCATTAGTAGTGATATTAGTGTTGTTTGAAATTAGTTGGTTTACTTCTTTATTTTTTTAATGTTTGATTTATTGAAATGATATTTAAGAGGTGGGTCTGCAAAAGGAGAGGGCATTCCTAAAATGAGTTATTTTTGTGTAGAATCGATAAATAATCGTAAATAATAGCATTTCGATTTTTATTTGAACCATATTTTGAAACAAAAATTAAATTATATACAAACTATAAGAAACTATTTTAATTACGAGTATTAAAACCAAAATCGTAAAAGTGGCCATAAAGACATGACTTGACTTCCACGCGAAAAGCCGGGGATCGATTCTCGGCTGGCGACTAATTTTTTTTGTTATTCATATTGTAACACGAGTGTGGGTGGAAACTATTTATTTCTTGTAAATACACAAACAAATAATCAACAAAATAACGCGAAAACTAATTACGAACTAAAAAAAAGGATATTTATCTTTTTATATTTATCTTGCAATTTATATGCTGCTCTCACTGACGTTTTTCAAAAATCCCCTTGTCAACTTGACTGTTTCGTTTTTATGTTCGCTGTCACTAGGGAAAAGGTCGAAGCGTGCTACTGGGAAGCTAATCCGTTACAATATTTATTTTATTTTAAAAATCAGTAAAATTTATAAATTATTTTAAAATTAGTTATTTTGCTTAATAACCTAAAATATTTTTTTAATTTGTAGATTTCCGTTAGTGGGTCGTAAAAAATATACTGTACAGCTCTAGTTGATTGTCCATATCGCACTCAAGACTCGTCTTCGTGCGATATGGCCATCATATGCACTCTTGTTGCACAAACTACTATTGAATTTTCAACTATAACCCACTCTATTTCGGAAACGAGTAATATTTTACCTAAGCATGTTTCACTTAATCGTCTTATTTTTAATCAGAAAATCTTCCGTTGTTCTATGTCCCATGCTTAATGAGACGCCCTGTATATTACTGATAAGCCCCCTACCTATGGGACTTCATTTTAATATTTTTCTCAGCGTTTCCAATCAAGTTCGAAAATGCAAAAAATTCTGAAAAAAAAAAATGTGACCAAGACGTAAAATCAAATAAAGCAGAGCCATATGTCACACAAAATTATATGCAAAGAAACGACAACAGAGATAGAAATTTAATTTCTACACTCTACCTTTGATTTGCTGTCACTCTAAACATCAAATACAATATTTATATATTTTAAAGGATTTTATTTAATATAAAATGAATATGGATTTTACGCTAATAACATACAGGTTGGTGAATGGGGAAGTAACGATGATTTCTACACGAGTTTTAACAACTTTAATGGAGCTCGTATCTGAATTTGATATTAAGCTCAATTATTTTACATGGACAGGCTTAAGGGGTAAAGGGTCCAAATATTGTTACATCGACAGTCTTAATAAGGGGTTAACAGCCTAAATATTTTTACATGGATAGGCATAAGTGGTAACGGTAACTTAAGGGATAAAGTAATGAAAATTGCGGTAATAAGCAAAACCCCAGTAACTAGTCAAACTATAGACTGAAGATATTTGCAACAAAAGAAATTTATTAGTTTTAGCATTTTGATCGGTAATACCAATATAGCTGCTTTTGTTGAATTAAATACAATTTTTGGATAATGCTTTTAACTAGTCAAAAATAAGTTTGATTTAATTTCTTGTTTTGGCTTGTTGGGTTAAACGATTTTTGCTACAAATAGTCTATAAAAATGTTAGTTACGATAAAGAATCAAGTTGACATTTTAGGATAAAGAATAAATATTACCGGAATTTTGCTTACTTTGTAGGAAGAAAAAGCATTAGTATCAGAATGGTCGAATAACCTCAAATATTTGTAATTTGTTAGTTACGGAGGTTTGGCTTATAATGGCAGAAATATTTTAAGTGACAGTATAATTACATGTTACATGGACAGGGTTTAGATAAAAATAGGCCAAATATTATTATTTGGGCAGCCGTAAAACGTCTAAATATTTTTACTTGGACAGACTTAAGGGATAAAGAGTCTACATATTTTTACATGATTCAGAAGCTGAAAATTACACGTCTACTTCTCATTACCTTTCGTTCAAAATCAAATAATTTCTTTTATGCTACGAGTTTATGCGTGGATGCCTCAATTACGATAAAGTGGGAAACACCAATTTAGCGTCCCGCAAAGTTTTGCATTGTTTGCAGGTCGTAAAAAAGTAGTCATGCAACTATATTTTTAATGTATTTAGGGCCGATTCCACCGTTGTGTTAAATGAAGTTTAAATTACTAAGCGAAGTTTAAAATGCCATTTTAAAAAACTCCAAAAATAAAGAGAATTTTCTCGTAGAATCCAACATCACATCTAGACCAAATTTAAATTGGATCACCCCTGAGGGCTTCAGATAAAAAAAAATAAATAAAACTGCTTACCAATGCACAAAGGCTCGTTTCGCATACATCAAGTCAAATTTTTTGTCTAGTCTGCTCCATGCAGTCGCAATCGCTGTTGTGTTAGAGAGCATGCAAACCGCCCTTTGCACTTGAGCCAAATCTCCACCCTTTACCACGGTAGGAGGTTGATAGTTGATTCCAACTTTAAAACCAGTTGGACACCAATCTACAAATCTGACGTCACTCTTCGACTTCATTTGGCCGATAGCTGCGTTTACGTCTTTGGGAACAACATCACCACGGTAAAGAAGACAACAGGCCATGTATTTTCCTACAATAGTTATTTATGTTACTGGTACATAATGAACGCGCTTTCGTTTATGGCCGAGAGAACCCAATAAAAAGGAACGTCTATCATGGTATCAAAAACAATGGTACGATATTTTACGGATATCAAAAAGCTCTGATGATCTAATAGTTTAGGTGCTAGGTCGGTATGAGAGATATATCAGGTTCGAATCCTGCCGAGGTCCTTTTTTTATTTTCTTTGGTATGTTATCGCTCTTTGAGAGTTAGACATTTATTTCTATTTTTTTTTATTTAAAAGACCATTCTTTTCAAAAATCAAATCGATATTAAGACAGTGGCATCTAGCTTATTAGTTTCACTTCGGTGCGGTGTTTCTAATTCTGCTGGAGAATAACGAAATTAATATCCGCGCATGAAATGCCATGTAATCATTTCTATTTCATAAATTAATGTGATTTCTAATTTTTGTATTGTTTATAATCTAAGCACTTATATTTAAAATTGACTTCCGTCTTTCTAGCTACCGTAAGAAAGTATACCACCACACACTCATACCAGAAATGTTTTTAAACTCTCTGATATTGCACTGAGTTTTAAAAAAGCACGAACTCTATTATGGGCTCGAAACCTACACTAATTAAACAAAACTGTTAAAATCAAAAATAGCTTTAATGTAGCGGACTCAATTTCTTTCCTAATTCTTCCAACATAATTGTATATGTATAACCCAGAGATAACAGATGTAACTACTAACAAATATCGTGCGGTCCTGAATAAGACATATTCTAAGGGACACAGGAGGGCATAATATCCGCTGTTGTCATATGCCTATTTCATTATTCTCCTTTTGTTTATAAAATTATTTACATTAAAAGCTAAAATAATTCAACATATTTTATTGCAACTGAACTCAAAAAATTTTGAATCATTAGTTATATTAAATTTAACTAAATTAGATGTAATTTCACTAAATTAGATGTAATAATTTTCAATAAATTCCAAAACCTACTCATGTTAGGTTGGAAGTGGCAACAGGGCTTACACCGGCATGGATATTTACGTTATTCATTGATAAAAATAAGTTGTATTTGCGTAAAATTCTTCTCTTTCTCCCTCTCTTACTTCTCACATTTCGTTTCCTCACCGCGTCCCTACAAATAGAGTGTATCGATTGACGAATTAATCTTGCCATCGTGAATATTATATTTTATCAATGAATGGTTATATCTGTTATCTCTGGTATAACCACAGTAATTGGCCCAGTACTCTTCCAGAAACTTGTCTACGAACCTTTATTATCTATGTCGATAATAAGTATGTAAGGTTAGATCTAGCCAAGAACACTACTGCGGCCTCTTGAGACTTATTTTATTCCCCAATTATCTCTAGATTTTGATACTATCTTTAAATAGTTCTGTGCCTTTGATTAGTTTTACTAGGAAGGAACCCCACCAAGTGTTCCTGGTGTGTCGCCGCCTAGCTAGAGCTCTGCATTCGATGATAACATGGCATGAGGTTTCTTCCTTTGCAATGTAGAGTCTACATGTGGTGGGATCATTGTATAATCATCACATATAAGTGCAAACAATGTCCCGTTAATAATTCCATAAATATGGATACCTTGGGCCTTGAACGCTGTAGTAACTCAGCAGCCATGTGTGGGTTTGGTCTCTTTAGCATGAGCTTACTGATGATGTGTCCTTATTTGTTTCCAGAAAGTTTAATGTTTAGAACAGGTTCGGGTTTAACGAGTTCATCAACCTTTTCATTTTCTTGGTAAAATTTTTGTCCAAGTACCCACTATAGTTTTACCTTATTGTGGGTTGCCAGATAATTAAGTATTCCAAGGCCGTTCCAGGCCTTGATTCAGTTTGAACTAAGGTGCCTTTAAAGCTGCTTGGTTGTCTGAGATAATTATTTAAGGAGAACCGTCTCCTTTGGATTTAACTCCATGTACTCGACAGCCATTTCCCTTGGTAGTTTTAGATTCATCCGTATACCAAACCAAACCCATAAGCAAGTATTTTTCTACCTCTTGATTTAACTCGTTCCAGTTGCAGTCGACCTGGAAGAGTATGTTGAAGGTTGGGCGACGTGCCATTTGGTCCTAAGCCCGTATTTAATATGGCATGCCAGAATCTGTACTTATAGGGTATTGATGGCTGTTTTCTTATTTTGGCCACCAAACTCAAACAACCGCTCTAAGAACCTTTTCCGGGTTGTTATTTCTTCGTTTTGACTTTTAAAGGGCTGTAATCGTAACATTTTTCTTCAGACCAGATTATATTATTATCAATGATGTGACAGTCCTAAAAACCTTATAGCCATCATGTTCTGCATAAGCTTTCGTGGTACAATCTTTTTTTAGTAACTTCGTCTTTACGATTCCCCAAATTTCATCTTTCACTGCTCTTTCGTGACATTCAATTAGTCTATTAATCTTGACAACTAGCATTATGTATTATCCATGTAAATTCACATTTAAACTGCTTGTTCTCAAAGTTTATATTGTATTACATATTATTATAGAGAGACAACGAATATGGTGAACCATCGCTATAACTGGTTTGTTGTGTCTTCGCAAAAGGCGTAAGAAATAAGTAGGTTTCTTGTTCTTATATATTGATCCTTATAGAATTTAAAAACTTACAATATATCTATATCTCTTGAAATATAAAGTTAAATAAACTAATGAAAAAAGTTACTGTTGAAGTGTTGAGATCTAAAAGAAAGTATTAAAATATCCTGAAGAAGTAAAAAATTTAAAGTGTTCTGAAAAACTTTGAAGCAGCAGTAGGTAAAGTGTTCTGAATAGCTACAGATAGAACCTAAATTAATATTTTGAAGAATTGTAGAAAGCATATAATCATAGAAAATTCCATTGTTGTCTATAAACTACCGGAGACAGCTAAAGAATGTATATACATTTTTTTTTAATTCAAAATAACAACCACCTGTAACGTTTGAGTGGTTTGAGCCATGATATTTAAAAAAAAAAAAACATTTTTAGAAGCAGATGAGATACTGTTCTTTATTTATATTAGACGTGCGCTGTTTCCTGAGACAATAAGCTAAAAAGTCCAGAATGAAGCAAGAGAAACACACAACAGCAAAATGAAAAGATGATGACGAAAGAGGTGATGTTTTGGTTATTCAATTCAGTAATGCAATGTGTTTGTGGTTTTAATAAAAGTATAGTTAATAGTTGTTAATACTTTTAATAATTTGGAGTACCAAAATCCCCTACACATACCTTCTCTTGGATCACATTTAACCATCTGGTTATGAGGCTCGAACAGTTCTGATGTAATTTCTGAAACGCACATTCCTTCGTGAAAAGCTTTGTCCGCTGAAATTACAGGCGCGTAAGAGGCTAGTGGAAAATGTATGCGTGGGAATGGGACCAAATTGGTTTGAAACTCGTTCAGATCTACGTTTAGAGCGCCTTGAAATCTTAGAGATGCAGTTATTGATGAGACAACTTGGCTAATTAGTCGGTTCAAGTTTATGTAATCAGGCCTGTCGATGTTCAGTTTGCGCCTGCAAATATCATAAATCGCTTCGTTGTCGACCATGAAAGCGCATTCGGCTTGATTTAGGGTTGCACTGGTTGTGAGGACGGCGTTGTATGGTTCTACTACTGCTGTACAAACCTAAAAAAATATTTTTATAATAGGTTTTGCGTCAGATACACACTGCGATATAGATAATCTGTTGTGGCTGTCTCTTCTATTTGATATGCTCTCAAGCAAGTGCTCTTGGATTCTGGATTATGTAGTGCCAAACACTCAGTCAGAAAGTGAATAGAGGTGTTGCCCTCCTCCTCATATAAATATTTATATTCTACTATCAAAGTTAACTGAGGTGTTCTTTAAGTCGGCAATGCACCTCTAGACCATTTAGTTGATTACATAAGAGATCAGCGCTTTGATGGCTGCTTGGATATCGGACATGTCCATGGGCCCGTCACACGCCGTCTGCTTATAAGACTTGCCCCTCCTGGAAATTTTTTGAACGACGCTCGTGCTCATAGTTTTTATCGATGTTACCTGGATAAATTTCTCAATGACGTGAATTTCCACCTAAAAGATGCTTCAGTATTTTAGAGAACTTAAAGTCCCATACACTCCTATTCCAGTTCCTTCTATGGTATATCCTCTCTGGACCAAATAGACTTCCATCATATTATAATTGAACGAATATTACCAGTTTATTAAATAAAGTAATTGCATACAGCATTAATTGATTTACTTACCTGGGGAGCAGGATACACAACAAACTCCAATTTGCTTTTTTTCCCAAAGTCATTGGTCAATTTTTCCATCAATAGAGAGGTGAATCCAGATCCGGTACCTCCTCCAAACGAATGGAAGAGAAAGAATCCTTGAATACTATGACAAGCTTCTGCTAGTTTATTAACAGTGGCCATCACTGTATTTAACATTTCTTTGCCGACGCTATAATAGCCTCTGGCATAATTATTTGCTGCATCTTCTTTGCCGGAGATAAGTTGATTTGGAGAAAATAGTTTTCTGAATCGTCCCATTCGAACTTCATCTGCGAATAGTTAGATATATAAACAGTTGAAGTTATGAATAAGGATAACGTGAACGAAACAAAAATACAGGAAATAAATATAAAGCACACATAAACAGAGACATATAGGGAGCTCTAATTCTATATCAATTTCACTCAAAGTCTTATGCTATTAAAAACAACTTATAGGTGATTATTGTGCTATATTAAAAATTGCTGGTGACGATTTGTTTTCGGTAGGATTTCCTTTACTATTAAGATTAACCATATAGGATGTTTTCCACTCTCTACTATTTACTACATCCTACAGTTAAGGTTTGATAAGGTACCTTCAACAAAACGTTAATTGTGAAGAAACGTAACTTTTATTATTCATTTTAGAAATTAGTCTATAAAAATAAAAGTACCTAATGTATTTTGAAATTATTTTTTTAATTTGGAAATAATGATAAACAGTTTTTGTTGGAAAATACTGCCAGAGACAAAAAAGCACTTGCCCTAAATGAGTTTCTTTTTTAAATTTCAATGCCTCTCCCAACAAACATTGAAATTGAAGACATAAGTGGATAAAGGTGTCATGTAACATTTTTTCAAAAAATGAGTTTTGTTGCCTAATAGACTTAAAATATAGGTACTATATTTTTTGTTTATAATAGTTCTGATTTACAATTTCGAGAAATAACGGCTATTCATCAGATAGGAAGGTTAACTTTAATTTTTCGATGGGCTGTTGATGGATTGTTAACTGTTTCCCACATTCAACTGTAAAATCGTTATCGTTACAGCCCATTTGAAAATTGTAATTAACTGCCTTTTAACTTTAATTTTTCGATGAGCCGCTGATGGCTTTTTAACAGTTTCCCACATGCAACTGTGAAATTATTCGGCTCGTTTGAAATTTGTAATTAACTGCCATTTAACTTTAATTATTTGATGGGCCATTAACGGCTTTTTAACTTTTTGTCACATATAACTGTAAAAGCATGGTACAAGTCAAAAGGCTTTTAACTGCCGCATACCCAACCCCAACAATCTAGAAGGGCTCCGTCCCACGTTCATAGATGGAGATATCGATGATCCCTTGCTACAAACTCAACGAGCGGATGTCTCACATTGCTGGTGTATTCACTATTCAGTATTCATTTTAAGTTCTTACTTTTATGTGTTGTGTTAAGTTTAAATATTTGATTATCGAAACTTGATCACTCAGACTCATTTTTAATTATATTTAAACACGATAATTCAATTAAACTGATTTTATTGTCAGAATACAACCGGCGATTGCCGCTTATGGCCAACTCCTTCTCGTGCTTACTCAGCATGTCTCGACCAAAACATTCACAGCGCTCGTTGGTCAGTGGCGCGGCGCGCAAATTTAAAAATATTAATTAAGAGCTAACATTTGTTAATTAAGAATATTTTATGAATATAGTTTTTGTAGAAGACACGCGTGGTACATTCCCTTTAAAAGCTCGGCATCATTTTTATAAGAGCCTTATGCAGGCCCTTTGATGAGAAGTTAACAATAATATGGGACACTGCTGCAGTCCTTTCACTACATATATCTAGTAAAGTTACGAGCCTTTGCAAATCCATTGAAGGATAATTAACAATAATATTATGGGAAACGCATGGCTTTGTGCAAACCTTTCGCTACTTTATTGCTGGTAAAGTGACGACGGCCTTTTACTTGAAGTAACGTGCATAAGTTTAAAGGCCGTTAACTTGCCTAAACCAAATGTTTGTTGGGATGTTTTTAAGTTCTGAATGTAGGTACCTGTACTATTTTATTGTGGTTGTGTCAAAAATACTTTGAATTTATTAACTGCAACCTAAAACACAATCATTTTTTCTTACCTACAACACTTGGCTCCAAATCAAATATTACAGCTCTAGGCACGACTTTGCCACTTTCTACTTCGTGGAAAAATGTTCCGAAAGCATTTTCCTTTAAATAATCTGGTATCACTCCATCAACCTGAATTCCATGTTCTAAACAGTACAATTCCCAGGTAGAATTGCCTATTTGTACTCCTGCTTGACCAACGTGTATAGATATGCATTCTCTCTAAAAAAAAGCAACTAATTTTTATTGATCATTGAAAATAGTACATTTTCAATATTACATAAATGTCATTAGAAATACATGAGTATTAAATAGAAAGAAGATGCTCAAAAAGTTCTTTGATCAACATAAGCATTTTCCCACTTAAGAACAAGAACGTAACAAAAAGCGGAATAATTGAATATTTTAGTTTTTTATATAAAGGTTTTAGCTTTGTTTATAAATTTAAATTTGTAGATTTATTCAAATTTTTAAATCAATAAATTTATAAATTTTCTACTATCTGATGTACATAATAATATTGAATTTTGATACAACAGTAGCATTTTTTGTCGATTGTGGTTGTTATGAATATTTGTACAAAAGATAATTTTATTGTAAAGGTTTTTTCAGGGTTAGTACACGAAGTTTTCTGCGATTTTACATGTTTTAACCACTTTGCTAATTTTAAAGTATGCGAAATCCTTTATTTTTTTTTTTTTTTTTTTTTTTTTTCGAAAATTAGTCATAGGCAAGAATTTTGAAGTGTTTTTATCCTATTACAATCCTATTAAGTAATCACATTTTTTATCTACTAAACATCTAGGTATTTTGATACAATATTTTTAATTTTTAGCGCGATTTTCAGCTCATAATTTTAATTGCATGAAATATATCAAATATTGTGCCATGATTTTTCTGTTATAGATAAACAATCATTTATTTATATTCGTAGAAATGTTATTGGATGGACTAAAACCAAAAAACAAGGTACTCATATGATTAATTCATTTTAAATTGTTATTTTTTCCTGACGTGATAAAATTTCATGTGTCCTGCTTTTGTCCGACAAAAAAAATATATATTTCATATTTAAGCCGCCTAACTACAATTTTTTTTTCAATAACGCACTCCATTAAAGATTCCTTTTTTTTATCATCAGAACTGCAAATAGAATTCGTCGAAAAAATCTCCATATTTTTTGTCCGGCTTTCTACTTTTCAAAATATGATCACTTTATATTTAGGGTATGAAATATATGGTATGAAATATATAAAATTTTTGTAATACTGCATTATAGTTAGCAAAGAGACTAAATTTATAATTTGTGTTTATTTATAACACTCAATAAATAGATATCAAACTGCTTCAATATAACATTTACCCTTTCATTTAATTTTAGAAACAATTTTATTAATGTTCTTGATATACTTTTATATTTTGATTGGCATTATAATAAAAATTCAAAATTAAAAATTCTCATACTGTACTGCTTTTTCTCTTGACGTGTCACCTACTCCAGAATCTGATAAACCTCAAGTTCATCAAACTTATATGTATTATTAAAACTAAATATATTAAATTGTAATAAACACGTAAAATCCTTACCATTGCGAAGCGGCAGTAGATATTTTATGCGATATTTTCACAAGAATTTTGAAAGAATGAAAGGAAAATTGAAAGATGAAAATTTTTTGATTTGTCGAAATATTATTTTGGCATTTGTTCCTAAGGTTACTTTTAAGACATTCTGAGGTTTCTAGTTGTTTACAGTGTACTTTCAGCTATACGGAATCTATAGGGTGTACAAATCTTACAACAAAATTCGATATTTTAATATTGTAACGTTTATTTGTTCAATTTGTTTTTTATATCACATTGAACTTATACACTAATTTATATTAAAAATATTCTACACAAACAAATATCTAACTTAATACTCACCTAAATGGCAAAAATGTCCGATTTATGTTCTCGATGATACCAGACAGTCCAGATAAAAAATCGGCACCGCTCCCGGAAATTTCTAGAAATATTTCGTAGGAGACTTGTAATGAAGTCAATATTTTAATTCAGTGTTGAGTTAAAAGATTTAATTTGATCCCATTAATAAATATTAGAATTTATTTCTTGGCAAATATAATACCGTTTTTATAGATAGTGTTGAGTTAAAAGATTTAATTTGATTCCATTAAGAAATATTGGGTCCTATGATTGAACGTTTACGTTATCCGTAACGTACATGTTAGGCCAAATTTTAAAAGTAACGAGGCAAGTTCTTATGATGGAAACCTGTTAAATTAGAACATAACAGGCGGAAAATAACAGTAATGTGTTAGAAAAAGTTTTCCATCGTACGAACTTGCCTTGTTACTGTTAAAACTCGGCCTAACATATACGTTACGGATAACATAAACGTTCAATCATACGACCCATTGGGTGCTATGATTGAACGTTTACGTTATCCGTAACGTACATGTTAGGCCGAGTTTTAACAGTAAAGAGACAAATTCGTATGATGTAAAGTCTTTCATAACATATTACTGTTATTTTCCGCCTGTTATATTCTAATTTAACAGGTTTCCATCATACGAACTTGCCTCGTTACTTTTAAAATTCGGCCTAACATGTACGTTACGGATAACGTAAACGTTCAATCATAGGACCAATTAGAATTTATTTCTTGACAAATATAATACCGTTTCTTTAAAGGGAATAGAATTTGATTAAAATAATAAATGATAGGATTTAGTTCTTTAATATGGTAATACCGGTGATTTAAACTTTTGATCTGTACTAGGAAATTATTATTTTTTTTTTTTTGGTAGGTTAAATCGGGAATTAAATTTTATTTTATTGATAAATACTTTTGTTTAGTAAGTGCCGCGTTGTAACCAAGTTGGGAATATTTATAAACGGAGTTTTCGAGGAAACGTTTTCCCTCTTTTAATAGTTTGTTTATTCTTTTACCGTAAATTTAAATAATCTTAAATAGCATCCTGTCCCTGTCTGAACGGGCTCGTGATGACGATCAGTTCATTCTTGGAGTAGGTGCTATCCGCGTTATTTTTTTTTTAGTTAATGTGTAAACCGCAAATTTAAATAATCTTAAATAGTATCCTGTCCCTGTCTGAACGGGCTCGTGATGACGATCAGTTAATTCTTGGAGTAGGTACTATCCGCGTTAGTAATTTTTTTCCCTCCGATAATAGTTTTGTTTTTCTCTTTCACCGTCAATTTAAATAACTTTAAATAGTATCCTGTCCCTGTCTGAACGGGCTCGTGATGACGATCAGTTCATTCTTGGATTAGGTGCTATCCACGTTAGTTTTCTTATTCCGTTTGCATTCTTTATTTTTTTTTTCGTGCAAATTGCAACTTACAGAAATCTTAAATATAGCTACCTAGACTGACAGGAGCATCAAGGGGGGGGGATAAGAGGAGGGCGTATTTTTTATGTATAACTCCTCAAAAAGTAAAGAAAGAGGTTCGGGGTTGATTAGATTATATCTTAAAAATCGAAGATGTTATAGACTTGTTTTCTATTTTTTTTATAATTCAGTTGAGAAGCATTTACCATTTTACAGTATAAAAGGGGGGTACTTTTTGAAAACTTATGAGGCACTGTGTCTTATGCCTTTTACCTCTTATGACATCCCGTCATCTTATTACACAAAAATGTAAAATGTTTCTCAGATATGAGAAATTGACAAAATAGATCAATATTGCAAATATCTAAAGGGAGAAATAAATAAAAAGTTTTTATAACAATTTATTATTTACAAAAACTTATTACAATAAAAATCATAAATATTTATACCAGCAAAAATAATACCATAAATCTATCATGTGGTTTGAGTAGCTTATAATTAGTATGACATAGCTAAGCTACTTTGGTTGAATATATGGATAGCTGTTTGACATAAGCATCTAGTTTTGTCTTAAATAATTCTGATTGAATGGGTTGGGACAACTTACAGAGAGGGTTCTTTACCACATACTCCACATATATCTAAAAAAGAAAACATTTTTTTATATTTGAAAAACCAGGGAGATGGTAATGAATGATATCACGTGATATAATTAACACTACTTTTGTCATATTGGTACGAAATTTTCATATTTGTATGTGTAGGTGTTAGTTGTAGAATTTTCAGAAATAACATCACCAGTAAGTGTTTACGAAAGACATCTGTACTCTTAAAAATTGGGAATATTTGCTGAAGAATGCAGGCAATTTTTTTAAATAAATGTGCAAAATTTCTTTAATTTGGCTTTTGCTTACATTAATTTTATTTTCTGATTAAAATTAATTTTTAGTACAAGTTATGTTAATAAATAAAAATTATGATCTGAAAGTAACATTAAAATATATTTTCATAAAAATCTTATAAATTAAAGGCTCGTCTTATAGTCCGAACAATACAATAACATATATGTCCTGGGTTACTGTATATCTTCTATTCACACTTCTATTTTAGGTATCTAATTTGTTAAAATTTACTCGTAAGGGGGTGACTTATAGGGAAAGTATTATTATTTGTTTTTTTGGACAGTCTAATGAATTGTATTCAGTTTTTTTAGTGCATTAAATTTGTAAATTCGGTCAGTCAGATCACTAATAACATTATTTTCACATTTGAATACTGTAATTTAATTTCTTACTTGACTATACAACTGATGTAGTATTTCTCTAACTCCTTGAGAATGTATATCTGTATTTAGTACAAATTTTAAACCAGAAGGTGTTTCAAAGAAGTGAAGGGTATATTTCGATGTCTTGTAAAATAAAAATCCTTCTCTAGGATCTACTGGCGATATTTTACTAACAAATGATTTAATAGAAAAGAGCATTCCATACATAAGCTTCGCTTCCTAAAAACAGAAAACGTTTTATTGTAGTTCAAATGTGATATTAAAATGTAAAATAAGACGCAATAGTGAACTTTAACTACCTCTTCACGAGTCATTCCTGATTGTTTAATCCTATTCCATTCCTGATAGTACAGTAGAACTCCAGACTTGTCAAATATATAAATATTGTAAACTGTCATTATGTGTATAATAAGTAATCAATTAACTAACCTAATTTTATCATCTATAATCGGCAAAACAAATTTAATCCAATAATTATAAGATATTTATTTATATGGGGCCCACAAAAATGAATGGAAATAGAATCTAATCGAGTGAAGTAAGAAATAAACAAATTAATGTCATGTCAAACATAACCCCAACAACACTTGTCATTTATTTCTTTAAGAGAAGAGCAAGATATGCAAATGGACAAAGGAAACTGATGCTAATATCATTGTCAGATATCTCTGATCAATGTGTTGTTTGAATGATTGCGCTTTTATTTTAATCATTTTACTTTTTAAAATGCGACACGCCAGCAAGTACAATTTCTTTTTTCCAATTTTAACATACTAGTGACATCTCTTGTAATCGCAGCAAGTTTCAAAACGATCTACTTTATGCAACCAGTTATATAAAGTTGAACATTATGAAACTGGTTACGAAAAATTTATTATGTCACCAGTTGCAAATGAAAACAAATACAAGTAAACCTTTTTTTGTTTTAAAATCAATTTGAAAGTTTATATCGAAGGAATAAAGATTGGTTTTATAAAAATAATTTCTTAATAAACTTACACAACCTAGTAAAAATTCTGTTTCGGTTTCCATTTTTTATCCTAAATCTGCACAAAATAATTGAAAATACTGATCCACTCTCACTCAATTACGACAAAATTACTCATTTTCTTAAAGACTAAACCAGTAGACAACAATGCCTTATACGCAGTGTTGTCAATTCGCTATTTATTTGTCAAGACATAACAGTGATTAGACAACTGTCTGAACCACAAAGCATGTATCTTCTAGAGACCCCACGCCAATGTTAAACTTTTAAACCAAATTAGCGCCACCTTGTGTTTGGAGTTGGAACTAAAATGACAATTGACAGATGGCGGTAAATTCAAATTGTAATTTTTAGGAGTAGGTAGTAGTTTTAAAGTAAATTTTAAATGATTTCCACATAAATTATTTTATAAAATAAAGTATGGAACTAGTAAGTTCGAAACTTTTATTTTACAAAATAATTTAGGTGGATTATACCAAATTTGAAGAATTAATTTGTTATAAGGGGTCTAATGTGGAGAGTTGGTTCTGCATATTTTTATTAAATAAATATAAGATATATCAATAAATAATAAAATAGAACATTCTTAAAATATGTTTATTAATAACTTAAATAAATATTATTAGATAAAAATAAATACAAATAATAATACATATTTAACGAATACTTACTTTGAGCAAATAGATATATAATCTCAAATCTTTAAAATAGGTACCTATCAATAATTTAAATGTGAAGTAGAGACTAGGATATTACATTTTATTAACACTAAAGTTATATATTTTATAAATGTCTTTTTAACTGAGGACAAATGTAATATAGGTATTGTATTAAAAGGTGAATCCTTTTAACTATTCATTCAATGATAAATAGGTATTTTCCTTCCAAATACAGATGGTGGTATTACTCTCTTATGTGAAAAATGATTTCGGAATCTAGTCCAGTGATAAATTGATTATCAATTAGTTGTTGTCCCCGTTTGTCTTTTTATGATGCAGATGCATGGTGAATCAATGGAGTTTTTCTCGAAGTTTTCAACGTAGCACCAAAATTATTGCAAAACACAGTAGGAAATAAAAAAGCGAAACATCACAATTTTGCAAATAACTAAGACGAAACTATAAACAGAAACCAAAAGCCAAAGCCAACAAAAAATCACTAAAATCAGACGGAAAAATGAAACTAACCAAGAACATAAATAAATACACGTCACATCTTTGGAGTCTTTGGTTAAGTTTTTCTCCCATAAGGCTTAAAAATGGAGTAAGAAATTATAATTTCACCAGTAGCCCCATCTAGAGTTTGGAGCAAATAGCATAAAAAATGTCAGTTGTCGGTTTTGACCTTGGTCATTCACGTGGAACCTCTATGTGCTTTGTGGTCTGAACTGTAGGGTCCATGTGGGTCCGGGTCCTTAGTGTGAATACTACCCAGAACAAGATTTTTCAATTTCAAAATATGTGTATTGATTTATACTTATGTATATTTTTCATAGAAAAACTAAGATATTTTTTACCTATCAATATTTTCAATTGTTATTTTGCTCTAAGTTTAATGAAATTTGAAAAAACACTTTTCTGCATATGTAACGTGTGGACGGTGGGTTGTCCATGGCACTTAGGCCTCATTAGGCCCATTGTGCATCTTCCTAAATGTATAAATCCCTCTTAGCTCCTTAGCCAACCTATAGATTTGATGTAGTTGACAACGTTACAACGCGGTCGGGCCGAATAAACTGGCAACTCTGATATTGGTTTCCTGCTCGCTATAATGCTAAAGCTCTGTAGTTTTCACACGAGGCTTGTTCTGGTTTCTTCAAAATGTATTACAAACTGTGCGAGATCCAGTGGAACAGTTGAATATCAAAATATGCCCCTCTTAAAACTTTTTTACTTTCCACTATTTATCTAATACTAATACAGTATTCAACATATTTCATATTTCTGAAAAACCAGAACAGACCTATGTACTTGTGCAAAGCGTATTGGAAAACGGTCAGTGGCCATTCAGTGGCCGACTGTATAACAAGACGAATCATCAAAAAAGAAGAAAATTATGAAATTGTATTAACCTAAGGAAAGAGGCCATAACCATATAGAGAAAGAAGAAGAAGTTATTAAAATTATTGAAAATGGCATTATTTTTAAAACGATTTTGTTCGCAATTTAAAAATCTTCAACTAAATACATCAAATACGTTACTAAGAAATATTCAAGCAATATCCTTAATTCCTTCAATTCAAAATTACTCAAATACACCCACCCCTTTCGAAGTAGTAGACACAGAAGAGGACAATAAAGCAAAGAATCAAATTTTAAACAAAGTCAACAGTCTTGTAGCCGACAAAACTCATGGAAGACTCTTTGCAGTTGTTCATGTTACAGGAAAACAGTTCAAGATAACTGACGGGGACGTAATTGTAATAGAAGGATATTGGCCACCAGATGTAGGAGATAAAATAACACTAGACAAAGTTTTAATGGCAGGATCAGCAGATTTTACTCTAATAGGACGACCTATTGTAGAAAAAGGTTTAGTTCGTGTTCAGGCGACAGTAATTGAAAAAACTTTGTCTCACACTAAAACACATTTTAGAAAAAAGAGAAGGAAACAGTATATGAGAATTAATTTCTACAGAGTTCCACAAACCTACTTAAGAATTAATGAAATTAGTTTTCAAGACGAAATTAATAATCCCAAAGAAGTTAGAGGCTTGGAAACAGCAATATTCTCTTAGGTATAAATTAAATTGAAATGTTTCTTGATTATAAATAAAAATTTGTACATATCGACTTATTCATTAGAACTACATTTAACCCAGAAAAATATTTAGTTGATTGGATCATATATACTAAGTTAGAATCAGATATTTTATTAGAAAACCATTAAAAATAATTTTGACATCTTAGATGTTTTCGTGTATTTGTGGTTGGGTTCTTTAATTTTGTGCATTGGTAATCGATTAACCAGTTAGTAACTACCCTTCTTTGTATTTGTAAATCGAAATCACTTAAAAACAACTGCCATGATTTAAACTTGAGCATAATTTTTAATTCCTATGAACATTTTTTATTAATATTGCTCTATATTGAAATAATCGAAATTTACCCTTATTATAAATCATTTTTTTAATTTCCTGTATACTACCTATATTAAAAAAATCTTATGTTTTGATTATAGATGTCCAACTGATGCAGAACTTTTTAACAAGGATTTTCTTTTGTGAAATGTTTACAACTTTTTGAGATACCCTGCATAATAATCATCAGAACCTTATGTATCTATAAGGTGGAAGGGGTGGGTTGCTCCTTCAGGGACAATGTTGCCAGTCTAGTACAATAGTACTAGATCTAGTACATTTTCTAAGAATCTGGTACACTCAACGCAAAATCTAGTACCTTTTTCTTTTTCAGCGTGTTATCATTAGATGCATGTAAAATATATTGCTGGGATCTTGCTCCTTGTTTTGTTTTCGTTCGCTAATACCCTTTTTTTCCTTAGGGCCGATTACACCGTTGTCTTAAACGGAGATTAAAATTACATTGTTAATGTAAAAATGTCATTTTAAACTTTGGTTAACACAACGGTGGAATCCACAAAGCATGTATCTTCTAGAGACCCCACGCCAATGTTAAACTTTTAAACCAAATTAGCGCCACCTTGTGTTTGGAGCTGGAACTAAAATGACAATTGACAGATGGCGGTAAATTCAAATTGTAATTTTTAGGAGTAGGTAGTAGTTTTAAATTAAATTTTAAATGATTTCCACATAAATTATTTTATAAAATAAAGTATGGAACTAGTAAGTTCGAAACTTTTATTTTACAAAATAATTTAGGTCGATTATACCAAATTTGAAGAATTAATTTGTTATAAGGGGTCTAATGTGGAGAGTTGGTTCTGCATATTTTTATTAAATAAATATAAGATATATCAATAAATAATAAAATAGAACATTCTTAAAATATATTTATTAATAACTTAAATAAATATTATTAGATAAAAATAAATACAAATAATAATACATATTTAACGAATACTTACTTGGAGCAAATAGATATATAATCTCAAATCTTTAAAATACCTATCAATAATTTAAATGTGAAGTAGAGACTAGGATATTACATTTTATTAACACTAAAGTTATATATTTTATAAATGTCTTTTTAACTGAGGACAAATGTAATATAGGTATTGTATTAAAAGGTGATTCCTTTTAACTATTCATTCAATGATAAATAGGTATTTTCCTTCCAAATACAGATGGTGGTATTACTCTCTTATGTGAAAAATGATTTCGGTATCTAGTCCAGTGATAAATTGATTATCAATTAGTTGTTGTCCCCGTTTGTCTTTTTATGATGCAGATGCATGGTGAATATATGGTGAATCAATGAAGTTTTTCTCGAAGTTTTCAACGTAGCACCAAAATTATTGCAAAACACAGTAGGAAATAAAAAAGCGAAACATCACAATTTTGCAAATAACTAAGACGAAACTATAAACAGAAACCAAAAGCCAAAGCAACAAAAAATCACTAAAATCAGACGGAAAAATGAAACTAACCAAGAACATAAATAAATACACGTCACATCTTTGGAGTCTTTGGTTAAGTTTTTCTCCCATAAGGCTTAAAAATGGAGTAAGAAATCATAATTTCACCAGTAGCCCCATCTAGAGTTTGGAGCAAATAGCATAAAAAATGTCAGTTGTCGGTTTTGACCTTGGTCATTCACGTGGAACCTCTATGTGCTTTGTGGTGGAATCGGTCCTTAATGAACCAAACCACATCACAATTCATTCGAAACTCCGGTACATTTTACTGAATCTAGTACATTTTTATGAAATCTGGTACATTTTTTAGACAAATCTGGTACATAACAAAAATATATTCTGGCAACACTGTTCAGGGACATATAGGACCTGCCTCAACTCCTCAAACACCTAATCTGTATCTAGGGACAGTCAGCCTCTCAGTCCGTCAAAGTCCTGCATGTTAAAGATGCCTCTATTTTTACTTTCCTATCTGTATACAGATAAGGAAAGTATAGGAATCATGATTTTTTCGACCTCCAGTTTTCGGCGGATTTTTACGTTTTGGGATCCCCTGAATCCGTTTCGACTATTTTCGCGATGATGTCTGTGTGTGTGTAATTTGACAAAATAAAATATTTTTTTATAAAAATTGTTTGTAATATAATTTTCTATAATTTTTTCCTTTATAAAATTTCTCTAAAATGGACCGTATTCGAGATATTTAAGAAAATGTGTAAATTACGAATTTTGAAGAAAACTCAAAAACGGATAAAGGAAAAAACATTAAATTTAAAGCTTAAGTTTTATTTCGGCCCGAGGTAAATGATTAGAGTTTGGACAAAGTCGGAACATCTGGGGAGTACTTTATATGAGGTCGTTTTTATATTTTATGGAATATATCTGTTATGTTTGGAGAAGAAAATTGTTCAAATAAAAGTTACTTTTAATATTTTTGTTTTAAGCAAAATTTTCCAGAAATGGTCCGTATTCGAGAAATTTTACAAAATTGGAGGAAAAGTGCTAAATTTAAACTTTTCAGTATTTTCGTTTTCAATGAATATAGAAAAATGTTTCGAGTTAGATGTATGTGGAAAATGTATATATTAAGTTTATCCTCTAAACATTTACAGAGGTGATGAAATAGGTTGTGCAAAATAACCGGAAAAAGCTTGCAATAACTAGATAGGAAAGTCATGTGATGGGCACATCAGATTTTTAGAATTGAGTTTCTACCACCCTGATGGTAAATGCTCAGGTGGAGCTATTCTGTCCGCCCCTCAGGGCGAATAATCGGGGCTTTCAGAGATATTAGATTTATGTGTTTTTCCTGTAGGAGGCAAACTCTAGGAAAAAGACTAACAGCTTTTTCACAGACAACAGCATTTATAGTACTGTTTTTATTGTAGGAGAAAGACTAAGAGCTTGTTTACAAGACACTGGCATTTATGGTATAGTATTTAGTGCAGTAGATTTTTTGACATCATGAAAAGATGTGAGGATTTTTCAGGATTTTAGAAATATAGAGTAACCAATCCGTAAATGTGTATACTGTAAATTGATATTTTTAACTGCAGTGTTAAAAACAAAAACACTTTGTTTAAAATAATTTAGAATTTATTTACTGTGATTTTAGTTTAATAATAATAATACTCTCCCTAATTCACCCCCTTACGAGTGAATTTCAACCCCTGAAGTCGACTGAACGACTTGTGTAGGGGAAGGGACGGCTATTATTATTATTATTTACCGTGGCGCTCCGGGGCGACTTAAAGATGATTGATGGTGCCATTTGACTTACAGGTGAGGAAAACCTCACCCACCATCATCGAGACGGTAGTGTATGGCGAATTTTTTTAATCTGCATGTCATATCAACAGAAATTGAATTTCTATTAATACGCCACACATCAAATCCTAAACCGAACCATGCAATTTAATTAAAAATCCACATGGTCCGGTCTGGGACTCGAAACCCAGCAGTCTCAGACTCATAAACTTGCCTATAAATGAATATAAGCGCGATAGACCGCTACACCACCGTCCCGATATCTATATGCTTTTTGTTACGCATGGTTTCTTCCAAATGAAATCCTATTTTGGTGCTGGGGAGGAGGGTAAATAAGTTGACCTGTCAAAATTAAAAGTTATGCATCCATGATTTGTATTTTTGTCCGTGTTTAAATGTTTTCATATATTATGCCAAGAACAATAAAAAAATGCCTTTTCTGTCGTCCGGTTTTGCTAGTTACGGAATTCTGACCATGTAACCGGATATTTACAATGAAATGGGGGATATAACTTAAACGCGTTTTTTTAACTCAAGGTGATACTGTGGACATTTTTTTGAAAGGGTTGATATTCTTACAAGTTAGTGAAAAGTGGCCTGATTTTTAAAATAGATGTAAAAAATGTTTAATTGCCCTCAAAATGTAATTCTCAACTAAGAGATAGCATTGCCACAGCTTACCAACGAAACAAAAATCTTAGAAACCTTTTTTTGTATGTAGATAAATAATGATAGAACCAAAAAAGGAAATGATATATTTCATTTTTCTTAAATCTTGAAAATTATCCTGGATATGTGGTATCTTTTCACATTAATTTGTCCACCTCAAAACGCATATTAGTCAAATGTAATTGTGTTCTACTGACAATTAATTTTTAACCAAAACAATTATGTCAATAAATTTGCGAAATATATTTTAAGTTTTTCGTTTTTTATTATTGTTCGTAGGTCATAATAAAGTAGGTTAAAGAGTTTGTAACCAAATTATTTTGCATATGTATAAATGTCAGTGGAACACAAATTACATAATTACTAATATAGTCTATATCTATAAATTTAGCCCAATCTAAATATCATTTTAGATTACCATGCTTTGCATGAGGCACACATAATATACTGCATCTCTTTCTCCCAGCATAATACATTTTTTTTTGTGTAAATGGAACACTTTTCTCATAGGGAAATAGAAAAAATATAATTTTCTAATTTTTTAGAAAATTAACAAGTAAGCTTTGGATTAAATTATTTATATTTTCTTAAAAAGAAGCCACTTGAAGCTGCATATTATTGTGCCAAGATTAAATATAATTCATATAAAAAATACACAGAAATAAAGTAAAAATAAACTTAAATTAATAAAAATTAATATTGATCTAAATTTGGAACTTAACTCAAATAATATTATTTAACATGAAAAATAAGTTAAAAAAAATAAGTTTACTAAAAAGATTTGAACATATTATGCTCTTCTGTAACATACTCTTCACTGGTCATAACAATATTATTTGTAATACTTCTAAGTTATTATAATCCACAAAAGCATATTAAGTAGCACACAAAGTTTAAAAAATGTTCTTCATATATATATTTTTTCAGAAGAGTTAATTTCAAATCTCTGTAATGAATCACATTTGAAAAGTCTAATTTAGAGCTAAAATGTTTTTCGATGTATAGCTCTTTGTCCTTCTTCGTCAAATTCTCTTTTTGATACCCACATCTTTTTAAATGTGTCTAGAGATGCTAAAATTGATCCTCCAATCCATGTTGAGTACAACCTTTCTTGTGGTGCAGATATCTGAAAAATAAATAATTTTTATTAAACTATTTTAATTTTAGAATACATACATTTATTTTGATTTAAAAAGGTCTATCTACCTTAATTTGAGTCTCCTTCGGTGACATTTTCTTAATTTCAGATAACAGCCTATCTCCAAATCCTTTGAATAAAGTTGAACCACCAGACAAAACAATATTTTTGAATAATACCTTCCTGAGATCCAAGTCAGATTTTTGTATAGAAAACAGTAACACCTCATGTATACCTTCACACTCTTCACCAATCATATCAGGCTTGAAGAGGATTTCAGGAGCTCTAAATCTGGCTGGGCCTACTTTAATTATTGTGCCATCTGGTAAAGTGTAATTGATTTGTTCAGTTTCTACAGATTCTTCTTTTATTGGGTTGTTTGAGAGATAGCAGGCTTTTTCTTTGAGAGTTCTGACTGATTCAAACTCTGCTGTTGTACGGAAAATTATGCCTTCTTTTCGCAAAAGCAACCTGCAAAAGAGTAATAGGCAAAGCAAATGATTATATAGGTTCATAAAAATCAAATGACTGAATTAGTAGTTTAAAAATATTACCTTAAATATCTAGATACATCTCTTCCAGCAATATCAGACCTCATGATACTGTGTGGCAAAGCAAAACCTTCATAAATAGGCACAGAGTGAGTAACACCATCTCCTGAATCAAGAACTACTCCCGTAGTTCGACCAGTAGAATATCTAAAAATACATTTGTCAAAAAACAAGAATTATAAAAATAACTGTATACTAACAAACTAAGTACAGCTTGCATTGAAATAAATAAAGCTGGTACATTGAAAGTTTCAAACATAATTTCAGCAGCTTTTTCTCTGTTTGGTCTAGGATTTAGTGGAGCTTCTGTGAGTAAAACAGGGTGTTCTTCAGAGAAAGTGGAAAGTTGGTCTTTACTATAAATGTAACCCCAAATTTTTTCCATATCATTCCAATCCGTCACTATACCATGTTCCATTGGATATTTGATGGATAGTAAGCCTCTGTGTTCTTCGGCTTTGGGACCAATAAACAAGTCTCCTTCCAAAGCACCTGCCATAACCCGAGTGTGTTTTGGCCTCCCCACACTGAAAATTTACATATTACATTTACGGCAAAATAGATATTTTTCAAAGTAACTTACTAGTTAGGGAATCTACATTTGGGGATTTGACCACCAGCAAATCCTGCTTTTATTACTCCGGTTCCCTGAAATAATAGTTTTATGAGATCAACAAAAGGATATGTGTATTACTTACATTATCTATCACAACTGGTTGGTTTACGATTACATCATAAGCCTCCATTTTTTAATAATCACTAATATATTTTCTTGTATTTCAATAGCTATACTTTAATAAAGTGAGTTTATTATCTTTCTACACATCCCAAATTTAATTTCCATCAATGAATGCCGATGAATGATGTCACTTTTCACTTTATTTTAAATGTCAAATGCCAAACTGTCATAATAACCTAAAATGACATTTTTAATTCTTCTTTTTATGTGATCATTCCCGTACTATATTCTAATGCATTTGCCAGCCACCATATTAATAAATAATAATTTGTTCTGTGTTTCTGTCATGCTTAAGAGCCCATTCCACCTTTGTGTTAAACGAAGTTTAAAATGACATTTTTACATATGACATTAATAATGTAAAAATGTCATTTTAAACTTCGTTTAACACAACGGTGGAATCGGTCCTAAGCAAAAGTAATTATGTACTAATGCGCATAATCGAGGTATACAATTCATCATAATCATATTCGATAATAAATATCTGAGCAAAAATATTAAATAATGTAATCGACGTACCAAGCAAAATAAAGATAAGATGAATATTTGGACGTGAAAGCCATAAAGAAAGTATTGGTTAAACACACTTTTTTGATGATAAGGATGGGATATTGCGATCCGCAGTCGGATACGTATTATTATTTCTGTCTATTCCATAATAGAGTCGTTGCAAAGTTAACGTACTATACCTTTGACAACAAACGCCGGTATTTTCCTTAGGCCCAATTCCACCGTTGTGTTAAACTAAGTTTAAAATGACATTTTTACATTAAGGACCGATTCCACCGTTGTGTTAAACGAAGTTTAAAATGACATTTTTAGCACTGATTTTTACATTAACAATGTCATTTTAATCTCCGTTTAACACAACGGTGGAATCGACCCTGAGAAAAATTTCAATATATTTTTAAAAAACCAGCATAAAATTTAACGTTTTTGTCGATTTTGGCCTCTTTTTGCATACACCCATCGCCAAACATGTAAATTTTTGTTATGAGTGTTATGACATAAAAAACTGTCATAGTTTTAGGCAAATACGATGACAACACAAAAAGGAAGAAGTAATGATTTCAAAAAGGGGTGTTTATATTTTTGATACAAGCTAAAGTTAAAAATATAAACATGGATTTATCCCCCCCTATTAAGCCTCCTAGGGGGGTAAAACCAGTTAAAGAAACAGTAAGTATAAAAGTTTCTTATTTTTTAATTTTAGGTTATAAAAATATAATACTCAAATTTTTTAGAGTGGTCTTCTGATGTCAGTGATTCGTACTTTATCTGCAAGTGAAACTAATGAACAGAGGGATAGGGAAAAAGCAAAATTGGAAACAGATTATAAATTATGTGATCAGAAACTCGACGAACTTGTTTCAAAGCATGAAAATGACCTAACAAAGGTGTGTTATTTTATATTAACTTCATTCCTAAATAGTTTAATATTGCTTAATATTTAGGTAATGCAATTATTTGGATCTATTTCTCAAATTGTAACTACTAACAGAGAAAAAATACGAAGTGTAAAGGAAAACTTGCAAGACTGCAAGAGAAAATTAGGATGCAAGAGAGATGAACTTAAAAATTTATGGCTCGAAGGGTTAGAGTATAAACATATGTTGCAGCTAATTGAAGAAGTGTAAGTTCATATTTAGCGTGATTTTGTAGTTTGAGTCCTTCTCGAGTCAACCACTGATTATAGAATGTGCCATTGATTTTTTGATTTAAGGATAAAGTCCACTTTTACATACAAATATGTAATAGTAGCACATCTATAAAGTAAGAAGTACTTAAAAATCCAACATACATTGCCCTACAATAGAATAAAAAGTATATCAATGTAAAAATTGTTTAGTCTCTGTAATAGGGCTAGAGACTGGGAACCTTGTACACATATTACCCACATTTCATTATGCAAAATGCTTCTAGGTTTAGGATATGTGACTTTGGACAAATGTACATGTAATAAAGTTTTTATATTTCTAAAATTTATTTCCACTGGCTGGTTTTGAAATAAAAGCACTGTATATTACAAAACTTAAGAATTTATTCACAAATGTAAAACTATTTTTATCGTAAAGAAGATAATGAATTCTTTCCGTGAATTTCTTCATAAACATACTCTTTAAATGTATTGAACCATTATAACTTGTAGTTTGTTATAAATGTTTAACTGTAATACAATTTTGAAAGTATTAATACAAATCCTATGCTATTTCTTTTGAAAACCATCTTGTATATCTATTATTTTAAAACAACTTTGTTAAAATGCAATAACTTGATTTTTCGGTTAATGGTGGTATTTGTTAGAGAATTTTCACTTGGTTTATGGCTTTTGTAACCTTATTTTTTATTATCATGAAGTAAAAATGCCTTTTAAAAAGTGTGTTTTTACAATAAGCCCTTCAATTGTTTAATACATGATCAACTTCTAAAAACGTATTTGAAGAAAAGATAATTGCTGGTTATCTCATCACTAGAGCCCATTCCTCAGCCAGCTTCTCTGCTGTAACAAGGTTCTGGGCTCAAGAATAAAGTTTATCTCATACTCCTAGTAACATACCTACTAGTATTCATCCAAACACAATTAAACTGGTTTTTTGTTTTACCTACTCAACAACACTACTGTCCCATTAATTTCTTAACTTATTATTTTTTGTTTCTGCAAAATGTCTATATTATCGGAAAACGTTTTTAGTTTATTTTACAACTGTTCTGTGAAAAAACCGAGAATGGATCAAACTAAATAAAAAAAAAACTTAATTACATTAAACAAATCTGTATCTGAAAAATTTTAGTGAAAAAATGAATGAGGTTCCTAATCACCTCTCTACATATATGGCTCGAAAACAGTACTTACATGCTACAAATTTATTAGTAGAGGCAGTAAATCTGGGCAAAGGAACTTTGGAAGGAGTAGAAAGCCTTAAGGAACTTGGTCAAGAGTTAGAACAAAAGAAAGAGGTAAATAATAATTATTATTCATAAGTTATGTTTTTTAAATACAAAATTTTTAGCAATTACATTTTCAACTTTTATCGGAATTAAAACAACACTTGTATGTAAAACCATCACAACATGTATTAGCGTTAAGAAGGCAAGGATCTGCCCAAGATTATTTATTTGGAAATTCTCCTCTTCAGAGAAGTATAGAACTTAGAAGATCAGGTAGAAACAAATCTTCAGTTTCTAAAAATTTGTTTAATGTTTCAAGGTAATACAAAATTATTAAATATAAAATTTTTTATACATGTGCAATATTTTTAGCAGTGATAAAAAATCTATGTTTGGTGAAGATTTTTATGTTGAAGAAAAATTAGATATTGCAAATCCTGAAGAAAATCATAGTAATTTTGTTGCCATACTAGTAAAAAGCTTGTGTTTATTAGAAAAATTGCCATATGCTGTTAAGGTAGGATAACACACTTTGTCTTACCCTCCAAACAATTATTTAGCCTTTTTGATTGACTTTCATTTTTTTAATATTAAATTATTTCCTTATAGGAGATAGTTCAAGAGATGCAACTATCTTTAACACAAATCATAGAAAGAACAACAAATAATATAAAAAATTTAGTAGATTTAAATGACCAAAAGGCAATATTAAAAGAATTGGTTCAAATTCTCTTTGAGCAATATAAGGAAGTTGCAGACTGTCATTATGTTTTTATGATGTGTGTAGAACAAGCGAAAAAAGCACATAATGTTGAAGTTAATTCTTATGATACTCAATATTTTTGGTCACAAGTTCAAACAGTGGTAAGTTTGATGAATATTTTAAATTATTTTGAAAATTTATATAATATTCCATATATAGAGACTATTATTATTGGATCATAGCAAATTTAAATAATTGTTTTAGAGGGCCCATCATTTGTCACCTATAAGTAGGATATTTGTTTTGGGCAAGATTTTGTTTTTATTTATATTATCAGTGTTTTTGAGTTTCATTTAGTGTTAATTTAAGTTTAGTTTCCGTGCTCTCGTCATAAATATAATTATCATGTGTTTATGACTAATTTGTTGGAAATCTTCACCTTCCTGGATGCTACACAAATATTAAAGTCGCTTCTACGTTTAACAATCAACGATATTTTACATTTGACAGATGTTTTATGATTTGTAATGTTCGTTTTGCGTTTAGTTTTGTCAAATACGATAAATGGGAACTAAAAAGTTAGGGTTATTTGTGCAAGTTGAAGTTAAATTTGTCGTTACATATTTTACCCTGAAATAATTTCAATTCCTGACTCAAATGTTTGCATTAATAAAGGATCCTGGGTTTATTTAAAGTACAAACTTTATCATTATATCTCAAATTATTTCAAATTTTAACGCCGTTCCTTGTTCGTTCACCATCATCGCAGTTGTTTACAGGAACAATAGGAACATATGATTTCTAATCAAACGAAACTGTTTGATGACGGTGAACACGGCCGTTGTTTTACTTATTTTTAAATTGTTCACTTTTTGTGATTTGTAATTTTAAAATTTTTTAATTTGATTGTCTTTGGGAGAAATAACTAGATATTGCAAAATAATATCTACATATCTGGACTAAATTTCATTGTATCTCTTAGCGTTGAAGTTTTTAATAATTTTTTTTTTGTTATTTTAGTTGCAGTCATTTTTATCAGAGTATTTAGACATTCAGTACATGTCAAGTGATTTGCAACTTAGTGATATTAATAATGTAAATGACATTTCTTCTTACTTTTCAAGACGAAAGCAAGTGACGTAAGTATCTATATATAAATAGACAAAGACAAAATAGTTCAGTACCGTTCTCTCTTCTGTTTTTGAACCGATTTTCTATTGTTAATTTTTGTTTAAGTAGCTATTGACAAGCTTTAGTGTTAACAACAACAACAACAACAAAAAATGGAAATAGTATTTTTTCCCAACCTTTGATATATAAAATCCATTGATCCACAGTTATGTATTGATTGACTAATAAAATTAGCCTATAATGAACATAAGCATCTTTTAATTTCGTACCAACATGGACAATATTACATGGACGTGTAGAGGATCGTGAAAAACGACGAAAAAAATACTTCTTCCACTCCTCTAACTTTCCCCTCTACTCCTCCAACTTCCCCCTCTACTCCTACAACTTCCTCATCTACTCCTCCAACTTCCCCATCTACTCCTCCAACTTCCCCCTCCTCTTCCTCTACTACGCCTAATTTGTAAGGAATCGAAAAAAAAACACTAGCAGAGCCGTATGCCTCACCTGAAACGATTTTAAACCGCCCAAATTCCGCTTCCTATACTTCTCCCCCCACCCCAGGGGTGGTCGATATATAGAATCGCTTAAGGCGAAAAAAGTTTACCCCATCTCATCCCCTACCATTCCGACCATTCCATATGAAAAAAAAAGTTCAAATTTTTTTTTTTTTTGAAAAATTAGTCCCGAAAGTCGTACACCTTTGGGTTCTATATATTTTCGATCGCCCCCTATTCGCTTTCCCCACGGTTGTATACGAGGACCAAAACATAAGACTTAATCCGATTTTCCCCCCCTTCCACAAAAAGGTTTACAATTGATTTTATAACGGATATTAATAATTGGAATGATATTTTTTTTTTTGGTGTCATCGGCATCAACTGCTATGGTTATTAGCCTCGTGTTTTGTGTAGGCTTTGTTACTGTTTCCCAGCGCCACTTTAGGAACAGCACTGTTAATTAGTATCCAACAGTGAATGGTCGAGTGGGGAATCCTACCAAGGCATCAGAATTAATTTTAAATAATTAAATTAAATGAAAAAATCCCGGCCAACGGTGGGATTCGAACCTGGGACCCTTGGATCCGCAGGCAGAGACTCTACCACTGAGCCACCCACCCCGTCTGGAACGGTATTATATATTATATTGTCTGGGAGGAACCATTATGATCACCCAAAGGATAAGTCACTTCTCCCCCACCCCCTCCTTAAGTGTAGGAGGGGCCAATCATTTTTTTTTTTCATAAATCGGGTATTTTAAGATAATTAAAAAATAAGAAAAAATCGAAGAGTACGCCGACCTCCTTCCCCCACCCTTTTTTTATATCTTTTCTGGGCTATTAATGATTATTTTCGATGTTTCATGACGGGTTGCAAGCTGAGCGATGGGGGTTACCCACACCCAATCCCCCTTTTTAGAGTCTTAAAGAGTAACCTCAAAATAAAAATTTGAAATTGTTATTGTGGAAGAGATGTATGGAATCAAAGGCAGAGTCGAATCAGACCCATTTTGGATCTCATTCTCCCCTCAAAAAGTCGCCAAGAGTGGACTGAAAATGAAATTAAAGAAATATTATGCATGTCATTCATGGGATCAAAGGCCCAAACTTTTGATACCACATACTTCCTCCCACCCCACTCCTTTTTCAAAAGTAATCAAGAAAATAATTGCATGCCAATAATTCATGGAAACGAAGGGCAAACATTTTGGTACTAAAACATTTTTCACTTTCTCCCTCCCTGGGCTCGTGTCAAAATTTTTAAATTGTAAGTTACTGTTATTTTATTGAATTAATTTTATATTAAATTATAATGGTACTGAACTATTTTGTATTGTAGGTATATATAAAAGTTTATGGTCTCAGATTTACTTTGAACCCTTTGAACGAATGTATAAGAAAAAAAAAATTAGAAATATTGCATATTTGCATGTTCTCCTCAAAATTTCAATAATTTTTATGGCGAATTTCGACCACTGGGCGAAAACTAGTCATGTTTAATACACAAATATTTAGTTTGAATTAAATTTTCTTTTTAATAAGATTTAAAAAAAATTAGATAGAGTTCTTTAAAATAATTAATAAATTGATATGTAACTAATTATAAATATGAAGCTGATTAAAATTCCAAAAGTTTGTTAAATATATTCATATTTTATTTCAACTTTTAAACTATTTGTAAATAGTGTGTTTTAACATAATAATTAAAAGGAACCAAAAGAAGATAAAGGCAGCTTAGATAAACACAGAAAAACTTGTATTTCTCACAAAATTTAAAAATTTAAAATTTGTTGACATGATAATTTTTATTTCCAATTACTTAAATCTAATTAAAAAATATTATTTTCTCTTTTAGGAAGAAAAATGTGTTTTTTAAATTTGAAGGTTCATCCAGTGCGTTAAGTTTAAGTAGTACCTTAAAATCTGTACAAAAGAATAAAGTATTAATTTGTCCCCCTCATCCAAATAATATATTAATAATTTTTATTCCATTTATGTGTTTCTTAGAAGATTTAGATCAGTCAGTAGGCATAAAAAAACAAGGGTAAGCTAAATTATTTTTTTTAAGTCTGTAGTATTTAAAATCACCTTATAAATTATTAAAATTATAAAAAAAAGAATTAGCATTTGAATAAATATATACATATATAAATAAATAATTTTTAGAAATTCGAATTTATATCAGTTTTTAACTGATTATATTTCAAATGTTTACCTAAAACGAAAATCTACTGAAATATTGGATCAAATTGAGTCGGCAATAAGAATTTCGGATGCCTGGAAAGCAACTGTTTTATTAGACCTAACTTCAGATTATAAGCCCTTATTAGTGGTAAGTCCAGTTATTTATAATTAAAATTCTATATTAAACAAAAACACACCACCATCATATGCTTTATAAACAATAAGTTTGTAAGATGTACAATGTACAAGACATGATCAGTTGTCACTACAATTTATAGTAAGAAATTAGAAATTGGACAAGACGCTGTATAAGGGACAAATAAAACTGAATTTTGACTATTGTTCACACATTTGAAGGGCCGTAACATCAAATTTTGTACCGAGATATCAGTATGAGATCATCAAGAACGAAAGAATACCTATTTTTGCCCTCTTAACAGTGCAACTAAATTTGATAGAACCAATAGTTAAAAATTGGGACTGGTTTCAGAATACCTAAGGACTTAAAAAGAACCCCTTACTTTTATTATGCATACAGCATTGTCAAATTGTCTGATTTTTTCTGTTATTGAAAGACAGTGACATATACCACTGTTTTATACCACTTCTTTTGGCATGTTGATTTAATTTACGTGGCGCTGTAACACACCTTGTATTTACTGAGATGATTCCTGCACCGAAACTTCTCAAAATGTTAATGCAATACTGGCTTTTGTAGATTTAAAGTAACACTGTATTTAACGTAGAACAAAACCTGTTTAAACATGTACAGTGAGTTACATCTTTTATGTCCGAATTATTAAGGTCTTGGTAAAGTGACTGTTAAGCTTATCCTCCTGTTAAAACAAAAATTGCAATTTTGAATCTTCTGTTATGATTAACTTTAGCTCTAGCTGTCGTTTGTTGATTTTTTGTTTATTTAAATTTATAATTATATGGGTAATTTTGATGGCCTGGAGAGAAATGTCCTGAGCAGAAGACCTTTTTCACCTTATTTTAGGTTTATTGGCCAGTTTTTTCAGTCTTCTACTGTTTCTTTCCTCCAATAGTAGTTGGTGTTAGTCTTTCTAGTATGTTTAATTAAAAACAAATATTTCTCATATGTTTTGTAACGAACCGGCAACAGTGCTTTCTTCAGTAACTTCCAGAAATATTATATGTCAAAACATAATTTAGATAATTTGATGGCGTAAGAAAAGTAAGTTAGCGGTTCTTTTCTCGGCAAAATTTTGAAATATAGTATAATCATTAAGTGCATTTATCAAAATTTTGTATTTTCATTTGCAATTTTAGAGTACTGTAACTGTAGAAAGATGTGTTAGAGAATGGAAAGCTGTGCTTAAGGCACTGCCACTATACAGTGAAAAAATTGCAGAATACTCTTGTAGAGCCTTAAAAGAATACAAGGATACCTGTGATACTGCATATAGAAGAATAGTTCAACCACAGTCTGATGACAGCAGACGAATTTGTAGTGCTGCATGGCTTAAAGATGATGATATCAGTAGATTTTTAAAGTAAGGAGTGTTGAACGATTTACTTTAACATTTTCGAAATAATCATGTATTAGTAAAACTTTTGATTTAACTGTTTAGATCGTTACCTAATTGGCTGAATCTGAAAGCCCAACAAGAATACCACGCTCGGGGTGAAAGAAATAAGAAAATACTTAAACGTGATCAGCCTTCAGAAGAAGAGAGTCCTGAAGATGTAAGAATGAGAAACCGAAGAGAAGCTGAGATGTTGGCTAGTAATCTTGGCGAAGGAGGTGTCTCCGCTGGAGAATTTATTTCCGATATGAATTTATTGAAAGAACTTGCACAACTTCAGGAAAGTATGGTAAGTTGATTCAAAAAAATATTTTTTGGGTATGTTTACTTTTACATATACAGGATTGCTGTAAAAACTGGAACCAAACATCTGTGGCGAAAAAAAAAATATTGCCCGGGCTTCTGTGCGTGCGGATCTATGTATTTGCGCCGTCACGATAACTCTAGAACGAAAGCTCTAATCGACTTGCGGTTTTGATTTTATTTAATAATCTCTTCCAGCTGAGAATTTCCGATTTTCATTAGTACTTTTATCAGTGTTTTTAAAGCAATGCATTTCTTATGGAGCTTATTTTATGCAGTGCGATACAGGAACTGATTTCATTAGATAGTCATTCTTGTCAGCTGTGAAACAACACATTTTTCTCCACATTGCTGTCATTCTTAAACAATTATTAAATTATCGAGGATTTTTAAACTCGTATCTGAATTTGATAAAAGGTAAAGGGCCAAAATATTATCTTTACATGGCCAGGCTTAAGGGGTAAAGGGTCTAAATATTTTTACATCTGCAGGTTTAAGGGACAAAGGGCCCAAATATTTTTACATGGGTAGGCTTGAGAGGAAAAAAGTCCAAATATTTTTTTTATGTGCAGATTTAAGGAATATAGAGCCCAATTATTTTTATATTTGCATGGTTAAGTGGCAAAGGTGCCAAATATTTTTACATGGGCAGGGGTAAAGGAGCCAAATATGTTTGCATGGGCAGCTGAAGGTGTAATGGGACCCAATATTTTTACATTAGAAGATTTAAGGAGTAAGAAACATGTATATTTTTACATGAGCTGACTTAAGGACTTGGGCTAGAAGGACCAAATATTTTAACAAATCGTTTGAATTTTAAACTGTAATCAAACATGGAATGGTTCTTAAAAACAAGGGCTATCAATATGAAGAACTCATAGGTGATTTAGCCTAGGTAACAGCTCATGAACCTGAAAATTCCTCGTTTCAATATCTTGCAGTTTTTAACGACTTTATGCAGAGTATCCGCGTGAAAACTTTACACGGCTTTATTTCTGGTAAAATTTAAGTTGGTATAATGAATTTTTGGGATATGAGACATACTTTTCATTCCACTATCCCTCCCCCTACTTCGCCTTAAGCTATCTTTACATCGAAATTTTTAATATATCATAAAGGATTATAAAAGAGCAAACTTTTTGAGGACATCAATAATAAAAAAAATTATATAGGTTACTTTTTGAGATATTTCAAAAGAATGTTGTATTCACTATTGATTAATTATTTTTAATTACGATCACGTATGCATTGTTTTTTACACCAAAAATTCAAGATTCCAACTTTGTTACCAGAAATAAAGCCATCTGTTTTCATATGGACACTTGGGATAACTAAATTTGATTTATTTCTTTTATAAATTTAGTGTATTTTATATCATACCGCAAATAATCGTAGTAGTTGATGCAGTTAATTGTAAAGATTTTTAAATTTCAAAGTAGTTTATTTATTAAAAACAGTTTATTTATAACGTAGTAATTAATTTAAAACTCAGGCACTATTTTAACTCACAATTCTAATTTATTTATTACAATTTGTCTTTACTATCCAACACTTTTATTGAAACTCAACGTCTACCGCCAAACTCGCGCTATTTATATAAAGCCAGCTCTGCACTAGTACATTTTCGACCGTCTAGAAACTCTGGAATTTCTTTCTCTGTGACTCTGTGAAACCAAATGTCATGCAACAGCGAGTGGACCAGAGTCGGCTTAAGGTGGTTTTACGACAAAATTAATAAATTTATACTTTGTGGAACCTTATACCGATCTATTAATTAATTTGTCGGTCTGTGAGCTTGTTGTAATAATTTATCGATATTGATAGTATTCTCTAAATTTTCAGGAATGGTTTTCAGTACGAATGTTTCAATATACTAGTGAATTCAGGCAAGAACCTTTAGGCTTATCTCCACCTCAGCAGGTAAAAGACAATAACCACATCGACCATCCTTCACCCGTTTCAGCTTCCACACTTCAACATTTGACGAGTATAACTCAAGAATTTGATGAATTAGCCAATACGTGCCTTTTGCTTCTTCATTTAGAGGTTCGCGTACAATGTTTCTATCATTTATTAGCACACACCCATTACAATAAGGACACTCATGAGCCCGATCCTAAAGTATTGGAACTCAGCCGGGTTTTGGCTAACGTTGACGAAGCTATGGCTAACAGCCTGCATCCAAGGAAGTGCAAGGTAAATCATTTTAAATACGATAGTACATATTAGGAAAATGGAAAACAAGTGGCAAATTATAGTATATTGAATTATTCAATTACAAAGATATTAAATTAAATTATTATTTAGACTTTCCTAGAAAATGCTAAAATATTGTTTTAAAAAGTACTAATGATTGAAAGAGTAATTAAATTTTGAAAATGTTAAATTAGGCATACTTCACTAAAGCTGGTTACCTAAATACCCTACTTATACTATGTTACCAAAATAATAGAGATGCGCATTTTTCGTAATAGTTTTGTAAAAAACATAATAGATCATTCATCAAAAAGTAACAGATTTTTTTTATTTTTAATATTCCCCAAATAATATTAGTCCATGGGCTTGTCGAATACCACACATATATATCATATATAAACGGGACTGTTTGGATTAAAAATTCCTGAGCGGCTATTGATCTGGAAAAAATTGATGGGCAGTTAGCCTTTACCTCTGGGGAGGGGAGAAAACCGATCAGAATTGGCTCGCGTCTCTTTAGTATGATCATTGTATTTAGATAGCCTGGTAGAACAATATCAATGTAAATTATCTTGGAGGACAATGGACAGTATCAAAAGATGGCAGCAAGCTCCATCGTGTCCAAGTCATGTCTTTGATAATATTGTCGACTTCTACCGAACCATCGAATGGTTGTCGAAACCTAATAACGAACGTAATTTCTCTATTTACTAATAGATGGACCCATAGTCGATTAAGAATGAACAGAATATTTGTTTTAAAAATGAGATCGAGTTTTATTATTTTTGATATATATATTTATTTACGATTTATCATCATTTTAGAGATTATAACAATATTAATTTAAATATGGCAATCTACCCAAACGAATTTAAAAATAAAGAAAACTTTTTGTATGTAGAGGGAGCACAAGCGCACAAGCCATTTTGATGAAGTTCTGTACAGTTCTAACAGATGTCGTGACAGAATTACCTCCAATAAAACGTTCATAAGGTTGTTCTACTAGGATATCTAAATACAATGTTATTAGTGACCCTGTTTCAATTTACAGGAATTGAAACTGCCTTAAATATAAAAACATTCTCAAAACCCTTAAAAATTATATTTAAATTTTTGTGATGCAGCAGCCAGCTATGATTTATTTTATTATTAGTGATAGATATTTTCATGAAAAATAATTTTTGAACGTGTACGCAAAAGTTGTGAAAAATAATCGACCTTGTAAAAAAAAGATATAAGGTAGTCAGGGCCGTCTTACGCAAGCCAGTCAGGGCAATCTCAGGGCCGTCTTACGCAAACCAGTCAGGGCAATTTTTCTATTTTATTAGATTCAGATATTTATTTATTATATAACAACTTTTTATTAATCTCATTATTTTTTTATTTTCCTATATTGTCATCTAGTTCATGCCCTAAGGATTTCAAAATTGTTATTTTAAATATATATTAAAATATTTTATTTGTAGAGCTATGTATGAAAATTTTATGTGGTATACAAAATAAAAATCAAAAAATATGAAACAACCTTTTTAAACAAATCTTTAAGTGGATATTCAATTTATTTTTTTATAGCTTATATCTCGAACGCTAATCACAAAATCATTAAAACATATAAAAGTGAGTAGTTGTCATTTGTTGTTTCTTCTTTTTTAAACTATTTTTTGCCCTTGTTTATAAGAAATTACGCCTAATTATTTAATTAAATTTCGCGCTTGCACACTTTTCAACTATTGAAAAGTTTGTTTGGAAAGGTCCACCTTTCAGACTTGTTCATTGGACATGTCTGTGGACTTCCATCACTAATTATTATTATTTATAGAGGCGAGTATCTACAATGCTAAATTGTAGATACAATACATCAATTCAAAACTTTTACTATCAAACGCTAAAATTATTTCCTATGCTGATGACACTGTAATCCTATTTGAGGCTGATACTTGGCTACAAGCTAAATTATATGCTCAGAGAGAACTTAACATAATAAGTATGCTTTCCAGCTATCAGTAAATGTTGAAAAACCACATTATATAGCTTTTTCTGTTAATAATGCGAATAGACCTGAGTTCCAGAATATCAGCATCACAAATCTGAACAAAGTCAGTCAGATCAAATACTTAGGAGTTATAATTGACAAAAAATATCAGTTGGGAAACTCACATCAGCTACTTAACAACAAAACTCAGAAAGCTTATTTACAATCTGTATACTTAGAGATACTGTCAATCAAACTGTTGCTTATAATCTCGGCTTGTAATATACAAATCACTCGTGGAGTCACTCCTACGGTATGGAATACTAGTGTGGGGTGTCTGTATGAAAACGCTCCAAAAAATCTCAAAGTGATACAGAATTACACATTGAAAATTATCTTTAGACGAAAAAAACGATCCTCGACAAATGCATTGTATTCTCCAGAAATATCTAAGATTCGGTCTTTATATTTTCTAACGATTTTAACATTTGCCTATAAGATTGGTCATTGTCAGCAAGCATTCAATCATGGATATAGTATACGGGGCACAATGAACTAGCTACTTGTTACACCACTTAACAAAAAGATTATTATTCACCATTTTGTAACATACATTCTACCTAATTAAAGCGTATAATTTATTACCTCTTGCCATTCGAAAATCTGTTAACCTCATCAAATTCACTTTAGCTATCAAACCATATATATACAGTAACTACAGGGACTTCTTGAGAATTATAGAAACATAAACATTTCATATTTATTACTTCTAACCACAATAACTAATTTGATTTGAACAACTATTTTTCATTTATATATAGCAAATTCCTAATTTGTATTTCTTCATTCTCCACATTTTATATTGTATGTATTGTAAATGTTCGCTTTCTTATTTTTTTATTTCTAATATCTATTTATCTATGTATTCATTTCACGCTATTATTTTCTCAGAACACAATACAAGTGTGTACTCACTTATAGTATGAGAGAAATAATAAGCTAATTTTCTACTTTTAAGTTTTTCATGTCAAAATTTCTTTTGTTAATTTTTGTATATTGTATTTTATATTCCTACTGAGGAATAAATAAAATAAATATCAGTGATCTAGCCTAGCATTAATTTATTCAAATTATCTTTTTTGTTTCAGTATATTTTTGAAGGATTGGGTCATCTGATTGCAAAAATACTCATAAGTTCTGCGCAATATATGAATGTCATCGATGAGACTGGCATTCAACGAATGTGCAGGAACATTTTTACTTTGCAACAGACGTTAACGAATATTACTATGACAAGAGAAGTAGCCTTGGATCACGCTAGGCATTATTTTGAGTTGTTCTTCTTGACACCTGAGGTTGGTCTAACACACTTTTATACTCACTCTAAATAAATTTATAAATATTTAAATCTGTTTTAATCATGTCAGAGCTTGTAATTCTTCTTTTTAAATAAAAATTTGGTTTTAATAGATGAGTACTGCATAGCGTTAGTGATGCTAACTTATTGAATATATTCCACACTTTATCTGCGCACTGTATGAATAAAATAAATCGTAAATTGTTTTTTTTTATATAGGAAATTCTTAATGGTATCGTAGATAAAGGACCGGAATTCTCCGAACTGGAATACATGAACGCCTTCCAACTTTTGAATAGAAGCAAGTCAGATAAAGAATTGGTATCAGTATCAGTCCATTTGGAGCGATTAACAGAAATTCTTGGAGAAGTTGGTATAACGGTTTGATTAAAATTTTAACTTATACTAGAAATTTGTAATTTATTTGATTTTATTTATAATTACAGATAAAAAATATATAATATGTTAAGTTGTTTAAAGAAAATGTTTCTATTAAAATGGATTATTTATATAGAAGAATTTTGTTTTTTCACAGTTCGTCTCTTTTGTTAAACAATTTCTGGTTTTCTTTAAATGGCAAACTTTCCCAGAATTTTTGGTTTCCTACTTGTTCCTTCTTTTCCATGTAAAGTTTATCCGGACTATCTATGCGGAGATGCATCCATGGATCACTTGTTTTCTTTGATTGCGGGGACCAATCTGAGGTTATGTTTGGTTTTCTAAAAATACAATTTTTAATTACCTATATGGGTCTGACATTTTCATCACGATATCTTGTATTAAAAATTGACTTAAGCAGAAACATTACAATTTGACATTGCCTAATGTATATTGAAAATAAATAAATAAATGGGAAGTGACTTTTAACATTTCGAATATTTAACAAATAAGTTATTTAATAATAATAATAATAATAAATTTATTGTTTACCAAAACAAAAAACTGATTACAGATGTTTTAAAATAACAAACATTGGTAAATAAATGGTACAGTATTAGGTTCAAAAACCGATTCTTCCATACTGCCCATTGAAAAACAAACTAAAATACAGTTCTATAATGCTATTGGAACCCAAAATTAAAAGTCTCATTTAATAATACATTAAAAAAATCTTAACTAAACTGAATATTCATATTCGTTACTGCCAGTTCATTTGTTCTGCTAATAACTGTTTTTTTTTTTAAGTATTTCTGAAACATTCTATTGATACACTATAAAAAGACACATCTAGCAGATTTCCATAACAAGATATTTGATAAGAGAATAATCTTTTAAATAATTATTTTTTATGAGCGGGGGGTATGTATATCGGTTCGGAATCTAACTTTACTGTGCAAATATGATGGAGTTTTATTAAGCTATTGCATAGCTTTTATCGCGAGCTCTGAACGCGGCGACCGAATCAAAAAAAAAAAACGAAACCGTAACGAAAAAAACCTAACACCCCCCACTCCGACCGGCACAGCGATGCGGCGTTACACAATATTAACTTCTCATTTATTCAATAAAAGAAAATCAAAAAATCGAAAAGCTGAAAAATCGAAAAAGAAATTCCGTAACGAAAATAAACCTAACACCCCCCACTCCGACCGGTGCGGCGGTGAAAGCCGTGCATCGTCTAACGTCGTTTCAGTTTGGCAGACTTCGGCACGGTGTTTGTGTGCGTGCGACTAGACGTACGCCTGTAGACTAGCTGCTAACTACTCTTAACTGATTCTATCTCTTTTAGACACAATTTCGGATAAATTGAATTTGAAACTGAATAATGATCCACAAGAATCCACAACAAAATATAGGACTACCATTGACGCGGTATTTTCCAGATATTTAGAGGATAACAAGTCTCAAACTTACGTTTATTATTTCAGTTACCATAAACCTATAGTTTCAATGATAAAAATTCCTGAATAACCTACATGTATTGTAAGAATAAACATATTTTAAACAATATTAACTTCTCATTTATTCAATAAAAGAAAAAAAATTGTTTTCTTATCGGTCACCACGCTCAAAAAGTGTAACTTGAATTAATATCAAAGAAAAAACTTGAATTGATATCAAAGAAAAAAAATACTGCATAAATAAAATAAATAAATAATTATAATTGCATAAGTTGATAAAAAATGCTATGCAATAGCTTTACCGTGGCAGTCCCCGAGTGCCACACGTATTTTTATAAATTATTTTGTAGAAAAAACAATGAATGTAATTTACGACGGTTTGACATATTTAACCATCTTGTTTCAGTTAATTTATGTGAGATCCGTTCTCTTCTCCTGATACCGTAAATCATCCGTAGACAAGAATTTTGACACTTTTGAATACGGCGCATATCACAATGATCTAAGCAAGGGGCATATACTGCGCCACAGAGGTTAAAATGAGATAATTGAAAATAAGCTTTAGAGACCCATAAGCTTTACGGATTCTATTCGTTATATCTTTCTTAAACCTCAATTTTGAATCTACATGTAATCCTAAATTCTTGCAAAAATCAGAAAATATTAAGCTTTCATTGTTTAACCGCAATGTTAGCTGATTGAGAGCTTGTCTTTTTTGGGCCTCATTTGCAAAAAAGAATGGCCGATGATTTTTTCGCGTTTATTATTAAATTATTCTTGGTTGAGATTGTTGTAAGTGTAGAAAGGTCTTGATTAATTTTATCATTAATATCTAAAATGTCATTGTTTTTAAAAGAATAATACAGCTGAGTATCATCTGCATATAGATTATACTTAACAAAATTTAAACAAGTATGTAAATTCGAAGTATAAATGGAATGAAATATGTGTAGGATCAGAAATTTTTAAAATTAAATTAAAAGAATGAGTAATAGAGAGCAATTGCTCGGCAGTTGATGTTTCTGTGCACAAACAGTCAATGTTAAAATCACCAATGCACATAATTTTATCATATCTCGGAAATATATCGAGAAGTAAATTCTCAAATGTATTAAAAGATTATGTGTAGGAGGTCTACACAATGTACAAAATGCATATTTCTGTTTGTCAATTTTTATTTCAAGCCAAATAAGAATTCTAAATTTTCTCTGCTAATTATTTTGAATTAAAGGTTATTTTTAATATAGAAGGCCACTCCGCCTCCGCGTTTAGATAATCGATCAGATATCACTAACTGATAACCATCAATATCTACCAATTCATCGGAAATCCCCGGATGTAAGCACGTTTTACATAGACCGAAAACATCAAACTGATTTGAATTTAAAATATTTTTAATGTGATTTAGTTTCGGCAGTAGCGAACAGATATTTAAATTTCTAAAATAAAATAACATAATTTTTATTTGTAATACAAAAAAAAAGAAATATAATTAGTTGAAAAAGGGGTGGGTGGCTCAGTGGTAGAGCCTCTGCCTGTGGATCCAAGGATCCCAGGTTCGAATCCCACCGTTGGTCGGAATTTTTTCATTAAATTTAATTATTTAAAATTAATTCTGATGCCTTGGTAAGATTCCCCACTCGACCATTCACTGTTGGATTCTAATTAACAGTGCTGTTCCTAAAGTAGCACTGGGAAACAGTAACAAAGCCTACACAGAACACGAGGCGAAATAACCTTAGCAGTTGAAGCCGATGACACAAAAAAAAATAGTTGAAAATTGACTGATACTTATGTATACAAAATAAGATTTATTTGAGAAATTATAAATGATAATACTTTTTATTTACACTAGATAATACATAAAACAACAATCATAGAGATTCAGTGAAAGTGGATATGCAAAAAATATTAATTCATTTTTAAACAGAAAGTATTTTATTTAATAATATGTTTTAAATTTTCTTTAATTTGTGTAACTATTAATTACAATATATTTACATTTTATGCTATTATGTGGAAAGGGTTTGTAAATGCAATTTGACACTGCAGTGAAATTGAGAATTGCCTACAACACTGGTAAGTTCTGCCAGTATTTATAAAGTTACATATCATACCCTAAATGATTGTAAGAACTTACCCTGTTTTCATAAATGATACAAACATATCAACCATTAGTTTACTCATTGCCTTGTCATTTTCAGTCGATAATACGTCCAGCGTTTTAAATACATATGCCGTATCATCCCCATGAGATACACCTAAAATTATATTACATTAGGTATGTAGTTATAAATTATTTTTGACTCACTTTTAGTACAGCTCAACAAGAGTAACTTTGTGGGTGCGCAGTGGCAAAAGCCTCGTAAAACGTTGAGGGCTTATTTTTCTTTTGCTCATTATAGTGGAAACTCCGACAAGTACAATCTGGTTTAGATTAATTTTAATATAAATTTGTTTTAATGGCTAAATGTACCAGTTTTCATGTTGGTGATTAAACTTAAATCTAACAAAAATCTAATGTTTTTTTATGAACAAGTTATTTAAAATATAAAAATTTTAAGAGGAAATTATACCTGTTATTTACGGGGATGAAACATACATGCACCCATCCTACACTCTAAATAATAAAAAATTAAAATCGACTTGTCCGGCATGCTCCTCAAGCCACCCCTCCTGGAGCCGCCCTTGTTCCATAGCTGACACTGTATATGAAAACCGATTGTATTTATACGTGCCTGGTTCATTACACGATGCTTCACCAGCACCTCTTATTGAGCTGTATGTATCGATCTGATTTGAGATCTTTCAATTCACCTATGTTTTTGTTTGATTTGATCCTATTTTCAGTTTTACTGTGAGCTCCTCTATAATCAAAGTAATAACTATAAACAGGCGATTTGATGCTTTTTGCGTGTAGGCGTGTGCCTAGTACAATATCGGCAAGGAATAGTCTGTCACTTAGTGCCTAAAATTTAAAATAAATAGATTAAACAATTTGTAAACTAAATAATAAACATACATTTCTATTTAAGAAAATTCAAGATTGCACTTAGAACTTCCTTATAACTAAAGATATCCAATTGAAATGCCCCAAATTTAAAGCCTGTGCGTTTCCAGACATTTTATCTACGCAGTACGTACACTTCATCTCGTATTTAACGATATAGCGCTTGATAGTTGTGATATATGCTACTTATGCCGCAGTTAGACATTCGGTATTCCCCAGCGCCGGTCTCACTCATCCAAGTACTAACCGTAGCCAACCTTGCTCAACTGCAGATATCAAAGCAACTAAGTGAAAATGATGCTGCGCCGCATTCGCGAGTGTACATTTTTGAAAATGAAGGTAGACATGTTTGAAAATCAAGATAAATATTGCTGACAGGAATAGTGTACTTTTTTATTCGGGTAATACTTTTTTAAATTATAAATAGAGAGAAAGAGATTGTATAATAATTGTGATAGTGTTTTCTGTCTAGTTAGATAACAAAATCACAAAACAGCAAGTTTAAAAAGAAGACTATATTTTATATACCCTGTGACGAAGTCACTAAAATTTCCTTCAATTTAATTATAAAAATGTTTAGTTAACGCCTGTCAGCGTTCTCAAGATTTTTATTTCTTAATAATTCCCGTTTTTGAACATTTGCGAGAGGCTCCGTGGTTCAAAATATTTAATTATTTACTGAAATTCTAATCTAGTTTTTCGCAGATTTCAAAAGGACATTTTTTTTTTCAGTCATCCGATTTGTAAATATTCGTTACTCGCACTCCGAACCACTCGGAAACCGAACTAGTTTGAGCGTAAAATATAAAACCGGGCCCCCCAAAAATTATCTCCATTTGCCGCTGCTCATTTTCCGCTGCTATTTTTCCGCTACTCGTGTGTCAGTGCCGAAGTAATACCGTAATATCGCATGTGTTAACCTGTGGATAACTAAGGTAGGCATCTTTCACCAGTAACCTTTCTATAAAGATTTAATGTTCTCATGATCGACCGCCGTCTGTCAAAATTAGCAAGAAATTATTTGCTATAGTCCGAGAAAAAAATTAGTTTTCACTTGTCCCGAATTTTGGGCCGCGTGTAGAATTTCTGAATTTTCGTAAGAGGTACCAGTCAAGTGTTATCGCAGTCTGGTTTTAAAGACGGAGCTTCTTAAATCCGCCATAATAATTGATTTCCCAACTTTATTCGGAATACTTGTGAGTTCTGAAGTTACGTAAGCGAAGCAAGTCAAGTGTTATCGCAGTCTTACTTCGCCGACTTAATTTCTCAACTTCCAAGGTTCCTCAATAGTCCCTTCGCGACTCCGGAAAAAAGTAAAATATTTAATTCATCACCCACCGTCGATCACGAGGTAACGTTACCACCTATATAATAATATTTTAATAGGGAACCGACAATTAAAATAGATTAATTTTAATTCAGCTGAATTCTTCCGAAAATCTGACTATATTCACCGGGCTAACGCAGCTGTACTTAATGTCGTCTTTTTTTAATTTTAAATTTAACGCAAGGAAAATAAATGAAGGGTATATGCAAAGAAGGCGATATGTCAATTTTTATCGAAATTGAGGTAATCATGCCATCTATGAGATAAAGCTGTAAACATTTCCCCTGGAAAGTGTCATGGCTAAAACAGTCAGCAGATATCGCCCGTTTTATTTTTGCCATACAGGGAAAAAATGCGATATGTCAGCGCGGAACCACGTAAAAAGGTGTTAAGTCGTTGGTTAAAACAAGGTTAAAATTTTTCAGTTGGTGCATGCATGGTCAATTAATCAGTGTTTATTACGCCTGTGTTTGTGCCGTTTTGTTTAAAATAGCTGCTTTTTGTTGTTTAAGTTTACGTTTGTAAGGTAGAAAGAATATGTCTGAACTAAACAACTCTAGTAAAAAACCAAAGAAATACGGTAAAATGAGTGATGTAAATAAACTGATAAACCTCAGAAGTCATTCCGTAGGAGAAGACTGTAAGTGCAAAAGGTTTAAGGAGGTCCTTTCGCCACATCTCTCGCCTCAAATGTTAAAAAAAAGTTATTAGATTATGACTAAAATTAATTTTTTTCTAATAGTTGAAGTCCTTATTTATCTAATACTGAACTTTTAACTATACCTTACCTTGCAAATTTTTGAGAATTTTTTTTTTAAATGTGAGTATTTATAAAAAACAAAACCTAAATATTTCAAAAACCTTATTTTTAGTTTTTTTCTACTCCATCTAATCAATAAATAATAGTAAAATTAATTATAATTCGAAAATTGTTGTTGAAGTCTTACTTTCTCATAAGACACTGTACAAACACACACATTTTTAAAAAACATTTTCTCAAAAATTTGCACGGTAAGGTATAGTTAAAAGTTCACTATTAGATAAATACGGACATCTACTATTAGAAAAAAAATTAATTTTAGTCGTAATCTAATATTTTTTATTTAACATTGGTGGCGAAAGGACCTCCTTAAATGTTTTGTACATGTACCGGAGTCGTCTCGAAGAAAAATAATTCAAAATTTCAATTTGCTTGGTTCAGTCAACGAACAAAATATTTATTTGTGTGGTCTTATTTCGGTTTTGCCTGTTAAACAACGCAGGTCTAGACAGCACGAGGAGCACGCTGTCCTCCATGATGCTACTTTTAGCTATCGCGTAAGGTTTCAAAGTGCAGAAGGAAAGATCGAAGAGGTGCAAGTATGTCAAAAGGCATTTATGGCTATCCATGGAATTGGCCGAAAGAAGTTGGAAGTGTTACAGCGATCTTTAAAAAGTAAGGGCGAGGCACCAAAAGATCAAAGAGGTAAGCACAAAAACCGTAAACACATACTATCTGATGAAACTCGAAATGTAATCAGAAGTTATATTAAGTCATTTAAAGGTCGCAAAAGCCATTACAGCTTACATGATTCGAATAAAGTATATTTACCGGAAGAACTTAATATAAAAAAAATGTACACATTGTTTTGTCAGAAGTTCCCAAATCACCATATTTCCTATGAAACTTATAGAACTATTTTTTCAATGGATTTGCCTTTGGCTATCCAAGATCTGACACATGTAGTCAGTGTGATGAATATCAAGCAAAAATGAAAAGTTTGGAGACTCAAAAGCTGAATTTATCGCAAACAGACACGATGGAGTATCGTCAAATAGACAAAGACATACAGCGAATATCCAACGAAAATAAGGTGCATAAAATGAAGGCTGAACAATTTTATAAAAGAAAAAGAGAAACTAAAAGAGAAAGCCAACAATCTGAAGACATATGGAGGCGATTTGCTTGGATTTCGCCAAAAATCTGCCTGCCCCGAATATAACAACCAACGACGTGTATTATAAAAGGCAGCTGTCAACGTTTTCTTTTAACATTCATGTTCTTTCTACATCACAAAGTATTTTCTATGTGTATCCCGAAACTGTGGGGAAAAAAGGCAGTGTGCTCTTTATTGCACCACTTCTTATATAATTACCTCGACCTGAAAGTACGTAAGCTTGAAATATTTTGCGACTCCTGCGGAGGACAAAATAAAAATTATACGATGATGCGTTTTTTACACTACGTAGTTCATGCGGAGAAAAGGCTAGACAGTGTAAAAATTAGATTTCCGATACGGAGGCACTCATACTTAGAGTGCGACAAGGATTTTGGTTTGATTAACCAAAAAAGTAGAGTCGAAGTTCCAGAAGAGTGGTATGAAGTGTTCAAAATGGCAAGGAACAAACCATTTCCTTTTGATGTTGAAAAAGTTACACAATCGTACTTCCAAAGTTGGACTTCCTATTTATTAAAACGCTACCGACGTATATGCCCTTTTCCTTCTAGACCGCTCAGGGAACTAAAAATAGTCAAGGAACACCCCAGGTTGATTTTACATCGGGATAGCTACAATGGTAGTTGGCAAACCAGTGTCATCATCGACGCCAAATTTAAGATCGTGGGAAAAAAGAAACTAAAAGAGGGAGAATTTCAACTTCCAGATTTCTTATGCAAAGGTAAAAAACGTTCCTCTTTTTATAGTAAGTGATTAATAAAATATTTTATGATTTTTATAGATCTTCTGCCTGTAAGTGCACTGAAATGGAAGGACCTTCAGGACCTTAAAAAGTTTTGTCATTCCTCTGCTCAAGACTACTTCAATTCATTACCACACGAGTAAAATGATAATATTGCAGGTAAAACAAACTCATTCTCTCAAGTCTGTTTAATCTTATTTGAGATACATTTTTAGATATCCTGCAATCCTGCCCATAATTGCTGAAATGAGGACAGACCTTTGATTTTTAGTACTTTAGACTCATAAAGCCATTTTATTATAAAATTACTGTTTTTTTTTTAAATAAATATTTCATGACAAAACACCTTCTTTCCCTGTTTGATTGTACCTTTTTTTTAAAAATTGCGTATTTTTCTACTAAAAAAATTGTTAAAAAAATTAACTTTAAGTGGTATTTATAGCACAGTACCCTAATATTAATGGTATGTAAAAATTCCGATTTTATTTTTATAAATAACTTTTTAGAGCACTTAAAACCTTTAAAAGCGTTTTTCTCAAAACTAACTTTTTTGACATATCGCCTTCTTTGCCTGTACCCTTCAAATATTGTTTTTTTATTGCGAATGTTAAGTGAAACATTGGAGATTTTAGAACGAAATTAGTCGTATTCAACCTGATAATTTTTGAAATTACTTCTGTCACATTAAGTATCTAGGTTTATTATTAATTTGCTTTTATTTAGAATACCGTCGGAATAGTTGTCTTACATATATTTATTTCATTTATTGGCAAGGAGTTTCGTTACAGCCCACCCTTGTAGAAACCCTGAACAAAAATAAATAAGAACATATATCATCAGTAGTTAATCGACGGGGAAGGGATCTCAATAATTTTCTGTTCGGTAACTGATGAGACTGAATTTGCAAAAGCTCTCCACAGTATCGCGGAATATACTAATTGTTAAGAATTTTTAAAAATCATTAATTTTCAGATCGAATATTTTGTATTTATAAAAATTTAAAGAATACTTACAAATACATTTTCTTAATTATTAGATCGTTACCTCAATTAATCTGGAAAATGTTTGTTTATTCACAGGTTCATTTTGAAGATATTCTTTTCGTATCTCGGAACTAACTTCATCTAGTTGTTGAACTGGGATAACATCATTATAATGTAAAATGTACGGCATTATAGCATTCCAATTTTTATCTATGAATTCTAAGCGTTCATCAAAATAGAAATCTGGAAGACATACATAAATATATAAAATTTTTAAAGTTTACAATTCTCTTTTTACTTATTTGGTTAAATTATACATAATTTTGAATTAATTGTCTATTAATTAATACGATGATGGGCGTAAGGACTTTTTTATTCGAAATATCCTAAAGAATATAAAGCATATAAAAAAAATAATTCATTGCAAAAATGCATTTTTTCTGGCTTAATTAATTTTTCGTTGTTTAAACAATAACATCAACAAATATCGAGTGTCATCTTACACTTTTATAATTAGGAAAGCCTTCCGGATATTTAAAAAAAAAATTACGAATTAAAACAATTTTGCAAACGAATGCGCCAGTATGCTCTGGTCTATATGGGATATCAGACACACTGCGACCTAAAAGATAAATTGTGTCTTCTTCTGTTGCTACGGCAGCATATAACGCTTATCCAATCTCCAATGCTATCTTTCTAAGAAAGTTTAGGATTTGGTCAGATCGCTAGGCATGCTCCAGAGTATAGTGTCCTTGGATTCTGTAGTATCCCACATTCAGTCAGAATGGGAATGAATCAGCAATGTCCAGTAGGGGTCCCGTTTTTATTTCGTAGCCTGTACTTGTTCATGCTTTCAATCTTTACTTATTATAGTCACCCAGAAGTATCTTAGCCTGTTTTAGTCCCAAGAGATCGTTCCAATTGTAGGTTTTTCTACTGCCTAATTCTTTTTTAATTTCTCCTAATATTGTATTACGGCTGACGCAGTACAGCTCAGGTGCCACAAAGAGTGTGTCTCTTTCTGTGTGAGACTATCTGCAGTCTCGTTACCATTCACCCCGCAGCGTGCCGGTTCCTAAGTGAAAGTAACTGCATTTTCCACGCCTAGCTAAATTCAGTTTTTCTAGACACCTTCATACTATTTTTGAGCTGATTATGTAAGAGGTCAGGGTTTTGATGGTTGCTTGGCTATGATAGTTTGGATACAGTTCTAAATGGTATGAATTCCGTCTAAAAATGCGTATTTACTTCAAGAATACCTATATGGTTCTAGACCCACACAATTGATATGTAAAATAGATTTAACACTTTGACCCCTGGGCAAATATTTCATATATTTTACCATAAACCGAGTTACTTTTTTTGTAGCTTTTCCCAACGAATTGTGCGTGTCAGTGGTATACAATAAGTATTTACCCACAAACTGCATGTGTTTGCTTATATGGGCACGGAACATGCTAGGGTTGCCACCTGAACAAATTGTCCTTGCGACTTTTTAAAGCCTAAAATGTCCTTTTTTACTGCGCATGGCCTTTAAAAGGACCTGGTTTTTGTAATATAAGCTGACTTTTTTTAGAAGTCGACAGAATGACCAGGGAAGACAATCTTAAAAATGAAAAAATTTATAAAAAAAATATTACAGATAGTGTGTCATTACCTGTTATACTAGATCTATAACTTTTTCTTTAGAAAAAAAATGTAAAATAATAAATATTCGCCGTTTAAATTAAGGTATTCACATACACATATACCAACTAAAACAGTCAAATTCAAACTGCCAGCACTGAAGGAAAAAGGGAGAGGATGGATAATGTGCTCTAACTAGTCCCCTAACTGAGGTAGTCGTTTTTATTTAAAAATTTTGCATTTTGTAAAATCGACTTTTGGCCGCATAGATAATTCAAATACCCCTATGTGCGACGCTTCCGAACATGTTTTTTTTTTTTGCAAAATTGTACATTTTTATAATATAGTACGATATGTAACTATTCAAATAAGGCAAATTTAAGAAAAAAATCCTCAGTTTCTGGCAATCATTTATAAAATATCTGCCAGGTTTTAATGAATAATATTTCGTGACCATATATTGTACCTACACACAGTCCATGGTAACAACTTGCTGGGTATCATTTCTAGGGGGTTAAAGTGTTAAATTAAATGTATAACTTATAAAATTACTTTAGTTAGCTATGACAATGACAAACTGCTAAATTATTATTACTCACAGCTCGGGCCAGTTCATGGCAATTTTTATAATGTCACGATTCGCGCGTCCTTCTGGCAGCTAGCAAAAACAATACTAATGTGCTAATAACATTTTTTACACTGTTTATTAAATAGATATTTTATACACGCAAATCGATTAAAAACATATAACTTTTTTAATGATTGTAGAATTTTTTCTCTCTTAAATGTAAGTGTTTCTAATCTTGATGATGAGTAAAACAACACGAATTATTATTTGCTTTTTTAAAGTTTCTAAAGACTGAGTAAAAAACGTTATTCATAACAACGGATATTTACCTGCTCCTGGGTATAATCCTTCAGCAGAAGTAAAGGAAGTTATCCATGGCACGTCTTCAACAAGTCCTTTTTCAATCAATTGGTATGGATGTTCCGGAAATACAGGATTTTTTGCCCATTTATCAACTACTAAACCAAATGGTGAAAATGGATTATACAACCAGGGCTAAAAATAACAAATACATTAAAAATTCTTACAAACAAATTATAAACGTTAAACTATTAGAATATAAATATTTTACTTGTAAATCTTTCACACCATATGCAATCTGGCGTGCTGGTTTAGATTTTAGACATTTCTTCATTTCTTTATTATTTTGTATTGGACATCCAACAGATAACGCTATTGTTTTGGTTTTATTTAGTGGTTCTTCCATAAATACCCAAGAATTTAAAGCAACGCCGCTTTGAGATATAGCTTTTGAAAATAAACCTTAAAAAAATAAAATTCTAAAATAATAGCTGAATCTCAGTTTATTTATGCAGCAAGTAGTGTATAAAATGGTATTTTTTACGAATGTATGCAGCAACTCTTTGAGTGAAAAAAATACCCTTAAGATACTCGAATTATATGGAATATTTTTTCTACAATCATATAAATCATAGATTTCCAACGATTCCCAGTGGGCGCTGGAGTTTTCTATAGGAGACTGAATTATTAACGTAGCTTAAAACGCATGAAAGACAAAAAATATATCTAGTAGACGAAATTATATAGGGCAGCGAAAAAGTCTGGCAACAAGGTACTGTTGCGTAAAAGCCAACCCTGTGCTCTGTTTACTCTTTTCCCGCGGTATGAAGTCTAGCAATATAGAGACAAACGCACCGCTGGTGAAGATTATGTGATCCAGTTACGAAGAAGAATGGACGATATGCATGAATTGGTCCGCTCGCATCTTCAAATCGCCAGCGACAGGATGAAGAAACGGTACGATACCCAAGCCACAGAAGGATGTTTTAAGGAAGGCGACAAAGTCTGGCTTCATAATCCAAAGAGACAAAAGGGTTATTCTCCGAAGCTTCAAAGGTCTGTATCTCATCAAGAAGAAAATTAATGATGTATATGTAAGATTCCGAACGGTAAACCGAAGGTAGTGCACCAAAACCGGCTGGCGCCATTTGAGGATGACCATGACGAGAAAGAAGAAGTAAATCAGCTCCAAGAAACACCTGACCTTGTCTTTGAAGCATTTATAGGTGCATATGGAGGTACCGTAAAAGCAAGATATGATTTTACAACCCAAAGACTACTCGCTGGTCCAAAGCACTTCCGCCAATATCAACGACGCTCGAGGTCTGGCATCTGTGTTCCGCAAGAAGTTTGGTCGATTACCAGAACTTCAAGATTAGTTACCAGCCCCTGGAAAAGCATTGAAACTTCAAGATGGATCGCGTTATCTTTTCTATTTGATAACGAAGAACACCTTTTGAGATCCACTTATCATGATGTATGGGAAGCTTTGCTTAGTCTGAGGGAGCACGTACTGGAGTCCAATATACAGAAACTGGTCATGCCAAGGATAGAGAGCAACCAGCTAAATTGGAGGATCATTAATCTTCCAAGATTTCGAGGTCCGAATACTGGTCTGCAGCCATTCGCCTAGGGTCCAGGTTTCAATAAAAACCGTCCCTTGTTACTTTCATGCAACTGGAAATTGTAAAAGAGGATCCAGTTGCAGATTCAATTATTCAGTTTTAGTTCCAGGAGGAACTATTTCTTAAGGAGAGGGCAATGTCGCATAAAATCCAACCCTGTGCTTTGTTTACTCCTTGCCCGCGATATGAAATCTAGCAATATGGAGACAAACGCACCGCTTCTCGAAACTACCAGAAAAAGCGGTACGTGGCTGTTGATTCATAGAGATGGAATTTCGGACATTCGAGAACGTCTAGAAACTACTAGTACAGAGTTGGCTTTGTATAAATAGAGCAAGTTCATCGACAGACGGGCAGATTGAATTTAAGTGTTGGACAGAAAGGATAAATTGTAATAAATAAATTAGAATTGTGAGTTATAATAGTGCCTAAGTATTATATAAATTAATTAGTACGTTATAAATAAATTGTAAATAAATTAAACAAACGTTACAGTACTTTCTTTGAAACGAATGAATGTATTATGAAATTGTAGGTTGATGAATGGGACGGTATTCTGCATTTTTTAAAGGACATAAAATTTATGTCACGTCAGCGTTTATCGTACCGCCGCCATCGTGATTTTTTTTTTAAATGGCGACGTAGGTCGAATGATATATCACTAATGTAATACAGTCCAATTCATCATCCTAAAATACTTTGTTGCTAGACTTTTCCACTACCCTGTATGTATAGGATCAGAAAAAACAATAACACAGTCCCATTCATCGCCCTGCAGTTTCAAAATACATTCATTCGTTTCAAAAAAAAAAAAAAAAATACTTTGGTGCCAGACTTTTTCGCTACCCCATATATTTATGGTTATGGACATCGTGTGTAAGACTTCCTCCTTATCATTGCCAATTTAATCCAATTAATTATATTTGGCAGGTCTTAATTACGACTAATAGGTATAAAAAATGTTAATTATTAGAACTCTTTGCAAAAGTATTCCCCTCTTCAAACAACGCATTATTTACGGATGTAATCAATGTTACATTTAACGGGTGTCCATTTAAAAAGTCGAATGGGTGAGATTTCTATAATTTTGCCGTTCACCAGTATTGTCTCCCGTCATATCTTGGCTGAGTAACCGCTAGAGGATAAATTAGATCGAACTAGCGTTTAACCTTCCAACATATGTGATGTAAATTAATAGATATCTAAAATAGGACTTCCAAAATGGTGGCTCAATAAATCTTGGTGGTTGTATTATCGCCAAATTTTAACTCCGATACCCCCGATGGTCAGATAGACGGATCAGGTAGCATTGGAATCCGACAGGTGTCAAAAAAATACATTAGGGGTCTGTTCCAACAACGATCAGAAACTAGTCACTGACATCAGGATTGTGCGCAGTATGAAGTTGGTGGTCTAAATAATTTACTGCCCAGAATCCTGGTGTCAATGACTGGTTTCGGATCTTTCTTGGAACAGACCTTAAAATTACCTCTTGAACGTGGGGTTATCAAATGTGTATGAACACTAGCTCCACCTGCTGACATCCCTGATATAGTAATAGAGTTTGGATTTCCGCCAAACCTATCGATGTTTTCTTTTATCCATTTCAATGCCAGGATCTGATCTTTTATGCCATTATTTCCAGAAACAAATTCATCTTCAGTACTTAAAAATCCTAAAAAACAATTAAAAATAATTCTATGTAATAATTCAAGATTTGTTGAAATATAATACGTAATTATCACGCTTACAAGGGAAAGGCGTATTTTCTGGACTCGTAATGAAATTTAATGTACTATTACTTCTTCGGTGAAATATTGTAGTTAATATTTTATAAATTAAAATTACCAAGTGGTCCCAATCTGTAGTTGAAGTTAACGAAAATGATGTTTCTATCTAAAACGATGTTGGGTAAAGTTTGACCTCCATGATTAAACATAAAGGCACCTCCGTGAATATAGACTAAAACGTCTAATTTAGCAGTGGTGTCGAGTGTGGGAGAGTATACATTAACATACAAGCAGTCTTCATCTCCTAAAAGCAGAACCATCAAAAAATATTTCATCAGAACGTCTTACGTATTATATCGTTAGATTATTTAATTATTATTAACGATACTATTTCGGTTCTTTAGTAAATTATTACAAATAAAATACAAATACGGGAATCTAAATGCGGATCCTCTATTTTTCAATGAATTAGACAAGGTATGATATATAGGATCACAAACAAAAAATACTAAGCAGCGGATTACCTACCTATTTTGTGGTCTCGCGCCAGGAACGTACGACGTACGACTTCCACCTCCCTCCCACTTACGCTCGTCCGCAATAGATTTGGTTTATATGATCCATGTTTAAATTTCCGAATCTGTTATTTTTCTGTTTGTTTACTTTGTTATAATAAATTGTGATGTTGTAATATCTCAGACTAGTTCGATAAAGAATCACTTTGCTGACTTGGTACATAAATAATAAATATTATACAATTTCATCATAATATTACCTGATACTTTATCTGGTCCTGGAGGGGTGTAGTGATCATACTGCAAACATTTGAAAATTGTTTTTGCTTTCCATATTCCCTTCCATGGCTTAGGTGGAACTGATTCCTGAAATTATTATTTCAAAATAAACATTAAAACATATTTATATTATATGCAGGGTGTTTCTAAATTCATGTGAAAAAAATCAAAATGGGATTGATTACTCGTTAAAAATTATGGTCGGTCCCATAAGCCCCCGAAAATATGTAAGTAAAACTGAGTATTTAATTTTTTGGCAAACCTGAGTTAATGTAGAAACTTGACATTATAAAGATTACAGGTTATAAGGGGAATAAATTAACAACCTGTCTTGAATTTAAATAGTAATTATATATTTCTTTGAATTTAAATTGTGATTAAATATTTTTTGTTCTATGGATAAAAGTAACAGACAAAACATGAATTCTGAATAATATTTTTAACCGACTTCAAAAAAGGAGGAGGTTATCAATTCATCGCGATATTTTTTTTTTTTGTATGTATGTATGTTCAGCGATAATTCTTCAACACGGTGTCCGATTTCAATGATTCTTTTTTTGTTAGAAAGGGGGTACTTCAGGGGTGGTCTCATATATATTTGGTCAAAATCTAATAATTAGGTCCATGAGGAAATCCTCAAACTCTTCATTTTTTCTGTATGTTTAGCGATAATGCTTTACCACCTTGTCCGATTTATATGATTCTTTTTCTGTTAGTAAGGGGGTACCTCAGGAGTGGTCCCATATAAATTTGGTTAAGATGTGGTGACGGCATCTGCGCTTTTTTGAAGTCGGTTTTTTTAAATTTTTAATTTCTAATACTTGTTAATTTATTAAATTCAATTCGACAAGAAATAAATGAAATAAAATAAGGGTTTTTAATTTAACTTCCTTATAACATAATGGTAATACTGAAAATAATACCCATAATTACCCCTTTATGCGTACAGGTATTCTTGAAAATTTCTACATTGACATTTGAAAAAAAAAAATAAAAACTCAATTTTACTTATATCTTATCGAGGGTGATATCTCCTTAAGGGTTTAAGCTGAGAAAATTTTGTTATAGCACCGGCCTTTCATAATTTTCAACAAAGAATACAGGCAGAGTATTATTATACTTTATTTAGCCTAATGAAAGTTAATCATGTTTTTCTTGCCTCAAATCTTGAGTCACCAACGGGTGGTTTAGCGTAAGGAATTCCCTCAAATACATAAATGTCTTTTCCTTGCTCAGTTTTTCCAATATAACCTTCGACGGTACCTAATGGTAAAGTTACTACAGGAGGTGATGACACATTACAAGTTACAACTAAAAAGAAATATAAATATATATTTAGTGTGTCCGAAATTTGAGTCTCTATATTAGTATCTATGAATAATTATAAGAGACAGAGCAGGGTCGGTTAAATGGGATTTTAGATAATTTGATGCTAATTTCGGATCCATTTTCAAATTAAAAAATAGTTGGTAGATTACGTTTTTCATTTTAAAATGTTGGCTTAACGCAGTCAGTTTGACAGGTATTTCAAAATGTTACACTTTTTAACGCAGAATATTTTTATACAAAAAAAATTCTAAATTGTATTTCGTTTTTAATTTCTAACTAAATTACATTTGAAATGATGTGCAACATGCTATCCAAATTTTTAAGAAACGCCTTTAATACACACATTTGAGTGTATTTTATACTTAATTTCAAAATTAATAAAGATACGTATTTAAACTTATGGTAATTATTATATGCATCGTAAATATTACATATTCAGGTCGTCGGAGTGAAAAAACGGCCCTCTAAATTTGGCGATCACTATGATCGATTGGGTGAGGGTGTATTTATTATACAATCCTGTGAAAATTAATAATATGGTAAAAATAACTTCGTTATTTTGACATGTTGCAACTATTGGACTCATCGATGACCGGATTAATTCTGTCGGTCGTCTTTTTTTCGTGTTAATTATTAAATTACAGTTCATCAAATTTCTAGAGGTGTTCAACGCCCAGACAGAGAACGCGCTACGTGTGACTAAGATAGCTATTGTACAGTCTGCTAAACAAGTTATTTTAAATAGTTTTTAATATTTTTAGGTAATTACATTTTAAAAGTGTGGAATAGTTTAGGGATTAAATTGGTCTGATTGGACTTTCTTAGAACGTTTTTAAAAGCAGCTAAAGATAGTATGTAGAATTGAAAATAATTATTATGCCATAAAAGGTGTTTTGGAATTCCTTCAACCTTTTGAAATTGAGTCAGAAAATATAAATTTTATAGGATAGCGGAAAATACCTATAATTTTTTTGTAGGCCTTTGTAAATCGTGGAAATAGTTTATATTTTATTTCTACCTTATTAAGGAAAATGGTACCTATTATTAATAACGGTTGTTTCTGAAACATTACTAAAATTTTCGAAATTTTGTTTTTCTACAAAATAATAAACTATACTATTTAGAAAGAAATTTATTTCTCTTATAATTTTATAAAAAATAACAGGGGAATATTTACATTTCTTGATCTATTAAACAAAACGATAAATTATCTCGACGAATGACACCATGTTCTAGTACGGAAGCTAGCTTTACATTTTTGTTGGTGGTTTCATGGGTTTCATATCAATTTTTTGTAATTGTAGTTTACACGTACATATACCTCTTAACACTTGTTTGCTTTATTAAAAAAGTGTGTTGTTGTGATTTACGTCGAAATAAGTCAAAAACAACTTGAAACCCCATATAAAATCAAAAAGGAGAAACGGAAAAAAATTGAGCCTGTAAATGAACACAACTCAGAAACAAAAATAGCTATCTAATAATAAAAAAATAAAATTTGATTCTTGTGTAGCTTCATCTATATCATTAACTGTTTTTGGTTTTTTAATGGTTTTTCTTGGTGATGAAAATTCCGATATCTCACGGTTATCGATTCTTTTTTTCTCTCCAGAAATGCGGACGACAGTGTTTTTAGATACTCCTGTGGCTGCAGCAACACGATCATTTACATTTTTAAATGGTATTGAAGGTGAATTAAAGTTTCCTTCTCTTCTCATAAACTCTATAACATTGGCTATTATTTCGCGAGATTGACTGTTAATCACGCGGCTTCTTAATTTGCTATTAAACTCCATACTTAGGTTCTATTAAACTGTAATGAGCAAAAAACACAAACGAAAATAAAAGAAATGTTTTAGCGAAATTTACATCTGACATTTACGTCTGAATGAAATAGTGAAATACTTGATGCGCAGATGAGTGTACTTTCATTGCGTAAATCCGTCGGGATGCCTGTCAGTAGTGCTTTCTCTGTCTAGCCGTCGAAAGCCTCTAGAAATTTGATGAACTGTACCATTCTATTGTGTTGCAGAAGAAATTTTTGGTCATTATACTACATAACATCTTAAAATCGACATATTCAGGCGTCACGCAGTAGAAAACGCAGCGTTCTATATAATTCGGTTCCTTCGGGTAAAATTTGCCATATACTGGTCTTCTCTCTTTGATGTCACTCTGGATCGACCAGTCACCGTCCTTCGCACAACACTACCCGTTTTCTGGAAAAAGGCCATTATGCGCCTTACGGAAGACCGTGAAATATTCAGATGACCCGCAATCTGGTGATTTGACAAATCTTCTTGATGTAAGGCCACTATTCTTGACCAGACAAACTGAGAAATCGGATGACCTGGCATTTTATGACAAATTTACTTGATACTTTAATACTTGATGTCAGCTTAGAACTGATTTCTTTTCAAATGGTGCATATATTTTCGGATGAAAACAATTTTTTGCTTACATCCTATTGTGGTTATGTATGATAAGATAGAGAAGAATGTATACACAACGAATTACATTGACCGCAGTAAAAGTTACCAAGGGAGCCAAGACTTTTGGAGATGTGTGTAGAACAGAAGTAAAAGTTGGAAAGGATTTTGCCAGTTCTCCCACTTTATACACATAAATTGACAGGTCTTTCGTCTCATTCCATTAATTTATGTTCTCATTGGTTGTTAGATACATATATGTAGATTTTGTCCTAATGTTAATTATAATTTTTTTTTTTAGTTATTATTGGTTAGTTAATTATTTGATATAGCAGAAACAGAAGTTGGAAAGGCTTTTTGTAGATAGAGAGGTGGTAAACGTCAAATCCCGTCGAATGACTTCAAGAATGTTTATTCGCCAGAGTTTTGTATCATAGAATAAAAATAATACCAAACGTTTTAAATGATTATCGGCGGAATCAGGCAATCGAATCTCTTTGTGGGCTAGAAATAATTATTTAAGCAAGTAATAATATCCCAAATCATAACTTTAGAAAATTTAAACATTTGAAAATGTATTAAACTATTTACTCGAAATTGTTATTAGCCTTTCGATTAGCCCCGCGGCGAAACTATCAAATCCTGTGTATAAAGTGGGAGAACTACTGCTGGGATACCACAATAAAAAAATTCAAATTTAAAAAAATTATTGTTCGAATAATTGTGATATTTGGACCAAAATATGGACCTGTAATTAAATTGTATGATGGTGTAAATGTAAAATATAAACCAACTTAATATGCGTTGACTTGAGTTATAATTAAATAACCTTAATTTAACATAATAGAATTAATAAACACCTGGGAATTTCAAATTTGAGAAGAAAATAAAAATAATATCGCTACATTCAGTTTTTTGTGCTTTTTTCAAATATGGAAACAAATTTTAAAAATCAGGTCAGGGCGGAAGAATTTGTAAATTTTTAGCTAAAGCCTTGGTTTCTTTGAACACTCCGTCGCGGTGAGCGGACAGTCCGTCGACCGCTGAGGACAGCAATTTTCGCCCGAGGTGGTTTGTTAAAAAATATAGAAAATGATACTTTCTCTATGTCTGTACGTGCTGTTTATGTATTATGAATGTAAACGAAAGGTACTAAAATGGTTGCAAATAAATTGTTTGCGTTATTATTGTTGGAAAAGGAAGAACAAGAGGAACTGGCAATTGCAACCGTCAAAGTTTCCAATAAGCCAGTGAATGAGTTGTTTTTCTGACGCGATTCAAAAGGTGCCTTTAATATCACTGTGCAGCGGAGGCTTTTTGGAAATGAAACCAAATTTAGGGAGTATTTTAGACTTTCTACAGATCTTTTTGAATTCGTGTTGAGTTTTATAAAGGACATAATTTCCAAGAAACCTAAAAATAAAGTCATGATGTCATCTGTATGTGTGAATTTGTCACTCATTGTTTTAAAATTAATAAATATAGTCTCCGCACACGCCGACGATTCCGCTGATATCAAACTCAACAGATATCAACTGACTCTTCGCGACAAATCAGCGGCATGACGCCGTCCTGTTCAGCTAAGCGGATTCAAGAAAACCATTCCCATTTAAATACTCTGGTTGGATAAAATCGTCAAAACGCGACGGTTGACGGACTGTCCGCTCACCGCGACGAAGTGTTCAAAGAAACCAAGGCTTTAGCCGAACTTGGGTTTTCCTATCTTTTTACATTAATATATTAGACAAGGTATGGATGGGAAGTGTACCAAACGTCAAAAAAATATACGAGGTTGTTCCCAAGTTATGAATAAGGAAAAAAATGGACAACATTAATAAAATAAAACGCCCCATTGAAAAGGGGTTATTTTGAATCGACTTGGAGGGCTCCATCCATAATTAACGTATGTCAGTTTCCAAATGAGTCACCTTGTATAATAACATAATATAGGCGCTAGCTATTATTCTCTATGATACGTAGTTTAGCCTAATTTGAAAGTTTCAATACCTAGTAATAATAATTACGGAATACTAGATAATTATTGGTACCTATCCACTTTAGAAATGCACTAAAAAATTACTGGATGCCGACTATTAGTACATAAATTGTACTTGTTCAAAACGAAAAACATCAATATTTATTTAGAAAAAAAAAATAATTTTTTAATTTTTTATCAAAGTTAATTTTTGAGAATTCTTTGTTTTCTATAATATAAATAGTAGCATTAGGTAAGTTAAATTATAAAATATGTATAGGTACATACCTTTTAAAATAAATACCAGTCCTAAGAATAATAACATTTTTGGTTTTATGTAGATACATATACTTATCTTATAGGTACTGGCTACTATTTGTTTATCGAAGGAGAAACACTTTCTTATATCTGTGGAATGATTAAAAACTCTGTAAGAACAAGATAGGAGATTGTTTTGTTCACTTTTGTGATTTGTGGTGACCTTAACATCAACATTTCATGTTAAGTACCTAATAATTAATGTTTATTATAACATGAAAAAGTACGAGCTGTGTAATGAAAATAAATGAAATTTTTAACGCCTTTCCTAGCTGGTAACAACTAAAGAACATTCCATGTATGTTTTTATTTATTTAGTCTACAAAGATAATATCTAACTAAGTACGATACACCGTAGCTATATTTACCAATGTATCATATTTTCTTATCATATAATAAAACGTATTAAACTTACGAGGACGTATTGATAAATTCGTAGTCTACGACTATCAGAAGCAAACAAAATGTAATTCTTCACTTGACTTAATAAATCTATTAGAAAGAATCTGCAACATCTCTAAACCTTCATCATCTCACTCTACAAATCAAGTTTATATGTCTTAGATTATATCTTCATCGAAATAATTCATTTTAATTTGATATAACATATAATAATCAGAAAGGACATATCAAGTGAATAGGAGGGTGTTCCAGTATTTCTTTCATGGTGACGTTCTATTTTTGTAAAAAAACAAAACACTGTTGGACAACTTTAAAAGCATCCCTTTACCTTATTTTTCCCCGTAGAGTGATCAGTAACGTCGCATAATATTCCTCACAGTGATTGTTTTACTCTTACTAAGAAAATCACTTATACTTGTTCCATAACAGTCCCAAAAAAACTGGACAAGAACTTTTCCTGCAGATTTTTAAGAAAGAAAATTCTTACTTCAGCTCCAGATGCACGTCGGGAAATCTCCTGAAGAGGTGCGAGAACGAGTTTAGTTAATTTTCGCTCCTATATCCCATAAAGCACAAAGACATTTCGGAAATATTTCGAAAATGTTACATTGAAATATTTGTAATGTTGTATAAATATTACGAAACGTCCCAGAAACATTTCTGAAAGGTACCTGAAATGAAAAAAAAAATCCTGTAAATTTAATATTTACAGTAACATTTCTGAAATAAAAATTTGACACCTTCCAGAAATATTACATAGTAATATTTCAGAAATGTACTCTAGTTTTGTTTCATAAATATTATGAAATGTTGTAGAAACGTTTCTAAAATATTTCTGGAACATCAGCGCAATATTACAATGTAATATTTTTATTAGACTAAAAAAAGACATTTAAAAATATAGATGTTTATTTAAAATATACGAAACAGAAACTGATTATTTAACAAACAAATAAATATAGTAGTTTGTACAACAAAAATGGATATGATGGCCATATATAGGCCCGCGCGGTACATAAGGCAAAGTCATGATTAAAAAAAAAACAGTATTATTACATTGTTTTTTATTTATTATTTTATTTTTACTCTTTGAGACGAGGGAACCAAATTTCTCGAAAATAATATATTTTCCAAATGAGAGTACGCAATAATGGCATTTATTCGATCAAATACCTACGTAACATGCTAACATGAATTGTGTAAACTCAAACAAATCTAATTTTATTCATGTTTGAGCTTGAAATTTGGCTTGCAACGAGCCAACGAGCGGACAAGCGTTTTTTCCTGTACGAAGTGAAAAGGTGCATGGGGTAAAAGATATCTGTCTGTCACACGAAGTAACTAAAAAGAAGTCCAAAAGATATGTAACTGATGCTAATGCAAATACTCTGCTGCGTACATGAAACTTCAGTTGTAGATATATATGCGAGGGATGTTAATGAATATTAAGTTAAAATTTAAACATCTGTACGGGATATTTTAGTACCGTTTTAAAAATATATCAAGAAGTGTCTGTAAAAAAAGGTTACAAAAAAGACTGGTAATGTTTTATGTTTAGTCGGTGCTAATAAAATCATGTAAAACAAGATTCGATATATTCCATATAAACTCACATCAATAAACTCGTCACAATAAATAGAAAATGATAAATATGAAACATTACCGCGTCCTGGATTTTCACATTTTTTTATGTGATTATATAAAAATGGATCATATTGTGCTATTAACTTCAAAAGCCCTAAATAATTTTTGATGTCCAAACTTCTCTGTTGTGTCCCATATATATAAATACCGTATACAGTGCAGGACAAATAATAGTCTATTTTCTCAATATTTCTTCTATTTTACTATTTTTTCATTGCTTTAAAGAGTTTTGAGGGCCCCCGCAAGTCTTGGATCCCTATAGTCTATAGTTTACTTAGTCAACGCTCATCTAGATAGTTCTGAAAAACAGGCAAAAATTACAATGAAATATTTGACACATTGGCAACGCCTAATGATCTTTGGCAACGCCGTGTATTCTACGTTCGACAAATGAAGGCTGACCAGTGACCACCATTATTTTTAAATTTAAATTCACTGGTTTTCGTCGTTCCTTCAGTATTTCGGTAAACTTTTTTCAAATTTCATATAATTTTAGCGATATACCAAATAATTAGGTATAATTACGTGCAACAAGTATACCATTTTAGTGATCAATTTAATTTAAATAATTAAAGTACCCCAGAGTAGTGATTTAAAAAAGGCAAAACATGAATAAAGAATTAAATCAACCAGGTAAGTGAGAGATTAATCGGTATTAATAAAATCGTTAGTTTTGTATAATCGTACAACATATAGGTAGTTTCGCCAGATTTTCCGTGGAAATAAATATCTTGAAAAAACCCGCCATTATATTTTTCAAACTGGGTAACAGTGTTTATAACATTTTTTTTTACTTAGGAGTACTTAACAATTATTGGAATTTCATTAAACATCCATGTTGTATTAACCAACATTCAAGTTATGTATAATTCTGTTGATGTTTTACCGGCTTTTCTTAGAAAATGTATATCTATGATGTATATCAAATGGTACGCCGTTTACAAAAGTTCCCGCCATTGCATTTATAAAGTATATTTGGTTTCTACTTATTGGTAGATGGAGACGTATACACATAATAAAAACTTTTTTATTTAAACAACCTTTAAGATTTATTATCTACCTATAGGATAGTTATATCGTTGTCTGCTACCTTTATACAGACAATGGATACATTGAACTTTATTTCTTACGTTTTGAGAAACCTTGCCAGTATCCAGACTTTTTCCAGGCGTCCCCAGACAACAAAACAAACCGAAAGAGGTATAGTTTTCTGCAAAAACATCTGATCGCGCGTCAAGTTGACACTGACACTGCCGACAGATGTACATCTGTCAAGACGTTAAATAAAAATAGGAGTAGTGGCAAGGCAATAATATACTTTACATACCATGCGATTTTAAGTGATTTTCAAACATGTAACCTTCATTCATAAATTGCTTCTATACCTATTAAACTTGTATAATTTTTTAAAAGAAAAAGCCTATTTTATTCTATTTTGATTTTGTTGGAATACATTTTTATACAATGGATTTTTCACGAGGAAGAAATAAAGGGTAATATTTGAAACCACTTCAAAGTTTCTCTTTGTTTTAATTTAATAGCATTTTTTAGATACAAAAACTATAAAAACAGTAAACGAATTGATTCGAATTGTTTGGAAAGTACTCCTGAGATTATGCGTATTGAAATTGATCGCATATTTAAAGAATTTTTAGATGATCCAGATAAAAATGAATACATTTTTCCTTCAGATTTAAACAATCTACAAAGAAAGTATATACACTACATGGCACAGAAACAAAATATCATATCCAAATCATATGGAAAAGAGCCCATCAGAAAATTGCATATTAAAAAGAAAAGTCAACAACTTTGCAATCAGTACATTGAGGTTTTTCCTTGTGAGGGTGCTCAATTACACCTAAATGAGTTTGTTAATGCTTCAATACCTAGTCCTGAGGCACATAAAGCACCTACCACCTACAATGTTCAGAAAGTAGCTGGAAGGTTAATTCATAGCCCTGCAGTGATTCCCAATGTGATAAATGTAAATCGGGATGTCACAGGTGTAAGACAAAACTTGCCCGTGTTTGAGTATAGAGAAAAAATTATAGAAACTATCCAAAATAACCAGGTAGTTGTTATTTCTTCTGAAACTGGTGGGTATATTTCATTATATAGCTATTATTTCTTATTAATAAAATTGGTAAATTATTTATTGACAATTTATTCATCGATATATCAAAAATAAAAAATATTTTTAGTTTTATCTGTAATTATTCCAGAAAAAGTAAAATTCAAAAACCTATTTTCTTCATATTGTTAGCTCAATCCTTATCAAAAAGGCTCAATTTTTTATTTATATAACAAACAAATATCTAAGTAATATTCTCTGTTATATTTTATTTTTATTAATGCACTATTTGTTTTTTATTTTGTGCCAAAATTTCAGTGTTTCAAGGGTGGCTCCAACAAGGGGTCATGCCACTTCCCCCGAGCTTAAAATTCTTTTCTTATAATCCACAAGCCTTTTATTAAAAAAATATGCTAAAAAGGGAATGGCTAAAGGCAATGCTGCCCTCTTAAAATTTGGCCTTGTGCCGCCCTTGCAGGGTTTTTGACTATTATGAAGTCACCATAGTGTCCAATAATTAAACTAGTTAAAAAGAGTCTAACTAGAATTTCTATATTAAAAATTAGAATGTATATCTTATATTACAAGAAAACATTTAATAAGCAGTGGTGCAGCCACAGGGGTTCCCCATAGAGGCCTTCACATCACCGTTTCCGCTATCTTATTGGTGTTAATTGCTATTAACTGTTTGTTAACCCCCCCCCCCCATAGTACTCAGAAACCCCTCCCATGAAAAATTTCTGGCTATGCCACTGTTAATAAGGATACTATGATGACTTAATAGTCAAAAGAGAACAATTTGTACCCCTACAACCTTTGATCATAAATTTAATAAATTGTCTTACAATTTGAATTCATATAATTCAACTAAAAAATTTTTTGCTACTTTTTTTGTTTATAAACAGTTTTTTTTTATGAATTTGTAATAGGCTCTGGAAAAACTACTCAAATTCCTCAATACATAGCAGAAGATAGTGCATTATTAAAAAAACCATGCAAAGTTATTTGTACACAGCCTAGAAGAATTTCAACAGTGGCTGCTGCAGAACGAGTTTCATATGAAAGAGGAGATACTGTTGGTGCTTCTGTTGGTTACCACATTAAACTTGAACAAAATTATGGTATTAATACCAATATAATTTTTTGTACAACTGGGGTACTTCTAAGAAACCTTATGTGCAGTACTGATGGTTTAAATAACATTACCCATGTAATAATAGATGAAATTCATGAAAGAGATAAATTGGCAGACTTCCTGCTTATTTGTTTGAAACAGAATGTAAAAAAATATCCCAATTTAAAGATAATACTCATGTCAGCAACTATAAATACAAATAAATTTGTTGAATATTTTGAAAATGTCATTGTACTTTCTATACCAGGAAGGTTATTTGCCATAGATACAATTTTTTTGGAAGATGTATTAGTACTAACAAAATATATGTCACCTGAGATGAGGGCTACTAAATTAAAAGAACAGAAAAAACAAGTTATACATGAGGAACAGCTCTTAGCAGGATCTGAGATTGAAATAAAAGATAATGAACAAGAAATAAATCCCTGTGTAGATGAAGCTCTAGAAGAATACCTGAATTTTAGTGCAAATTATGACTATAATTTACACCATTTGGAAGCTACAGCTCACTTGGGAATGTATTTTTTTGTTGAAGGCATCTCAGTAGATTATCAACATTCACAAAATGGCCAAACAGCCTTAATGATTGCAGCATTTCTTGGTGATAAAGAATTTGTCACTAAACTGTGTAATATGGGTAAGTTGAAAGACATATTCTTGAGTTTTAATGTAATTGTTTAACTCATAATCATTATAAGTAATCAGTATCAAATTTTGCTTTCTCATTTATAGGTGCAAATTTGGAATTGTGCTGTCGATTAAGTAAAACTGCTTTTGATTATGCCTATGACAATCCTGAAATACTTAGAATTCTTGAATGTGTAAGAAACAGGAGACAATCAGATTCACAAAGTACTGATACTAGTAAAGAAGGAGAGTATCTGTTGGAATTATTTGATAAAACAACTCCAGATTACTTTATTGATTACGATTTAATAATAACTCTTATTAGTTTGATACATGTCAGCAACACAGATGGATCAATCTTAATATTTCTACCAGGTTATGATGAAATAATGTTGTGTAATGATAGAATCCAAAACTCGTCTTTAGATCATACGAGTTATAAAATATTTTTTCTTCATAGTTCGATGAACATAAAGGAACAAAATGACGTATTTAAGAAACTTCCCAATTTAAGAAAAATTATATTATCTACCAATATTGCTGAGACAAGTGTTACCATTGACGATGTTGTTTTTGTTATTGACATTGGCAAGGCAAAAGAAAAATGTTTTGATGCTGTAAGTAGAGTTTGGTATATTTTTATTTGGACGATTTTCCTCGCGATTTTCACTATTATTGCATTTCAAGTAGTACCAGTTTCTTTGTGGGACCCTGTATAGAGTCTTTATAGAGTGTCCATTTTTTCTGCTTTTATTTTAATGCCTTGCATTTATAATTTTTTTCTGGAATATCCCAAATACATTGTGTTCCTTCTGTTGAACTTATTAAAATTTCAACGATTTAAAAAATCACTATTTAACGCGTTTTGAAGAATTTTCCAATTTAATTTATCTCATCAGGATTTCCTCAATTCTTAAATGGTCTAAGGGCTAGATCTTCTGCATCGATGTTGAGAAATAAGTTTGTTCTTGTTTATCTTCCTTTTCGAGTCGCGGCATTTTTTCAAAAACAGCTCGTACAAATTCACAATAAATAAAATATTACAAAGCAAGAAAAGTTACAAACGAAGACACCCGCCGGTCAAAATGTGATTGTGGCTGATGGCGATTGGTTGATGAGGGAGGAGAGTACAAGAAAAAGCAGAGGAGGTAAAAGATGTGTTTTTTATTCTGGCCGCTACATGGTTTTCTAGCCTCTTCAGCCCCTCTGCTGTTATCTGAAATCTTTGGTATGTGGAGATGGGGTGGTAGGTATCTGAGACGATGTTACTGACCCAGCATGTACCTATTGCTATGAAAAAATTCATAGCAGATCAGTCAGCAGTGGGGATCAAAACACTATCTTCTGAATGCGAGGCAGATGGGTTGTCACAAAGCCAGTGGTAGGATACAAGATGGCATTAGTGGGATATAAGCAGTTTAAATGTGGTGCCAATGTTTTCCTGAATAATCAAACTTTAGGGCATGTGCTCTGAAGTGCAATACTTACTAGTAAGTAAAAGGTAAAATGTTGGTGTTCTAAGGTAGGACATTGCTGACGTATGATTCATACATCTAAAAAAAGGTAAAACCGATAAACACGTCTATCCTCCTTATGTTTCAGTTTTTTGAAAAAAGTTATTCGAAAAAGATGTTTATTTTATTTATTTATTTATTTATTTACGGGCAAGCCCATTTGAGAAATAAATTACAATTTTAAAATTATAATTAAAATGTAGTGAAATATATATGGTGCTGAAATACAATCGTGGTATAATTCATAAAATAGGTTAATAATTAAAAGATTTAAGAGACAAAAGACAATAAGGTTGAATAAAATATTTACATTTAACATTAAAACATTATTTTAACGACTTTTATACACACTAAAATACTTAGGAACTGAAAAATCACTTAAAATTATTTCCAAATGTTTTTTTAAACGATTTTAAATTTTTCAATATTTATTTCAATATGAATATCGAAAAACAGGAGTCTACAATGCATATTAAACTGAAAATCGGCGTTATTAAGCTAATTTTTTCTGTTAACTATATTTATTTTTACGTTCCCCCACTATTTTATCTTAAGAGATAGTGTGAAAGGCTTAAACATATTTTGAAGAAAGAAACGAGAGAATATAGGTTAAAGATCTGAAAATTAATGCATGCATTTGGAAATGTCAATATGAAAACAACAATTCCCCTACGAATTTAAGAAATCCATCCGCACAACCCTAGGGTGATAACAAACCAAAACAAATTTAATAAATCTGAAAAGAAGCACACATATTTGACGGTTGAAGTGGCAAATCAGAAGAAATCAGATTCCACTCTAGATGGTATATACACTCTTCCCTCCCTCAGCTCTCCAAATTCTCCCTAAAGCCACCAATTCAGTATAGGTGTGTGTTGAAATACATTCAACATTACTTTCAATATACGTTCATCATTACTGATTCCCGAATTATAACCCCTTCAACCGTCCCTGTAGCTTGTACTATCTCAGCCAGTAAGGAATTCTCTAACAGATAAATATGTCATGCGCGTCAGCCACTCCTCATTGGTTAAACATTATTATGTCAGCCTCAAGCTTGGTCGGCTCATTATCTATACTCACTGCTTGATCAACAGTCAAACGAATAACATGCATATTATCTATTGGTAAAAAAGGGACGCTGTGTCTTAGATAATATAATAGCAGATAGGCCACCACTGCATAAAGTTATACAATATTAATGTCGCTATCATATAAAGTATCTCTCTTTCTAATGAAGACTTTCTCACTCGTTTTAGAATTCTCAGCAGTAGCGTACCGTAAAACAATTTCGCTGGGTCATTTTAAATGCGAAAATGTTGACCAAGTAGAATATAAAATAAAATGTTTTAAAAGGTAGGTAGGTGCATTTTTAATGAAGTGAAAACAAAATATTACTTTTTTGTTATGAATATAATATTAATAACAATTACTTTTAACACCACAACACGAACAAATTTAAATTAAACACTGGAATAATTGTCTGAGAAAAGCTTTGTCAAACTGACAAATCCAAACAAAGAGATAGAGATATTAATCTATTTCTCTCTAATTAGAATTCTTGACCATATTATCATGGCGACACAAACATTGTTTACTGTCCTCTCTTTACTACTTACTTACTCTGAGCGCTGTGTCCGCCATTGTATAAAATGTAAATCAACTCGACTTAAGTAATACATTTCCGAGAAATAATGTAATTGTAAATAATGTAAAAAGTAGTTTAGTTGTCAGCAATGTCCTAGTGTTAAATTAAACTGATTTTTATTCAGTGTAAAAATAAAATGCATTCAGTATCTAAGTATTAATATCTCCAAGACCTTATGAAACACACATTTATTAATAGTGATGAGTCAGATCGGCCCCATATTATATCTGTGGTGTGAAACACTGGTTAAGCCTGTACATCGGTGTGACCGTTACAGTGTGTAAAACTCCACTCTTAGCATGTACCAGAATAAATCCTAAAATCGGTCCTTCTTCTTCCTACATATATGAAAAAAGAAAGAAAATATTGTTTAAAGAACCGAGTTCTAAAGGATGCGTTTGGAAATGTTATAATGAAAACCACAATTTTCCATGCGAAATTAAGGATTCCACCCCCACAACCCCAAGTTGAAAATATACCAAAGAAAAAATATAAAAGCTGAAGAGTCAGGTATCGAACCTCGCCTCGATATCTTTACCAATTAGGCCACGGTGAAATTGGTAAATTTGAAGACATCAGATTCTAACTCTAGTTGACATACACATTCTCACCTCCCTCAGGTCTTAGAATTCAAAGATTAAAATGGAAAACAAAATCTGCACCACACAAAATTTAATAAAATTAAAGCCAAACTAGTTTCGACCATTTCGTGTGTCATCCTCATTGCTTTCTTTGTTTAAAAGTTTTAAGAGAAAACAAGTAACACTGGAAACATTTTTCTGAAAAACGACCAAATAAAAATAATTGATACTATAATTTTGTTACCTTAGGTTTTTATTTTTTTATCAAATAATTTTCAGTACAATAAAGTGTCATCTTTACAAACAAGGTGGATATCGCAAGCATGTGCAAATCAAAGAAAGGGAAGAGCTGGCAGAACAAGACCTGGAATGTGTTTTAGGCTTTATTCTAAACAGAGATTCGAAAATATGGACACCGAAAGAATTCCTGAAATTTTAAGAGTATCTTTAGAGGTAAGAATTCAAAAACGATGGATTTTGTCAATTTGGATGTTTTAAATATTTTTTTGTACTCAAATTCTTAACAAAATATTTAATTATGAGGACCTTATAAATACTGCCGTCATACCAAGAAAGGTCCTATCCGAAAATTTGTTGTTTCAAGATAATCGATTATTTAACTTATTTTCTCAGACATATAATTATTATCTTCTAAACCTTTTTTGTGTAACTCTTGAACATTTTAGTACCTTTACAAGTAGGACATTTCGTTTTGGTATCAAGAAAGATAAAATGTAGATAAATGCAGAAAGATAAAAACTGCTAATTTTGCAGATAAAACCTTTTATTGCTAGAAGCAGTATGATCAAATCGATTTAACGAATTTTTTCTGGCACACTCTTTTAGGAATTATGTTTGCATGCTAAGATACTAGCGCCTGAAGACATGAACATACATAATTTTCTCTCATTGGCACCTGACCCACCTTCAGCTAATTCCATAAAAGTCGCCATTGAAAATTTGCAATTTCTTGGTGCATTGGATAAAGAAGAGGATTTGACTAGACTGGGAGCATATCTGTCTCAATTAACCATTGAACCACAGCTGGGAAAAATGTTAATATATGGTGTTATTTTTCGATGCTTGGAACCGGTATTAACTCTGGTGGCATCAATGAGTCACAAGTAAACGAAAATGATTATTTAATGATATTCACCTCATGGACTTTTTTTAAAACTTTCTACATTAAACTATTTTTAGGGATCCATTTCAGTTACCACCACAGGCTAATTTAAAAAGTTGGGCAGCTGAAAAGAGGAAAATTTTAATAGATGGTGTTATGAGTGATCATGTACTGTATTTGGAAGTATTTAGAAAATGGCAGGTGAGCCAGATTTATTTTTATAATTATTGATCATTTTCAACATCAAATTATAATTTTATATTTTGAGGAAATGGCTTGAGTAAAAGGCTGATTCTATGAAATGATCAAAAACAAGTGTTTATGAAGTAGGTCATGCTTGTAGCAGCTTACAATTATTATTATTATTATTTTTTTTTTAATTACAATGTGGATTTCATTCATGTGTAGTTATCAATGGCTGTTGGATTTTTGGGTTATTAAAGGTTAAACCCAACACAAATTATAAATAGGGTCATAAGGTTCGCTTAACAAGTGGACTGTCTCCTTTCGGTGATAGCTGCAACCATCTCCATACGGATAATGAAATTCCAACACTTCGTAAAAAACAATTTATTGTGCAAAAACGCTGCACGACAACTTTTAAATTTGTACATATTTACACTAAATTTTTTTTATTTAAATACCTAGAGGCTTATTATCACTGCCTTAGTGTTAACATTGTACTTTATTTCCTGTAATATTTTTCATTTTTGTACGTTTCATCTAAATATTTTTGTCATATTTTCCTATTCTGTAATTGGGTATTACTTGTAGAATAGTGTATTTAATAAATAAAAAAATATTATTTTATTATCATGTAATCATCTTTGCTTAGATAATAACTGTTATTTATGTAACTGTGCACCACGGCCCAAGGCCGGATGATTCATTCTTTTCCGTGTGAATAATTCAACGGTTGCTAGCCAACTAACTGTTTCTTTCGTGAAGATAGATGCATATTCATACGTGCCATGGTTGGCCTTGAGTGTTTCGCGCTGATGCAACTCGGATGCGATTATTGTCACGTACACGTTTGTTATTGTTACGTACACGTTTGTTTACAGATGCTATTAATGAACATCTGGTTACCGAGCACAGTACTGTCTCTGATATGTTTCAAACGGTTTTGAAACAATGGCCATTACTCGTATCTCTGTTTTTGTGGGTGTGTCTACTTTAGAAACATTTCTTTTAATCAGATGTTATTTTTTTAAATCGAAAACAGCTAAATAATCCTCGTAATATTGCAGTATCATCTGGCAATCTAGTTATGTGTCACAGACAATTGATATAGTTCAGAGGACATTTACTAAATATCTGTTCATTAAGCTTCCTTTTCCCAGTGTATAGGATGTTCCTGAATCATGTATACAACATATAACTGTATATTCCTTATCTAAAATAATGACGTGTTTCTTATTTAACATTTTTTAATATACCTTTGTTCCTAAGCTATATCCTCCTAAAGGAGGCGCCAGAAATTTGTAATCCCAATTAGTTTTACACAATTTGTATGGAAACTTAAGAAGGTTGTAGACATGTATGTAGGTGTCATTTTTAACAAATGCTTTAAGATTGACAATCAGTTGTAGTTTTTGTAATTAAATAATGTCCTTTAGGAATGAGTACATATTTTATTGAAAATTGTTGTTTTTTTACATTTTTTTAAGATAAAAGGTTTGCAAATAAATCAGAAACCACAAAAATTGACAAGAAAATGAAACAAAGACTTTATAAAATTTCGGAACAAACTAGAGGTTTGTCTTTTTTTACCCCGTTGTGAAAACAGAAGATAGTTAAAAAAAAAATACTTTTTTTGAACAAGGATAATTTCCTGAATGTAGAAATAGAAAGTTCCTTGGTTATTTTGAAAAACAAATCTTTTCCATCTCCTGGTGCAGTCAATATAATTAAAAAAAAAAAAAATATCGAGAGACGAAAACAATTTTAAATTTTTAAAACAGTCAAAGCCTCATCTTATTGTTTTACCTTACCTTTAAAAAAATTTAAATTTTTGTCCCTTGATGGAAAATATTGTTTTGCAAAATGTATGTTGTGCATTGTAAAGTAAAAAATAGAAACTTATAACCGATACAACCAAGTAACTTTTTATTTATGCAAAGAAAATACTCATTCATGACTGAAAACTATTTACCAAGTTTCACTTTGATTAGTTTTCAAGCCTCCTTTAGGAGGGTGTAGCTTAGTAAAGAAAGGTAATAAAAAAATGTTAAATGAATAAACGGCTGTCTATTTAAATTCGCAAATTATTTATTTACTTGACTTTCTCTTTAAAACACCTATTGTACACCTAGATTAGGGTTACCCCTTTAAGAAAGGGAAATTTCTAAAAGAAAAAACCAGGGCTTACTGGCGAGCTTCTAAAAAACAAGTCCTCATCAGCTAATATTATTAATAAACCCTAGGTCCTTCTGCCGAAAAAAAATGTTATCAGATTATATTTTTATAAACCAGGTTCTTTTTCTATCGACGAGCTTCTAAAAGGACATTTTAGGATTTAAAAAGTCACAAGGACAATTTGTTTGAAAAAAAGACAGGTGGCAACCCTAACCTAGATCTTCTGTCGAAAAGCTAAAGATTAATTTGCATTATAACTTGATAGTAGTTTAACTGTAGCGAAATACTTTCTTTTCTAATAATAAAAATTAATCATGGTAGGTTTCCTTAATATTTGTATCTAGAAGAAAGGCTTCAACCTGCAGTAAATAAAACAAGTCATTTAAATTAGCAGTAGATTTTATAATATTGTACCTTTTTAATACATAGGACCGCCTACAATATTATAACGATTTATCTAATTATGTATATATTTTGAGGGTTAAAATATAATTAATGTCTATATTTACGTCTCATTAACCCAGTTCTGCGGATTCCATCTACTACTGAAATTAGAGTTAACGTGACAGTAGGAATAGCACATCTTTTAGAACATTCCATATAGATTTATATTCATACGTTGTTTGAAATTGATTTGTGCCGCCAATCACTAATAAATTTCTTTAGTTCCCAGATTTTTTCATCAGATGATTGGACAACACACCTTTAAATCATTAAAATAAAATGTCAGAGCACATAAACCACAAAAAATATTATTATAAGTAGAGGATATTAGTGTGATGTAATTTGTGTTCCAATGACAAATTAACTTTTAATAAAAACCATTCTGTCATTGAATTTGACATATTGTTAACCTAATTCACAAATGTCGGAATTGTTTGTCAAACTTTAAATTTTTTCGCCATATTGTTAACCTAATTCACAAATGTCGGAATTGTTTGTCAAACTTTGAATTTTTTCGCCTGTGAAAACTACTATTTTTATTACTATGTCATTTTAGTAAAGGTAACTGCGACGCCTATCTCATTGTTTTTACTGTATCCTGTAAAATTAGTAAAAATGCACGATACACATACTAATGGTATGCTGACTTTCGATTCAAAATTCGTCCAAACCGCGCATGGCGTAATGCGAGACGAACTTTCAAGTTATTTTGACACTTTTCGATTGAATAGTGTAAAATAATTTATAATAATTTATTTGTTTTTGTGTTAGTAGTGAGTATATTTTCCTATATATAAGAGGGAAGAACTAAATTAATGTTTAAAATGCCTGTCTGCGTGGTGGAGATATTTCCGAATGCCACAAAATATGGGTAAATTCTTATCTAAGAAAGGACAAGCTTAATTGAAGTTGCCCTATCCACTTTGAGGAAAGTAGTTGTGAGATTCCTCTTAAACATAGAAGCAAGAAAAGGAAACTGAATTCCACCAGGTGCACGGGTCTAATTAAGCAAAGAAAATAAATCGGTATTTAAAAATTTTAGCAGATAAAACAGTAGTTTCCTGTCCCAATATAACGGTCCTTTTGAAGTAATGCGATGCATGAGCAGGACACGAACATATATAAGAATAAGATAAATGAACAGGAAAATTGGTTTTGAGTATTTTCAAAGTAAACTTGACAAAAAATGTTTAAGTTTACCAAATAAAAAGTAATGTTTTTGTGTACTTACTTTTTATAAATAAATAAATAAATTGTTTCTTCACACTTATTTTTATTTCACATAATAAGAAAAGAGATTACAAGAGAACTACCACGCCCAGAAAGCACAAATTTGAGTCAAACTTGTTTTTTAGTCTATATCTTTACTTATCTTATAGCCAGGTTATGGATTTTGTCACAAAATACCTATAATTTATGAGAAAAATTAATATTTTTATTAGTATTATTTACCTTAAACCTTCATATTTGTAAAGGAATTTATTACAAAATAACCAATAAAGCTTAAGTAACTGCATAAAATCTAAAATTGACAAAATATCGAATTTTAAACACTATCTCCCATTTAATGCTTATAATTCTATGTCCCACGTGACGTCACCGTCAGTCAGCTGCATGCGCAGGAACATACCGTCTGTGTATCGTGGTAAAAATGGAATTTTGACATATCGATGGCTTAATTCTAACAAGTCGTAATCCACAATTATTACGAATTAACGTTTTTATGTTTACTCAATAAAAAGATGGACACTATCGGTCACTAAAACCTCTTGTCCCAAATGAAATTATTTATAGTTGATTCCCGCGATTTCTAACAAGTCCTGGCCCGCACGATAGATGGTGAGTTCGGTCTACGCACTCTTTTCACTATATTCACTCCTAAAGTACCTAAGGCGTTCGGGTACGGAAGGAGTTAAAATAAAAGTTCCTCTTTGACCGTTCGGAGATGGTGGAGTGGAGTGTGGATCGGGCATGCGCATAAGGTGATTTAAATTGATAATAAGTTAATTGTGAGTGATTCTTTAGTAAATAAATTTTTTTTTGGTTCCCGTGAATATCATTAATATGGAAGAAACTTATACGGTCGTTACTGACAAGTACGATTAAATTTTAAGTACTGGTATGTCACATTGACAATTGACATTGCACTCCGAGAGTTAAAGGAGTAAAATCATATTCGCACTCCGTTTACGCCTAATTACTACACTCCACTCTGGAGTGCGCAGCCCGAACTCACCTACAGGAGAGAGTTTTTTGCCTCTACTGTAAAATTTTCTTTTGTGGATTACTAGGTGTTACAGTTAAGCTGTCGATATGTGAATTAGAGTAACCATTTACGTTTTTTTTTAAATATTGTTTGCAGATCGTAAAAAAGTAGTTTAAAGTTATGTAACAAAATTATTTTAAATGTTTAAATGAATAAAATCTTGAAAATTATTGGAATGAAACATTAATGATTTTAATTTAATTTTTATAAGTCCACTATCACTGACATTGGAACACAAATTCAAATTACTTCTTCAGTCATCATTAATATAGCTTTGCGTTGCCTTTTTGCTTTAAAAAACGATTAAAATCAAACTATATACATTTACATTCTCTTATATTTCTTCGGGTATAAACTCTACTGGTTCCCTGGTTCATGTTCGCCTGCAGATGTAATTGAATTGCTTAACTATTTTTGGTTTGGAGTTGCACCTCCTTATCTTACGACATTATACGCATATTTTGATGTTAAGCTGTAATGATGAGTTTGAAGTTGTGGCGTGTGTCAATTTGGTCGGGTCTTCCCTGGATATACAGAGTGAAATATGCCAAACATCCATGCCCAAGTCCGATTAAAAAAAATTGAAACGCATTAGAATATGTTATGAAACATGTGGTATGCAAAGCCTTGAATGTAAAAGATAACGTGATTCGTTGCTTCTGTTAAGAATAATACATATGTCATGTTTTACATAACAAATCAATCTGGTATGGATTTTGACATATTCGTTTTGTGTTTTTGAGTGTTGAATAAATTGAAATACATTTTTTTGAACATTTTTAGGAGAGCTCGGCTGCTGGTAAAGTATCAAAATTTTGTCAAGAATACTATATAAGTCATTCTACAATGAATTCAATATTAGAAACACGAAGTCAATTATTAGGCCAACTTAGAGCAGTTCAATTCATCCACCAAAGTAATTCCTTGGAAGTATACAATAAAAATGCAAACTGTTGGCCTTTAGTTAAGGCAATCATCTGTACCGGCTCTTACCCAAAGCTTGCCTATCCCCTACCTCATCAAAATAGTTTAGCTACTAGGTGAGTTCATGCTTATTTTTTTTTAATGTGTAACAATGACCATATCATAGGAACTAAAGATGATAACATGAAAGTAAAATCGAATAATAACTATTTTGTACTCTTGGTCTAGAAATGTCTAAAAGTGTCTAGATATGTCTAGAAATGTCTAGACATGTCTAGAAATATTTAAAAATATTTAATTCAGATAAACTAAACTGAAATATTCTCTTTTTAAATTGGTTTTTATTTACTATAGAATCACCATCGTATGACAAGTATGGGGTTGTCATTTGTTTCAGTTGGTGGTGCATAGGAGGTTGATGGGGATAAGTAGTTATTTAAATTTGCTCTATTTTGTCATTTAAGTTTCCCCTTCGTATCCTAGAAACGGTTTTAAGCATTTATGAGATATAGTTAGTTATAGCAAATTTTTAAATTGCCATTCTGTATATTTGTTTGTATTTTTTTCTTTCAAAACCTTTATTATTAACTTCGAAATGTAGTAAAAGATCAATGAAACTATTAACATAATCCTTCATAATACCTTTGAGTGCAGTATGTCCAGGATTGTATCGGGATTAATTTTTTTACAATTAATACAAAAAAAAAATTAAAGTATTTACAATAATAATGTTACTTACCATCCTACAAATTAAAGATCAAATACTTTGACATATTTACAAGGCTTTCTTCAAGTTAGGACTAAATTTCTATCATACATCTGGTAATTGTTAATTTTGAACAAACTGTTTACGTCTGTGCAAATTAACATGATATTTCTAATATATCTATACAGGTTGTCAAAAAACAAGTATCATCGCTTCAGTGGTGATGCTTTGTTTTAAAAATATAGGGTGTTATAATTTAATTTTTTTGGTTTTTCAAATAATTTCCCAAAAGGCTTTAACGATTTGAATGATATTTTAGTTGTAAAATGTACCCAAAAAACACATAATAATAATATTGTTTAACAAAATGTACGTACGCCACTGACTTTTTCATTTTTTGATAGCACAATTAGTTATGTTATGTTGAGAATGGGGTGTTAATACACTGCGACCTAAAAGATCTATTGTGCCCCCTTCTGTCGCCACTGCACTAAGGAAATGTCTCAATGCCTATAGCGACCCTTCCAATCCTATTTTCTCAAGGAAGTGTAGGATTTAAAGTGGCTTCAAGTTAGGTAAATCTCCCTCTTCTATTTGATTTCCTCCTAGATATAGTGCCCTTTGATTCTGGAATGCTACACATTCAGTTAGGATGTGAATGGAGGTTTCGTCCTCCTCCTCACAGAATCTGCACTCACTATCCTCTACTACTCTCAGTTTACTTAGGTGTCCTTTTAGTCGGCAATGCCCGGTAAGGATCCCTGTTACAATACGTAGCCTGTTCTTGCTCAGGCAGATGCAGGCTTCCGATCTTTTCTGGTTATATTCACCCAGAAATATCTTGGCCTGTCTCAGCCCTAAGAGATTGTTCCAATCATTGGTTCTTCTACTGCCCAATTCTTTTTTAATCTCTCCTAATATTATGTTACTGCCGATACCGCAGAACGGCTCAGATCCTACAAAGGGTGTTTGAGCCCCTTTCCTTGCAAGACTATCTGCAATCTCCTTACCCTGTACCCCGTTATGTCCCGGGACCCAAGTGAGAGTAACTCTATTTTTCTCGCCTAGCTCATTCAATTGTTCTAGGCATCTCCAGACCATTTTTGAACTGATTACGTAAGAGCTCAGCGCTTTGGTGGCTGCTTGACTATCGGACATGATGATAATCTCTTGTCTATGATAGTTTCTCTCGATGTTAAACTGGATACACTTCTCGATGGCGTGAATTTCCCCCTGGAAGATGCTTGAGTATTTTCCCAAGCTTTCGGAGTGCTTGGTTCTCGGCCCATGCACTCCTATTCCAGTTCCTTCTATGGTTTTGGAACCGTCCGTATACCACTGAATAGCACGTCTTTCGGTTGCAAGCGCGATGGATTCTCGGCTCCATTCTTTCTTGCAGCCCAGCTCTGTGGTTTTGAAATTTTTCACAAAACTGTACTTCTTTTGCATTTCATCCTGGGGCATTTCCCAGGTATCTTTAGTCCTGAAGAAAGTAGACTTTCGTCTGATTACTCCTTTCCTGATCATTCTATATCGTGTCCTTTTTGCCACATTCTCTATCATCAAATGTAGAGGGGTGAGGTTTAAGATCACCTCCATTGCGGCCGTAGGACAGGTTCTCATTGTACCAGTAATGCAAACACAGGCTAGTCTTTGTACTTCTGAGATATTAGCTCTCGTAGTAGCTAGACTAGTTCTGTTACTCCAGGCTATAGCCCCGTAAGTGATGATTGGTCTCACTATTGCAGTATACATCCATCGCAGTATGTTTGGGTTACATCCCCATCGTTTACCTGCAATGTTTCTGCATACCATTAGGGCTTTTGTGACCTTATTTACTAATTCCTTCTCATGTGTGTTCCAGAGAAGTTTGTTGTCCAGGATTAGGCCTAGATATTTGACTTCATTTTTCCATTCTAAATCTATCCCGTCTAATTTAACGGTTTTGAGATTGTTTTCTTTTCCTTGAAAAGGCTACTAGTGTTGTTTTTGTAGGGTTTATACTGTCCCACTTCACGGCACCATCTTTTGGTATGTTCTAGTCTTTGTTGGACTATATCACACAGGATATTACTAAACTTGCCACTAGCAAATATGACTATGTCGTCGGCTTAACCTTGACAGGGTATGCCGAGGTCAGTCAATCTGCATAGAAGTTCGTCTACGATTAGGCTCCACATAAGCAAGCAATCTAAGCTACAAAACAATGGCTAAATTACAACCAACCCCGCCTAGCACAATTAGTTAGATATTTAAATGATTAATACAAATCACCTTTCAATATTTTTGGATTAAGAAGAAAATATTTAAATTTTATTACAAACTGTATCTTTAAAACAAAGCATCTGGGAAACCATGTTGCATGTTGTAGGAACTATTTGTCTTATTTTTGGACGGTGACACATGTCTTGTGAAACACCCTGTATATTTTAAAGGGATTAATAACATAATTTTTTTTATTAATGCTTTTTATATCCATAAAATTTCATTTTTAGGAGCGAGCAAAAAGTTCATGTTCAATCAAGTGGTGCATGTGGTAACCAAAAGATAACAACTTGGCTAGTATATGACGAATTGATTAAACATAGCAATGGTTTATTTATAAGAGGCGTAACTGCTATAACTACCTTAACAGTGAGTTTCAATCTTCCTCAGTTTATTTTATGACATTTAAAATGTGTATTTTATTGAATTAGTATTCATTTTTAATTTCTCACTTTTTCTAGGTTGGTCTAGTCTGTGGAATTAACGCAGTATCTCCAGATCCAAATATTTTAAATATAGATGACTGGGTCGAATTTGAATACCCAGACCATAATATCATCTACCTCAGAAAAGCAATAGAATTTCTAGTTAACAGAATTCTGTCAACACCATGGTATTCCTATAATTCATATGATAATTATGTTTTAAGAATTTTAAGAAATGTGTTGGAAGCAGAAGAGGCCTTTGCGGATTTAAAAGCTCCTTATAATATAGGTAATATTTTAATACAATTTGTGTTTTTTCTTTGTAACATATAGTTTTTGTTTTAATAGGAGATAAGCCCAAATTTTTCTTACCTCAAAAACATTTTAATTATCGTCCAGGACCCAGTAATTGGAGAAGCAAAGAGAATAATGCTAGTGCTAATTGGAGAAAAGATCCTATAAACAGTCATCCCAGACAATTTTCAAAACACAATCGACAAAATGATTTTAATCCAAACGTTTATGGACAAAATAGTTATAATGCTAATGGATTTAGTCGTGGATATGGACATGGACAAGAAAGGTATAACCCAAATAGTCCAAGGAAACAGACTGGTGCTATAAAACGATCTTCCAATTCAGGTAGACAAAACCAATAAAAGTACCTATAGAGTTACCATATTTAAATAATATAATAATTCTTCGGCTTTTTAATTGACTAGCTAAAGGAATAATTACTTTTGTATTAAAACATTTAAAATATATAAATTTAAATTATAGAATTTATTTTATTTAGCCTCAAGCCTAAGTTTTTCATAATCCAATAACACATTTTTAATATACATTTATTAAATAATCCTTGGCCATTTTAGTATGGTGAAATATACTACCCAAAAATTGTCTAAGTAACATGAGTAATTATTCTGCATTTTTTAATCTTCAAATAGATTTGAGAAGGTTACACCATTTATTTTACTAAAGGGCTAAAGTAATCCCTTTTTTGTTTAATAATGGAAATAAATTGATTTGCTAGTGGAAAACAATATTTGTGTTAGAATAATAGTATATTATGCAACGATCATGTAATGATGGTTATTAATACACGAGCATTAACCGGGATACGAAACGAGCCAAAGGCGAGTTTCGTATGGTTTATGCGAGTGTTTTAATAACCATTACATGAGAGTTGCATACGCTATTTTTTCTACACCCGATAAATAATCAAGACCTATAAATATTATATTTATATTGGTATTGAACACAATAACAGTAATTACTCGTATTTCTATAAAAAATTCTACAAAATTGTAATTAATGGTATTACTTCAGGTATTGGTATTTCCCTAGATTTTTGCGGTAAAATATTTTGTACTGTATTTTCTGCTTTCTCCGATATGTGTGGAGGAGTCTTCTATATCGCTAATATCAGACATTTTAATATTATAATTATCGAAGTTTAGCTACCTACGAAAATTTAATACGTTTTGACAACTAAAATAATTACATAGGAACCTAGGACAAACGTCAAACAGCATGCTTGATTGAAAAATTGTAGGTTTCTATTGATTAAAAATCTGTATCGTAATGAAAAATCTGTATCATAATGGGTATCATTATGAAACGGATTATGGGCATGTAAGTGCATTATTATAATACGGGTGTAGAAAAAAGTGTATTTCTGATAAATTAAAACTATTAAATTATCAAATTAATACTGTGCCTTTTAACACAGAAATGGCCTGAATTCAAAAGAATTAAAGTTACTGTGAAAGTAGATTATTCTTTAATTTTTTTTTTAAATATGTTGTGAAAAGATGTATTTGCTTCATTAAGTATTCATTATAAATTTTAACAGATTGGTAGGTAAATGATTTCTGAAACATGGCTGAATTATGATGAGGACTGTGAAAAAGATTTCTAGAGCTGACATTTAGAGGGTGCAGTGCTGATCTCACAACTAACTTATCCAAAAGAGTTTTTGGTTTATTTCCTTTTATGACATTATACAAGAAATTAATAAAATTATAATGACGTTTATTTTTCATTTTTAACCATTTAAGTTCATAAATTTTATGAGATACTCAATCATATTTTTGAAGTCCATAAATAAATCTAGCACAATAATTTTGTACTTTTTGTATGCGGTTTTGTGTATAAGAATCAATAAAATTTCCATAGACGAAATCATCAAATGAGAAAATAGACAAAACTAAGGACTCTGATAACATTTTTTTTCATCTTCCAAGACAGACTGTGCCTTATGGAATATAACTTTTTTACAGTCGAAAATGATTTTTTTAAAAGATTGTTTACATGCGAGTGGAAATTGAGATCAGAGTCAAACAGAATGCTTAGATTCTTTATGGAATCTTCTATAGGTAAAGTTAGTTGATCAATTTTTATGGAAAGACTTTGACTAAGGTAATTCCGTTGTTTTTTGTTTCCAAAAGGATTAGATGAAATTTATTTTTATTGAGCTTAAGATTATGTTTTTCACAATTTATAAATAAGATCAAGATCTTCATTCAAGGCTTGTTCAGCAACTTGAGAATTATTACTATCAATGTTGTAATAAAGTTGGGTGTCATTGGCATACGCTTGTATTTTACAGTTGCAAACAGATGTCAAGATATCACTGGTATATAAAATAAAAAGCATTTGTCCTAATATTGAGCCCCGTGGCACACCAGACTTTACGTTTTGTAATGAAGAAACTTCATTATTTAAAAGAATTTTTTGACTATGGTTAGACAAATATGAATGAATGAGATGAATAGAATTTTCAGGAAAACCAAAATATTTTAGTTTGAAACAAAGCAACAAGTCTTGTAATTTGTCTTCTGTCTATATTTCTTACAATATCATCAGTAACTTGACAAAGTGTAACAGATGTATAGCCACTTCGGAAACCAGCCTGGCAATCCAGAAGTATTTTGTTTTCATCAATATAAAGCGAAATTCTATTATAGATAGCCTATTCAAGAATTTTGGACATCGCCGTCAGAATACTAATAGGCCTTAAATCAGAAAAAGGTTGAGATTGTGCAACTTTACAAAGTGGTCTAATTGTTGCAATTTTGCAAGATGTTGGAAAGTAGTTTCTTTGAATACAACAGTTTAGAAGGTGCGTGATGTAATTATCAATATGTGGACTACAGTCCTTCAGCAAGGAGATTGACACAGCATGAGAACCCATGGCATTAGATTTGATATTATGGAGTAGTTTATTAAATTCTCTGACAGTTATAAAATCAAATGCTAGTTTGTTTCCATGCAAATTAGGTAGTGTTGAATTATTACAATATTCTAATAGGTCATCATCTACTTCATTATCAACAAAAACAGAACAAAAGTACTTATTTATTTCTTCGGGTTTCTGCAGTGAGGGTTATTTCTTGCTTTCTGGACTGAAGTTTATTTAGACCCTTCCATAAATCCTTGGATTTATGGGAATTAAACAGGTTGTCAAAATAGGCTCTTTTTCACGACGTATAGAGAGAGTGAAATTTCTTAATTCCTTATACCTATCCCAATCAGTGTAATCTTGTTTGCTTAAAGCAACATTTCCTTCCTTAATTAGTTATTTCATTGGATAAGTTAACCTGGTTGCATAAGGTTTAATAATATGTATAGTTTTTAATGGCGCATGTTTATCAAACAAGAGAATAACTTGTTCTGTGAGAAACTGCCTTTATCATCAATATTTTCATGAAATGGAGGATTTATTAAATCATTGTAAAAATTGTCATAGTAAAAATTTTTAAAATCTCTAAACCTATAAAATTAGGTTTCTTTTTTATTTTTGAAAATTCCAAACTACAGAAAGGAGTACCCATGGCCAGAAAAATTTGTTTGGTTTACACCTGGTTTTTTTTACTAAACTACAATCACTTATATAAATAGGATCAAGCAGAGTCATCGAGGTGGATGTTATTCTAGTAGGTTCGTTTATAGATTGATATAAGTGGTACGCATCAAAACAAGATGGATTATCATTTGTCAACAAATCAATATTTATGTCACCTACGCAAATAATGTGATCAACTGTAGGCAGAATTTTTGACAAAGTAGAGTCAATATTATCAATAAAAAGGGACACATTACCTTTAGGTGGTCGATATATAATTCCAATGCAAACGCAAAAACCGTTTATCGTAAATTTAATCCACATTTGCTCACAGTTTAAGTCAGAGGAATTAAATTCAACTAATTGTAAACCAGTAATATACTTATTTAAATAAAGACCAACACTACCACCTCTAGATTGTCTATCAATCCAGGAATTGAAGGTGTGTTTGTATCAAAATTTCAACCATGTTTCAGTAACAGGAATACAGTCAAACTCATTCACCAAACTCAGAAATTCATCAAAATTTGCCACAAGAGAACGAACGTTCAAATTACAAAGTCTAACCATTTTAAACATAATAAAATTAGAATAGTAAAAAAAATTTATAAAAAGTACTATTCTAGATAGCATATCTTGCTATTTAAAATGTCTACATGGAATTTAAAAGTTGGGAACCCGCGATCACTATTTTGGTGTCCAGTGGCGTGGTTTGTGTTGTAATTACGGTCAGATAAATGACACTTCATCCAGAATTTTTTTTATATTATCACATACGTGTTGGGAATGGGGTGCTAATACATTGCGACCTAAACGATCTATTGTGCCCCCTTCTGTCGCCAATGCACCAAGGAAATGTCTCAAGGCCTATAACGACCCTTCCAATCCTATTTTCTCAAGGAAGTGTAGGATTTGAAGTGGCTTCAAGTTAGGTAAATCTCCCTCTTCTATTTGATATCCTCCTAGATATAGTGTCCTTGGATTCTGGAGTGCTACACATCCAGTTAGGATGTGAATGGAGGTTTCGTCCTCCTCCTCACAGAATCTGCACTCACTATCCTCTACTACTCTCAGTTTACTTAGGTGTCCTTTTAGTCGGCAATGCTCGGTAGGATCACATACGTACCATGAACCCTAAAAACACAACGCTCCTTTTTTTTGAGCAATCATGCATTGTTTTATATTAAAATCATGACTCAACGCGTGTAAAGCCGCGGATAACATTTAGTCTTACTATAAGTGCTCAAGCGTTCTGGGAATATTGTTAGCAGAAAATCAGGCACCAAGCCTATATTGTGAACTGGGCATCCATCTTGCTGAAACCAAATATTAACATCGTGTAAAACCTGCACTGCAGGAACAACCTAATTTTGAATGAAATCTAAATATTTTTGACCGTTAAATTTGCCTTAAAATGTAGTCTCCTAAAGTTCCAGTCTAAACATTTAATTTTTGAGGGTACTGTGTGGGTGTCGAGTCGAAATACTTAAATGTTTATTTCCCGAGACTACAGATGGATTATGTTTATTGTGCAACGAAAAAGTTAACTCGTCGGTAAATAAAATGTGTTTAAAGTTTTTATTTTCATTGTGCCGTAACGTCATAATTTTGAAATTGCCCTCGGGCAAAATTTCTTATGTTTGCTGGACTTAAAACAATATGGTACCCAATTTTTTTTCGGTATATTTTATTTTGGTTGTCGAACGGTATGAAATTGGCCGATTTTCATACGCCCCAATAACTAATTTTTTTATGTTGTCCACGGAATTATCCCCTAAATAACATTTTAAAATTT